AGAGAACATCATCTTGATCATGACCGTTATCACCGTTGATGCCGTTACCAAAGCAAGCAGTAGCGAGAGCAATGGATGCCTCGCCAACCACAGGGAAATCGCCATCATCGCCATTGGTATCTCCCCAGACACCATATACCTAAACAAGATAGTATTAGTCGTGGAGTTTACCGCAAAAAAAAAAAATGCAATCAAGGATAGAAAAAAACGCACTAGTTGATTGTTGCAAACAACAGCCATAATAGATAGAGGCTCGACGCCAACGCTTTGAGGATCAAAGGTCTTCCAGCCAGGTCTGCTACCATCGTTACCAAAGACGACATATGGGTGAGCATTGGCATCGAGATCTCGTTGACCGGTGCCGTAGCTCGCGACAGTATCCTGGAAGGCGGTGATGGATTGAGTATCAGAAGAGTCGCCACAGCGGCCGTCGTCGGCAGGGCCTCCCTGAATACCGTCACAGTCGATATCCATGTTGGCCAGCCTGCCGCCAGTGCTCTGGAGGTAGACGATGCCATAGTCGTTAAGATGGTCACCACAGTAAGAGGTACCTATATCGAAGAATATCAGACAGCTGTTCGTCGCTCTAAATCCCTTTGAAGGCGAGACTTACTGCCACCGTCATTATCCTCGCTGTAGAAACCAGAAGCGAGCTGATCGTTGCAAGATCCCTGGGCAATAATGGAGTTGTAGAGATTCTGAAGGTTGGAGGGCACAGACTTGGCGGCGGCCGCGCTGGCAAGTGAGGCGAGGATAGCAGCCTTGAGAACAGCCATGGTGGGGAGCCAGAGATGAGAAGAGACCTCTTGCTGAACTGAATTGATCCCAAATGGCGAGCTTGTTGAGAAAGAATGTCGATCCGGAAGGAAGCGACGCTGGCTCTTTATATGGGTTTGCCGTTCAGTAACTGACCAGGGTCATCAATATAGATGCGATTATGTATACAAGGTTCGGTCAAAACTTTAACGAGGCATAATCGGCCCATCGGATCATCGGCAGCAATCCAACGGTGAATCTCAAGCTTCCTTTCTGATGATAATTGGCAGGGACTATCGATGCGAGGCTCTCACACCACCTCAGGTTAGCAATTGACGAATGGGTAACATGGCTGGAGTGAGATGCTAATGCCAAGAGAGAGTACTCCTAGTACAGAGATGTGGCCCTGGCCAAACACGACAAAGAGGCTAGATCTGTAAGGCATCCTCAGCCTTATGATTGGGTTTCAAGAGTACGCTGGTGGTGGTTCGGGAGCACATACACCGAGCGTCGTATTTTCTGCTGTTGATTTCGGATGGACACTTTCGACAATGGATACACGGCGTGAAAAGTATATTTGGTCGCAGTCATCACCACAATGCCTGTCTCGGCCATACCGGTTTACTCCGTTCTTGGCTCAAACCCAAATCATGATTCCCCCCCAATCAATCTTCTTACACCAATAGCCAGGAGTGGCATATCCCATTTTGGGATGAATCGACTGGGTCAAGTCCTATCGTTACATCCGATCCCTGTTACGTGTATAGCATCTATTGCGGTTCTGTCCTCGCTGGTGTTCAAGCGGGATGTGACCTCCGCCAACGGTTTCCACGTTGTTTGGGAGCTGCCGTTTTCAGTTGATAATTTTGTATATCAGCGCCCCTAGTGTTTATACGATCACACGAAGAAGGAAAGAGTGGTCCATTTTGTGGGCTGCATTGAATGGGAGCTGTGAGCTTATTGCTGACTCGAGCTGCTTAGACGCGCTTGATGCCTCCATCTTAGAAATGCATGCTTAATTTAGCCTTATGAGCATTTCTATTAAGGATTGGGTGGCGCATTCTTTGATCAAGAACGATAGGCTCACAACGGCTCTCGACTAATGCACCATGTCATACGACCCCAAGTCATCCTTGACAAGTCGCATTTTGTCGGCATCAACTTTGAGCAAGTGTGTTTCCACACAGGTCTTTCTTTGGCCACACACGCATACGAGCACACGGGTTCTGGCGCCCGGCCTAATATACAGACATGCCTAGCTGACAGGGGAGCCACATAAGGTTAAGAAAAAACCATGGCGGGGATTCTTAACTCTTTTTCCACTCGCCTGCTTCGTCTCCAACCGGTACAAGTATTTGCGAGAGAGAGAGTCCACATTAAAAACTAGCCTATATACGAAGTAGGCAAGTAGAGAATCACGCCAAGATGCTTCTTGGACCTTGGATATGGAATCATTTGGTAGGCTGAAGAAGATGAAGATTATACGGCTATTGGGTAGATGCAACACGTGGTCATTGTTGTTAGCCTCCTCTCCGCCACATATTCGCGAATTGGTGATTTTGGTGAACGATTGGGTCTGACTGACCATGGACCAAAACAACCTGCACGATCCTGCAGGTATAAGAACAAAGTGGGCTTAAAAAAGAGTCGCCCAGAGCCCGACCCTTGCTGACCACCCTTGCTTTGAGCCACCGAAAATGGCAGATGATATTTCTGTTTTATCATCAAACATTGTATTACAGGTCCATTGGCCAGCCGGGCAACCGGCTTGGCCCGCTAGATTCGGCTGCTGGCAATTTAATTGCACGACAAATACCGACAGCAGATACGGCTTTTTAGCCCATAAGCTGACTGACTGCACCTACTAATGTGCCCGAAAGGCTTCGAGCTGCCGAATCTGATACTGGCCTGGTATGCTAGCAGTATTGGCGCGGAATATATTACATATTTGAGTTGCCGCAAATGGATATAGGTATCCTGGGCGCGACCTGGAGTGCTGTACGAAGAAGAGAGGAAGCGCAAGGCTTTTGAGAATATAGTGAGTAAATCATTAACTACACGTGCGTGTGATTACACAGCTAGAAGGAAGAGAATGTAGCCATGGCTCATAATGATGATTGGGGGCTAAGATGTGTCTACACTGGCAGTATTTTGAAGAATCTCGGAGCATTTAACCAATTGAACGTCTTCATATTATGCAATCAGTAGACTGAATCATATTTCCCCTCTGAAGTAATCCGCTGCATTAGCTTCGTTTTTTCAGGTTGCCTATAACCCACAACTCAAGTTTATCGGATAGGCGTTGCCTTTTCTATTAATATATGGTGCAGTCTACGCTTAGGTAGGATGCGAGATGGTGTATCAAGTCAATGTGATACAGGAAATTTGTTTTAAAAGCCGGAGAATTTTATTCGTACCTATATGCAACGGAGTTTAGGATGCATATATATACCAATAATGGTGTGCATGACCTGCTAAACTACACAAGATACGCTTTTAATACAACGCCGACTCATGCGCTTTTGTATAGTTAGTAAAATACGTTCGACTTCCCCTTTTACTTGTCTCTACCAAGCATGGAGAGATAGCCTAGTCACTAGACAAAGAACCGTACCGCTCTGACTTTCCACCTTGCCGGGCACGCTGGAAACTTGAAGACTCTTCAAGCTGAGGATTAGTCTATAGTCATTATGTGAAGTACTCTGTTGCACAACATATGCAATCAAGAAGACCATGCAAGTGTCAGGATTATTGAGGGCGGAAACTCCGCAATGTCCCATTAGCCCTCATTCGATGCTACCATAGCTCGTGGTCATCGCATTCCCTGAGGGTTTATTAATCAGGATTACTCATGACATTTACAGCGAGATAAATATTTGTATTGTTTACAGTAAAGAGAAGAGAAGAGAAGAAACTGTCAAGTAGTAAGGAATAAAGACCTTTCGGAGACACTCTCTGCCTGTTCTTTTTTTTTTTTTTTTCTTCATTAATCTTGAACACACAACAGCAGTTGTACTTATTTATAGTCTCGACACTACCCGGAATGAGTGTAAGCCGCAATTACATGTAGATATCCATGATTCGACCCGAAACGATCGGCGTAGATCTTAACCCTTGATCTTGCAGTTTAAATCCAATCCTTCTTTTACTACAGACCATAACCAGATCATTAACTAATCTTCAGATATCCAAATACGTTGTAGAATGTTCACTATGGATGTATGATAGCTATTGAATCCGTGCCGTTGTGGCACAGATAGCACACGCTGCCATTATTCGTGGAGTCGATTCAGTAACAAATGGAAGCATTTGGCCACTTCAAATTTTCGGAGACAGTCTCTCTAGTATCTGCATAAAACAAAAGGCAATTAATTCCACCCAGCTCATCTGCTCATAATTTGCTTACAATAAGTATGCCATAAAAATACGTTCCATGAAAATACTACCCTTGATCAAAGACATCAGGCCAGAGCAGGGCTATGTAAAAGAATTTCATCGCACGGGCATTCAAGGCCGCAGTGAAAAGCGATTTATTCTAATTGCTTAGAGAAAATCTTCTATATGAAGACACAGAGTCCTCCAAAAAACTCGAACCACATGTGACGCGTCAAAGGATACATGACCCGAAGTAAGCGCCTCCAGTGCAAAAACCTCGCGCGAAATATTCCACCAATGAGACATTCCTCTTAGGAGTGTTGCTTCAGTATGCAAATGATCTCAATGTTCCTTGAAGAAAGCGTAGACAGTCAAAAATGAGAATATTTTGTGGTTAGAATGTGTAAAACCTGGTAGCGACCATTACAAAATTGAGAGATTCCAAGTCACACCATAGCGCATCTCCATCAGAATGTACCTACATTCTGTGGGCGCAATGCCGAAATACGTGAATGTTATATATTATGAACTGATGTATTGATTTGATTATAAACAAAAAAGTTGAGAAGCACAAAAATTCTTGTTGGTAGAACATCGAAGTCGTTCTAAGTCGAACAGTAGTCGTCATACACGTTCTGGTATTGATCCCATTCCTCATTTCGAATAACTCCAACTCCTGTCCATATGCCAGTTGAGCGCTCGAAGCTACTATTCGTTTTCACAAAGACGTGGTGATGATCTGGTATTCGAAACATTTCTCTCGTGACAAGCCAACCTGGGTATCTGAAAGCGTATGCCGTTGCTGTGAAGCTGCAGGTATTAAAAGGTCGTAATAAGGAAACAAAAAAAAGAAATCCAAAACCACAAAATTACATCTTGAGAAGTGCATTATTCTCAATGATCCTATCCTTCCAGCCTTCACAGGCTACTTTTACCATTGCTTTGCCCACCTGGGTAGTCGTGATGGCGCCGTAGAGACTGCCGACAAGCCTTTTGGAGATTGAGGCACTGGGCTCGATGAAACCGGAGGGTCTCAGAATCCAAGTCTCAAACTTGTCAGGGTTTGCATCCGCGATGTCACATAGACCTTTTTCGACTTCTCCTTTGATACGGCGAGAATCAGCCATAAAGAGAAGAGGCCGCTTCTGATTCCACTCCGAGTATTTGCCACTGCAAAAGACGAATCGAAACTTCTTGCCGCTTGGAACTTTGTCAGCGAGATGGTTCAGCATCGCATTCGCAGCTGCCAGTGTATATTCCACGCCAACTTTGCGGCATAATTCCTTGTCGTTGTTGAACTGGTTAACTCTCCCTCCAATAGCCCTGGGAAGTCGTGTTAGTGAGAAAACTTGTTGAATGAATCATACAGTCATTCAAGCATGCATATATAGAGCCAAGGCTGATATCATGATGCTTTTTGCATCCGCGCCATGGCGTTTATACAAGGAGCTATTCTTACCATAAGCATATCTCGGCCCCTTCAAATCTGCGCATCATCTCTTCGGGATACTGAGAAAAATCTTGATGCAGTACTACTTCGGCTTTGGGGTGGCTTTCAATATCTATTGCGACCGACTTCCTGGTCAGGATAATGACCTTGGTGATGCGCTCGTCCGCAAAGCAGTGGTTAACGATTTCTGAGCCGGCATGGCCAGTGACCCCGGCTACTATGACTTTCATGGTAAACCGGCTCCTGATATGCCTTTCCCTTCCCCTTTCTCCTGATCTTGGACTGTGGCGACTTGGCGACTTGTCGTGATAATGGGCGACGTTGGCCCGTCTAAGCAACCGTCGATGGATTAAACTCTGGAGAGCGAGCACCTCAAAGAGCAGTGGCGATATTCGATATGACTAAAAAGTCTTATGACAGCTTGATCCAGACGTCCAACTATTCTGAATAACGACGCGCTAAGCTCATGTATCTTGAGTGGGCAGTATAGCTGTTTTCCCTTTTGAGTCGGCAGAAAGCAGGAGTGAAAGCAGGTGGTAAGCTGATCAGGGTTCATTTGGTTTTTATTGCTAGTTGACAGCCGATCGTATTGCGGCTACAAGCTACCAGAAATTAATATTTGTTCCTTAGGAAGCTTTCTAAACCAGGGTCCTAGTGTTGGACCGAGCCGTGTATCCGGCTGCTGGAGTGCCGGTGTGGGTCTGGCTCGACACAAGACAGCGTTGGCGCCTGGGAATATGATTTAGGGCTGCTGAGATTGTAATTGCGGCGGTGTCCCGGCTCTGGGGCGATGCCGTTGCTTGTCACTGGCTTTGGGAGATGGACTATACACGAGAACTCGATGTGGTGGTCTGTCTTCGTGTTGGGGGTGTTGGGGTCGATGGCCCTCCGCTTTGATTGCAAACAGCGGCGTCCCTGCTCCAGATGACAAGTTCCTCCGCACAGACGAGCTCGCGGAGAATACATCATGGCTAGGGACCTTGCTGGGGCCTAATTAACATGAGCTCTGGCTGCCTAACGCTTCGCTAGCTGGCAGTCATGAATCATTCGGCAATGGGGCTGAATCGAATCCGGCTTTCGGTTCATTCATCCGGCGAGAGGCAGCTCTGCGGAGATGGGCTGGCGCCGGCCATACAGTAGAGCTGCTCCAAGAATGCAGCCACTCTGCGCCAAAATGCCTTCACAGGACCCTAGCGACGTTCTTGGCGTTTTGCCGATTCTGCAGCTCTCCTTTTCTGGACATGGCTTTCTTGAGCTCCATCATTGTGTCACACGGCCTCGCTTGTTATCTCGATCTGCCCCGTGCATGGATGTGCGATACATTGTCCTGTACAGTATGATTTGTTAGTGAATGAGAAACGCGCCGGTGCGGAACCGAGAGTCGGGTAGAATACGAAGTAGTGGAGATTGGAAGCATCTTCGCTCTCTTTGTTGTCCGAGATCCGTCCTGCGTGCGTCCAAGACTAGACCAGACACAGTTCTATATTTCACTTTCCTTTTTTTTTTTTTTTTCCTTTTTTCGTTCCTGTTTTGTGGTTGTGCGACTTTTCACAGATCCTGGTGGTGGTGATGGGGGCCACTTCCCAGATGAGCCTATCAAACAGTTTTGCGATGCCGGATTGCCGTCCAAGAGCTGCTTCATGCCGCCCTCTTTCTCTCGTGGGTTGATAATAAGGCCTTGTCACCCTAGGCCGTGCGAGGGGCTCTTTTTGCGCATATGCTGGGGCGGCGCTCATACTGTACAACGGGATCCATGTCCTTGAGTGCCATTCACGCACATTGACGAGATGGAGAAGCGAGGAGAAGAGAAAACGAGCAACAGATCTGCATGAAGTTGGTGATTACCTCATTTCAAGCTACCAAAGGACTTCCCCGGATCTGGCAGGTGCGATCGCTGGGCTGTTCCTGAAGAGCGAAAGCTTGGTCTTGGCAATGCAGGAGCCAACGGGATCCGCGGAAAGCAGCGATGCAAGTCTTGGCTTTGACTTGGCTTTGGCGTCGTTTACTTGGCGTTTTGCGATCGACAGAAGGGATTTCCAACACCTTGTGCCAGCAGTGATATACGATACCATCGAATTTTATTCTTAATATTTACTTGCAGATCTACGGAGCGAGCTGTGTTATTCTAGTCCCTAGGTAGTATATACTGAGTACTGCTTGCAGTACTGCAAATAATCTTACCAGAGAGAGTAGTATTTTGTATCTTTGCATTACCACGGGTGCTATAAACGGCATCGGAACTTTTGGCATCACTCTAGGTCACAGTGCAGTGGAATTTGGCCGAACTGTTATTCCCGCTCTGTTCATCATAGATAGCCTCAACAAAAAGTTCTTTTTTCCGTTTTCTCCTGTACTCGCTCATTGCCCCTCCTAGGCAACATCGCAGATTACAAACAGGCTGCCATGGCAAAATTGGTATGGAATTTTACCAAATGTAGGCAGCAGCTAAATTAGCATCCATGCAACAAGCCGACAGTGGGCTGCATATAATGGTGCAATCCCAGTGCATCACCAAGTTCGGACCAACTCAAAGCCAGCCATCATGGCAGCTTGGCCTATTATATGGAGTGAGATAGAAGACTTGTTATGTTTGCGATAGTGAGATATTAGTACTCTATATAGCTTCATTCATAAGTGATGCTATTCGCACAGCATATATTATTATAGATTAGTCTTTGCTGCGCTACAAGCACATACGAAGTACCTTCTACTGCCAGTACCTGTCATAGCTCAGAGGCGGCAGCTTGCCCTCGCGTTTCAATATCTAGATAGTGCATCTTGCAAGATGGATATCAACAAGCCCGTCTATCCTGTCGGCTTCACCAAGCCGGTATCCAACTTGCCATCTCCCTACAACAGTATATGTCGTGATATCTAGCCCGATCAGCGTTGATAGAGCAGGTATCAAGGGTCCAGGTCTCTGGGCCTGCTATGATGATATAAGCCTTGGTGACGCACATAGAGCAGCCACTACTATTGGTGGTATGCTCAACCCGTATGCTTCCTTCAGTCGAACCGGCCGCGGCGTGATAGTGAAACAGCGGAATCTCAAACTTTCGGAATGGTTGGCTGTAAAGCCGCTTGCAAAAATTCTTTTCCATCGTCGAGAATATTTGCATCCGTCAGGTTCCCAAAGGTACCGCGTCGCTCTGAACTCTTTCTCCCAACAGCGTCACAAACATCCACGCTGCTCTGGACAAGTCATCAGTTACGTCGCCCGACTTCACAATCTTGACCCGAGACTGCGAGAGGACAAACCCTCCGCATGACACTTGGATGACACGGACACCCGGATGGAACAGATTCAATGCCATGTGGTGGTTGAGATGGCTCGCTAAAGCCTCCATCAAGGGATATTCAGAGCCGTCCTTGTTCTTTAGCCATCCCCACCCGTCGTCTGTGTGTGAGCCTGCGAGCCTGCGCCGTTCTCGATCATCACGCTCCCATAAAGCGGTGCCTGCATCGGTATTCGAAGTTGTCTGCTTGGATTTCTGCAGCGCTTTCCCGGCGCGTAAGAAACGGCGCAGGTCTGACGCCGAAATGCTAATTTCCATAGATCGTAGCCCAGGCTCAGTTGCTTCAACTTCGTCTTCGTCTTCGTCTAAATCACCGTCCAGTCGAAGTACAGCCTCTCGGCCCGGGTCTGTTACGGGTGCGTTGAAGGCAAGAGTCAACACAAGATCCGAGTCGGCTCGCGGTAATCCGGTTTGCGGAATCCAGCTTTCCAAAACGCTGACCAGTGTTCGAGTCCCCAAGTTGAGCTTGGTGACACGGCAATCAAAGGTTGTCGACAGCCATTCGCCGATGACAGCCTTGAGAGCTTGGGGCATTCGAAGGAGCAGCAAAGGCAGGCGAAGGAACTGGCTACCATCAGCCTCGCCCATATCCGGAGTTTCAAAGCCCATATTCCATAGTTTCGCAGCTGGGGTGTTTGTGCCAGGCCCCTGATGTGAACGCGAAAAGCCCGGCAGCAGGAGCGCGACATAAGCTGCGTTCTCATGCCGCATCTCGATCCAAAGCCCCCTCTTCTGCTCATCCGACAGCTCCGCCCAGTTCTCAGCCTTGTCGCCCAGAATATCCTCCGCCTGAAACCAGCGGAAAGTTACGGCCTTCAGCGGCCCAACCTGGCCCATGGGCGTGTCTGTGGCCTCCAACCCAATCTGCACTCCACGAACCACATCCCCAACCAGCGTATCTCGCAGCCGATGAGCAAGTCGATCAAGGCGGGCCTGGTCCAGCTTCTGGGCGCCGATGAAGAGCGGAGACACGCGGTGAGTCGAAAACGTAGTGTTGAAAAACTGCGGAATGGCAATTTCGCCAGCTTCGGCTTCATTCTCATGGTTCCCCGTCTGTGATGGCTGGGCTGCTGCGGGTCCAGCCTTTTGAGTCTTTTGACGCGCCATGGCTTGAAGCGCGTTTGTGCAAACTGCAAAAAAGAGATTGACGCTTCCTAGCTTTTAATAGAATGCATTTATATGCTGAACGCGTCGCTGGGCCATTGATGCGATAAGCACTCTTGCTTTGTGAAGATGAGAAATGCTCGCTCACGCCGAGTGTTTTGGCATTTGCGATATTGCCTATTTGAGATTTGCTGACTAAGCATTTGCATCGCGAGTCCCTCGCTGAAGGTGTTGTCACCAGTATCTCTTTCAAAGGCTGCTTGCGGGCTTTGATTACATTCTTATTTACGTATTTATTTGTTTTTCGTTTAGTTTTCTTTTTCATTTTTTCATTTTTTCATTTTCATTGTTTTTACAACTGGACTTTCTTTTTTGTTCTGTACTATACTTTTAAATGATCTCAGGTGCCTGTAATCTTCAAGATGGTATCTTTTCGAGCAGAGAGTACCTAGCTATATATACATGTATATATATTACATGAGTTATTGTGCGCCAGTTGAAAATACTAGAGCTAGCGCTGTGCAAATTATGTACGTAACATGTCCCTCAATATGTACAAGGAGGGACCCGCATTCATCGCTATATACATCTCAGCTCTCCAGCGCCTAATTAGTCAGAACGTCCGGCTTCATCCAGTCAAACGTATCAAAGAGCTCAAAGTTAAAGTCAAGCTGCATATCATCAATGGTGTCCGGCTGCCAGCTCATGCCATCGCTGCCAGCGTTGAGAACATGATCCAGCACGCGCCTCATGACGGCACTGGTAGTCACGCACATGCTGCCGTTTGGCCTAGAAGGATCGATCCATTCAAGGAAGCCTATCAGGAGGCTAAGTTGCTGTATAATGTTCGACCGCGTTATCGAGGGGTTCTTCGGATGGCTGCCTTTGAAGGAAGGGTTCAGTAGCTCCATGCAGAGTATACCTCCGCTAGGAGTTGCAAAAGCCATGACCTATAAAAGAGGGCGCGTTAATATTTATGCTCTCAGTCCTTTCGCCCAAAGAGACAATTGTCAAGGGGTTTTGTCTTACCAGCCACTCAAAGTCGTTCCTAAAAGAGGCAAAGCGATCCTTGTGCGTCCAGAAGAGCAACGTCAACTCAACGAGCCGATAACTAATTGGAAGCAGACTAGATTTGTTCATTTCCCCGTGCTTCAATAGCAGCCTTTCAATCAGAAACAGATTCTGCAGTTGCTCAAGCTGTAATAGTATTCGCGCAAATAGCACGTTGATGTTTGCTTCGGGATGCGCAAGATCAGAGGGATTATAGTCTAACCCTGAAGGAAATTCCTTTACGGCCTCAATCTGCCGTTCTTTGACATCCCTACAACCACAAGTCAGCAAGGCTGGATATACAAATACACAAGTATTCAGCGTTGGGCTTACCGAAGGAGAGCATTAGCAACCTTTTGCGTTGCCTTGCCAATGCCAATCTCAATCAGCTCATCTCGTAAAAGCGATAGGATGTATCTCGCTCGGGTGAAGGTTGCGGCGTACACCTTTCCACTCGTGTTCCATCCATTCTTGTCGAGAGATTTCACAGCTTCTTTGATAGCGTCTCCACCTTGCAGCAGATCCTCGTCCCGGAGATCCAGAGGGAGAGGGGTAAACGCATATCGATGCGATAATCGAGGTGGCCGACCTGTGAACAGCACCGCGTGCTTCTCTCCAACAAACATCTGAGCAAAAAGGAGTCGCCGATGTTCGGAAGCCAATGACGGTTCGTAAGAAGGGGAGTTTGACTCAGCATGTAAACCAAGAAAGGTCGCCAAGGCCACCGACTCTGCTCCGGTCCCCCATGAGGAATAGCCTGCCTAAGTTAGCCATGGCACCATAGGTATGATATAGATATTACTGTATACTAGAGCTTTGGAATAAAAACTGAGATACAGGGGCTTCCACTTACTAGCATCCCCAGTATAGATGGATTCCTTTGTAGACCGGCGCATGTAGAGTTGGGCCAACAGACTATTCGCCGACGCAAACCTCCTGCTCAGGTCGATACAAAGGCCAAGACAGACACGAGAAATCTGCGACCATTGTTTCCCGCCCGCATCATACATGTAATCGAACATATTATGGTCTTCAGGTAGAAAGTATACAAAACTAAAAATTAACCCAATTGACTCCCATCTTAGGTTGGGTCCTGTAAACTGGCCAATCCATTTTTCGGAATCCGGCTCGTCCTCCTGAAACGGTTTGGCGGTATTCTCGCTCAGAAACAGGGCAATTTCTTCAAGCTGAGAGTCTTCCCGGCAGAGTCCCAGGCAAGAACCGAACCTTTCATGCAAATCGGAAAGCACGCGCGTTGCAACCATCCTCAGCCAGCCATCCCGATAGAGCGGAGAGTCTTTATTGGCCTCGATGAGGCCCACATTTGGAGCAGGAATCCCTCGAAGCACCACAAGGCACATCTCCTTTGTGGGCGAATAACGGTTTCTGAGCTCTTCAACATTCTGTCTCAAGTCATTGTTTGCTAGCTGGGGTAAGAATGCTTGGAACCCCTGAATCATGGACAGGCTGTTCTCAGTCTCTTGCAGCACTGAAGAGTGGCTGATGTACCCCAAGTACCCTGGCTCTTGGTCTTTTGCTGGGGTAGACGCCCTTTCCGAGAGGAGATGGCTCCCTGGGGTTGCGGTACTCGAAGCAAGTTCGTGGCTGATCGACTGGGTACGACGTCCAGCATGGTCCACGGGTGACTCAAAGGGATAGGCAGTATGCGACGGCCCCAAGGGCGACGTCACCGTTCGGGCATCATGAATGGGCGTATTGGCCTGTCGCCGAAACTCTGCACGACGCAGTGATCTGTACCCCTCGGCGGATCCAGGCCGCCGGCTCGGCCCCAGTCCGGCCGTGCTCGGAGTAGACGCCTCAACGTGAAGGCTGCTGTCGCTGCTGTTACTGGTGTAAGTCGTAGTACGGATAGCTCCGGCTGCGATACCCGGCTTGCGCGATGACAGCGGCTTCAAGGACAGCGGCTTCCGAGGGAGTGAAGACGTGTAGACACACTCGTCCTCCTGGCTTCTGCTAATGCAGCGCCTGCAAACCGGCTGCTGGTGATCGCAGGCCACTTTGCGTGAACGGCATGGATCACAGGCTTGCATCCGCCCATTTGGCCTACGGAGCATGACCGGCGGCGTCGCTGGCTGTGCAGCCATTAGCCCAGCAAACTCATATACGCCCTAGCTAGGATCCGGTGCATTGATAATTGCCGTACGGAGTGAGAATAATGCAATCCAGCTGAGAAATGCAGCAAAGGCGCAAGCATTGGTAAAGCAGAGAGAGCCCTTGGCTTGTCAGGAGCAGGTCGCCGGATTTACAAGGCGGCTTCGGGCTCGGGCTCGGGTCGTCGCTCGGAAACACTAGTTACCAACTGAGCAACCAAGCGCAGGATAAGGGCGTAACAAGGTGGACCGAGACTTGACTCCGAGCCAATCAAGAGGGCGCTGGACCTGGATGCCTTCGTGACGACTTACACGCCTGACAATGCAAGCCACGTAGGGGCCATTCAAGCCCGCCAGATGACTCAGAAAATAGAATGGCGTAACCAAGCTTGTCAATCATGTGGGCTAAGCCGACACGCGAGAATCCTTTAGACAGGATTATTAGAGTTTGTAAACGGGCTGACAGGAAATGGACTCCGAGCCTGAATATATATACGGCCAGTGCTCTCCTTGATGGGGCTCATCTGCAATTACAACAATCTGAATATCTTGGATATAAAAAGATTCAAACAGCAGTTCATTCTCGAATCAACCTTTGCCAAACTCCCCATACTCTCAAAGCAATATAATCAGTCTTACATCTTGTTCAACAACAACTCTTATCCGTCGACATCACTCTACGCGATTTTAGACCATACTCTACTACCGTAATCGATCGACGAAAAACACATACTCCTTGACAGGACCAACTATTCCAATTTTCAAAGTCTCGCACAACCATACCAATCATGCCTCTCGGACTCTCATCAAAAAAGACTTCCTCGCTGGCTGCTAAGCCTGAAGCAATGTCTTCCGAAGTAACCTTGGTTGACTCTTCGCATACACGGTCGGATAAACAAGCTGCAGCTGGTAATTCTCCCGGACTTGACTTTTATAACACACAATCGGCAGCATGGCTAACAGGCTGAATGACAGGTCCTAGCAGCAAGAAGACGAAGATGACATGGAAAGAGGCTCGAGCCCAGTGCAAGAAAGAGGAAAACTGGGAAACCCGAGTACGTGCGATGGGATATTAATACTAATTATGAATGGGCACAGCTATATAGTGTTCTCTGAGTGCTTGCCACAAAGAGACCGGAAAATTGTTTTTCTTTATATGGGATGCTTAATTACGGTACACGATGGGTTGGAGTTTGTTTCAAAAGCACGCAACAGATTGTCTTTCAAAATTGCAAAACTCTGCTATCCAATTACGAATCTAGCTACACATTCATAGCAAAGTTTCTGTCCCAATAGCAAGAGCAGGATACCCTTGGATTTAATATACTTGAATTTCTTCACATCATCAAACGATTTGATCGTTCATTATTCGAGCATGTAGTACCAGAATAAGGCCGTCTCTTGCTTATTCTGCGGAATTCCTCTGTACAAATACTCGTCGTAGCCGCCAAACTTGAATCCGTATCGCTTATAAAAGCGGCATGCCGCGACATTATTCGATTGCGACTCTAGGCGAACTCCAGCAACTCCTAGCTGGCGAGCCCACTTCACCACCTCATCCAGAAGCATTTTGCCGTACCCATGGCCGCGAATGCTCACATCTAACACAATCCAACGAATCTCCACCATGTTATTCCAAGACCTTGTTGCATGTATGTATCCGTACACCATTTCATTCTCCACTATAGTAAACAAAGCCGCATCATGGTCTTTGATATTCTCAAACTCGGACTCGTCAAATCCAAAATCTTTTTTAATTGTCGGAACAGGGTTGGTAACTATTGTGTCGTCTCGCAAGAGCGCATCGTAGGGCTTGGCTACTTCGGCGGATATCTCAAAAGTGAAGTCTCGGCCCGCGATGTCAATTTTCGTTAAACTTGTTGCCCTTTGTATTTCCATTGTAGCAAAACTAACGTGCTTGTTTCTCCCTAATTCTGGAGACAAAAGTAATTCGCTAGCGAGAACATTAGATCACGGTCAAGAACTACAGTTTAAGAAGCAAAATGCGTTAGTTCTGCAGGTTGAAGCGGACGCGTCAATTAGCTTGGCTAGCGAGCGGATAAGCATACTGTTAACTATATACGCTACCGGCGAGTGAGTCAAGCCGGACTGACTACGAAACTGCGAGACTTGGCAACAACAATTTTCTGTGCCAAGAGGAAACTGATTGCGATCATAGAAGAAAAGGACAATTTTTAAAATTTGCACTGCTATCACATCCAAAAAGGGGGGCAAAAGCATGCGGCTTGAGTTACGGGGTGGATCTCGGAGACGACCTCGGAGACAGCCAAAATCAAGCCGAGAGGTGACATGGCTATTTATATACCCAGACTAGTGACGATCTCGCTGTATATTCGCGACTCCGAGGCGATAAAAAGGTTATCAGTCATATTCGCACCTTTTGAGTTGAGATTTTCTATAGTCGTGTAGGCCCGTCGGAGCTGGATGTCCTAGATGTGCTATCCTGGATTCCCATGTCCGTTGGTGAGCATATGTATCATGAACATGCAACAATATCATTAGCACAGACTTTCAAGAATTCACCTATTAAAAAGCGCGTGGGCGGCATTGTCATTTTTACAGACATGGCTGCACTTTAAAATCACAGTGCTTAGTGTGCAAAGCGGATGGATGCTGCCTAAAAAGAGGGCTCGTCTTCACAACATTTTTTAGCCCTCCTAAGGCTCGGTTATCTTCTAAGAGTACAAAAGAAAGATTGTAGAGCCATGGTATTTCATAGCATTTTTTTTTTTTAACCCCAAGACTAACTTCCGTTCAATAAGAAGCCTAGAACTTTCAGGTCCACAGCATTTAATGTATGAACCTGTGGGCATCCCTGTATAGGAAATCACAAAAAAACACAAAAGAGGAGCTAATTTTCACAGCATTTTTAACGCTCCCCAAGGCTCGCTTGTATTTAAGGACGTATGCGTGTGGCTAAAACCCTTCGATAATTCGTAGACTTGTTTCCTGCTTCACAGCATTTTTTTTCTTCTCCGACGCTCGCCTCTTCACTGCTACGGCTAACCCCCTTTCAGGTACATCGTGTGATGTAAGTCGGATACACGTTGGCAGAGTGGCTTCCCACTCTCTACACTCCAAGCTGGTGTAAGCGCCTATGCAGTGCCACCGGTGCCTGCTTATCTTTACAACTGCCAGACGTCTTGTGATTTTTGCATAAATTTTGAAAACAATCTTTTCTTCTTGATTTTTAATTTTTCATTGCTTTTCGTCGCGTTTATTTGTGATAAACATCTTACTGCGGACTCGACCTTTCAGCCTAGAATGTAAGCGGGGCTGTTCCGCAGAGTGGGGTATTTCCGTAGCGGCGGATTCCGCGATTTGATATGGAGCTGCTTCTTATCGCGAAAAAAAAAATTAGACTACCTAAATCGCAAACTACTGCCGCTGCATTGAGCGTCTGAGATATCATTGAATTGCATTCTTTTTTTTCTCATGCGTACTACAAGATCCAAGTCACAAAACGCCGATCCAATGGGTCCCTCACTCCCCTCGCGGAAGCGAAAAGAAATTGTCGAAGCGGTTGTCGAGTCCGACGACGAATTCGGCGGCGCTGAACTCGAGGGCATCTTATCGCAAAGCGAAGACGAGAGCGGCGTTGAAGAATCAGAATCGGAGGGCGAAGAGCCCGAACTCGATGAAGATGAGGATGAAGACGAGGACGAGGATGAGGACGAAGATGTGCCAAGTGACGCCGAGCAAGACAAAATCCCCAATGGCAAGCACAACAAGAGCGCCTTCGATGAGGAAGTAGACGACGACAAGCCCAACTACAGAGTCGTCAAAGACGCCAATGGAGGCGAGCGCTACGAGTATGAAGAGATCGACCCCGTCTATGACAGCGACGATAGCGACGCCCAGGGCCCCGTCAACACCATCGGCAACATCCCGCTCTCCTTCTACGACTCATACCCGCACATTGGATATGACATCAACGGCAAGAAAATCATGCGGCCTGCCACGGGCGAGGCTCTCGATGCCCTGCTGGACAGCATTGAGCTTCCCAAGGGCTGGACTGGCCTGACCGACCCCGAGACGGGCAAGCCGTTGAACCTCAGCCAGGAGGAGCTGGAGCTTCTGAAGAAACTGCAGATGAACGAGATTCCTTCTGATGACTATGACCCCTATCCAGTATGTTTCTCCTTGTTCAAATCTACATCATGCAACAGTAACTAACACAATCCCCAACAGGACCTGATTCCCTACTTCACCAGCATCGAGGAAAAGATGCCGCTGAGCGCCGCCCCAGAACCTAAGCGCCGATTCGTCCCCTCCAAACACGAAGCCAAGAGGATAGCCAAGCTGGTGCGGGCCATCAAGGACGGCAAGATCCTGCCCTACCGCCCTCCCGAGCCGGAAGAGACCGAGGAGGAGGAAAAGTACTTTGACATCTGGGCCAACGAGGAGCCCCAGGACCGCCACATCATGCACATCGCCGCGCCCAAGCTGGCGCCGCCCGGCTATGATCTCAGCTACAACCCGCCGCCCGAGTACCTCCCCACGGCCGAGGAGAAGGACGCCTGGGAGAAGCTCGACCCGGAGGAGCGCGAGAAGGAGTACCTCCCCAGCCAGTTCGACGCCCTGCGCAAGGTGCCCGCCTACGGCGAGTTCGTCAAGGAGCGCTTCGAGCGCTGCCTCGACCTGTACCTGGCGCCGCGCGTGCGCAAGAACAGGCTCAACATCGACCCCAGCTCGCTGCTGCCCAAGCTGCCGCGCCCCGAGGAGCTGCGGCCCTTCCCGACCGTGTGCCAGACCATCTTCCGGGGCCACTCGAGCCGCGTGCGCACCGTCGCCTTCAGCCCGGACGGCGAGTGGATCGCCTCCGGCAGCGACGACGGCACGGTGCGTGTCTGGGCGCTCAACGGCCACCAGGAATGGAGCGCCCAGCTCAGCTCCGCCGACGAGCCCGAGCCCGTCAACATGGTGCGCTGGCGGCCCAGCAAGGAGACCTTCATCCTGGCCGCGGCCGCCGGCGAGGACCTCTTCCTCATTGCCCCGCCCATCGTCAGCGAGGCCACCGAGCAGGCCAGCCGCGACGTGCTCGACGCCGGCTTCGGCTACGCCACCAACGGCGCATCATCATCAGCAGCGACCACCGCCGACGGCGCCAAAAAGGAGCCTCCCGCCAAATGGTCACGCCCCAGCTCCTCGTCCCTCGTCGCAAAGGGCGTCCTCCTCAAGGCCACCGTCCGCTCCGCCATCAAGACCATCAACTGGCACCGCCGCGGCGACTTCCTCTGCACCGTCTCGCCCACCGGCCAGCGCAGCTCCGTCATCATCCACACGCTCTCCAAGCACCTCAGCCAGGTGCCCTTCCGCAAGCTGCCCGGCCTCGCCCAGACGGCCCAGTTCCACCCGACGCGCCCCTACTTCTTCGTCGCCACCCAGCGCATGATCCGCTGCTACGACCTGCAGCGCCAGGAGCTCCTCAAGGTCATCCAGCCCGGCGCCCGCTGGATCTCCTCCATGGATGTCCACCCGGGCGGCGACAACCTCATCGTCGGCTCCTACGACCGCCGCCTGCTGTGGCACGACCTCGACCTGTCCAACCGCCCCTACAAGACCATGCGCTTCCACCCAGAGGCCATCCGCGCCGTAAAGTTCCATCGTGGCCTGCCCCTCTTTGCCGATGCCAGCGACGACGGCTCGCTGCAAATCTTCCACGGCAAGGTCGTAAGCGACTTGATGGAGAACGCCACCATTGTGCCCGTCAAGATGCTGAGGGGCCACAAGGTGGAAAAGAAGCTGGGTGTCATGGACGTGGACTGGCATCCCAAGCATCCTTGGATTGTGAGTGCTGGTGCCGATATGACTTTGAGATTATGGGCATAGGGGAGATGAAGAAAGGAAAGGGAAACGCTGTATTTGTTTTTAATAGTTTGGGTGAATATGGTAATAAAAGTGCATATATAGAACTGCCTAGTAACAGCTTTATCCAAGCCAAATCATGTGTATTCGATATTTGAATCTTCAAGGTATTTTTATTGCAGTCGTCACTTTATTTCACTCTTCAAGGCATCGAAAATTTTGTGAAACGTAGGTATTACTATAAAAGCAAACTAACTCAAATACCATTTGTCATTTGTGACAATTCATCGCCTTTTGTCCCAACCCTTTCCATCACCCATGATTCGTAAAAAAAAAAAAGCAAAAGACGAAAAGTCCTCGTTACCTCTCTACATCTTACACTTGACGACCACCTCCCTCGCCATGGCCACCATACCTTTTGACTTGCCCTTTGTGTCTTGAATATAGTGCGTCCTCCGTGCGTTGCCAGACACTTTATAGTTCATTTCTCAGCTTCTCGCCCTTCTTCTTGGCCTCGGCCTCGGCCTTGACAGCCTCCTGTTTGGCAACCTCGCTGCCAATGTTGAGCTGCTTGGCGATCCAACTCCAACCATCCTTGGCTGTCTCTCCGATCTTAGCAAGGACAGTGCCTCCGGGAGAAGAGGAGCCATATCTAAAGTATGTAGATTGCTTGCGCGCCTCAGCTTTGAGCTCATCAATCTTGGAACCCTGGGGGACAGGGACTCCGTAGCTGTCCAGGTAGGCTTTGAGGTCACTCTCAGACCAGCCATCAAAAGCATCCTGTTTGGCAGAAGCGGTCGCGGACGCAAGGTAGCTAGTGGCAGAGGCGTATTGTGCGCCACCGGCCGATGAGGCGGATGAATAGGCAGACTGGGCCGCACTCACGAGCTCCTCCCTGGTGGCGTCCTTCTTCTTGGCGGCGGCCTTCGCGGCAGCGTTTCCGTGCTTGCTGAGGTAGCTCTTCAAGTTGTCGTAGTTGTAGTCATCAAAGTTCCACGCTTGCCAGCCAGAAGCTGCCTTGTGCGTGTTCTTTCGAACAAGGGCTCGAAGCTCATCGGTCTTGCTGGCTTGGGGAACAGGGACGCCGCGGGCATCCAGATAAGCCTTGAGTCGGCTATCTGACCACTTGTCGACGGCTTGGTTGAAGGCATCCTGGGCAGCAAGTGAAGCGCTGTCAGTGGCCTTGGCATACTGGTTCTGGGCGTTGGAAGTAGCAGCGCCAAAAGCAGCCTTGACGCTAGCGCCAACAGTGTCACCCAAGATATCAGCGCGGTGCTTTCGAACAAGAGCTCGGAGTTCATTAAGCTTGGTGCCCTGAGGGACAGGGACTCCGTTCTTGTCGCAGAATTCCTTGAGCTGTGACTCGCTCCAGGCATCAATAATGGTGTCTGTGAGATAGGTGTAGGCGGCTTGGATCTTGGCGGAGGCGCTATTGGCTTCCTCCTGAGACTTTAGGTATGCAAGTCGAGAGTTGCGGCGAACCGAGGCAATCAACTTGTCTCGGGTGGTTGGCTGAGGGGCTGGAAAGCCGTTCTTGTCAAGCCACTCCTTGAGATCGGACTGGGACCAGGTGGAGTAGAGCCAGTCACCAGGGTAGGCGGCAGTCTCTCCAGCTTTGTCCGCAACGGCCTGATAGCTCTCACGAGCTTTCTGAAGTAAAGTATCACGAGTACGCGGCTGAGGAACTATACATCGGGCCTGGGTCAGCTTTTGCTCTCAAGTTCAACATATACATATGTAGATGGGTATATGCTGGGGACTACATACCTGGAATGCCATTCTTGTCACAGAACGCCTTGAGCTGGGAATCGGTCCAAGAGTCGAGAATCCAATCCTTGACACTGGCCCAGCCAGCGTTGGCAGAGTCCTCGGTTTCATACCAGTTCGATTTCACATGAGAGAGCAGACTGTCCTTGTTCTTCTGAGCCTCTGACGCCACATCGTTGCCTCGAGCTTGCAAGTACGCGCTCAGCTGGGAAGTGTCCCACTTGTTGTAAGGCTCCACGACATAGTCGTTCCAGTTCTTCGAGACAAGATCCTCCAGGTCCTTGCGGTCAGCTGGAGTCGGGTATGGGATATTCTGGTCAGACAGCCATCGCTCAAGCTCTGTTTCGTGCCACTTATTGTAGACTGCGTCACCTACGTCAGCTCTCAATATTTGTTCATTTCCGTCGCCTGCTGTGTAGATGATCCGGAGATTTCTACCAAGAGAATGTCAGACTTACTGGTCTTGGAGCCAGGGAACCAGGTGCTCGCTGTAGCTCCCGAGACGGCGAGTCCCACGACGAGGAGATCTCGAAGTCGCCACATGGTTGCAGCAGTGCCGATGCTTATTGGGGGTGCCCAGCAGGAATGTTCAGTGAAGTTGTCAGTTCACCTACGCGCTATGTTGCTGTGTCTGTTGATTTCCAGGAGTCGAGAGAATGATTTTCTAATAGGAGAGTTATGTGCAGAAGTTGAAATAAAGTATGACAAGAGGACAGATGGCGAATTTAGGAGGCTGGCAGCTGTGAAGCGGAAATGAGGTAATGGCCTGCTGTTGAACAACTTTTCCATCACGTCACTTGCATGACATGACACCAAAACCTGCACCTGCCCAAGGCACTTTCACAAGCTTCTCGAGCTTCAAGTACCTGAGTCTGCCTGTACCCGCCAATTGCGCGCCATTCACCTGCATCCACGCGTACTCGATGACAGCTATACATGCTGCGGGTGCCACTAAGCTTCGCTGCTTGCCTGGTATCCCAGATCGGGGATGCAATCGAGATAGTCCTGGCCACTCAGCTTGCAGAGATGGCGCTGATTGACAATGAGCTTAACTTTGGTCGCAATCACAATGACGTAGCTGTTGGCGGTGGTCAATGTGGGGGAAGCTGCCGATCTAGCAGGAGAGAATGGTCCGGGGCTGGCATCAGCTACCCTGGAGAAGTACGTATACAGCTTCCTTGTTTTTACACTGCAAGCTTGTATCTATTCCAATGAGAAATTAGAAAGGAAGAATTGTTAATCTATTTTATAGCTGCTGTATGAATGGTTTCAACTAGTGGATGATATCAAAGGCCATGCTCCAATGTGGACAACCAACTTATGCTTGGGTTACATGGTCTCGTTTATGCTTAAAGACTACTAGTAGGTACCTAAGCTCAAACAAATCTCTAGTACAATCATACCAAGCTTGTCAAACAACAAGTAAATAGATAAACATCATCCATGCTAATTAGGTTTTTTTTTGGTTCTTTTCACGATTCTCTATTCGCTTTGCAAAAGAGGCTCCTATCTTATCTACCGAGTTGGCTTGCCTCTGCCAGCAATATGGCTGATTACACGCGTCCTCCCAGGCCTTGACTTTTCCCCTCTATGCCAATACCACACGCCATATCAGACGCCATCCACCGCCTCTGCATCCTTGGACAAACAAGAGCCTGTCCTCCCATGATCCCCCACCGCAAATGTGAGAAAAACAGATTATGCGTAAAAGTTGACAGTCTAGAGTAGAACGTATTAGTAAAGCACACACAAACAATGATAGCCCCGAGATTTTTGTTGATACTTACATCCTTCTTCTTGGCCTGTACTTCGGCAATAGCGTCGACGTAGTGCTCGTGGCCGATTTGGTTCTTTCCTGAGCGCAGGGCAATCATGCCAGCCTCAACGCAGACCGCCTTCAACATGGCACCACCAAACTCATCCGTGCTTCGAGCAAGCTCACCCCAATTGACGCCGGGGTTGACCTTCATTTTGCGCGAGTGGATCTTGAGAATCTGTGCGCGGGCCTCTTCGTTTGGCAGAGGGAACTCAATCTTACGATCCAGACGTCCAGATCGTAGCAGTGCAGGGTCAAGGACATCGACTCGGTTGGTGGCGGCCAAGACCTTGATACGGTCGTCCGAGGCAAAACCATCAAGCTGGTTGAGCAGCTCCAACATGGTTCTTTGGACTTCTCGATCACCGCTCTTCTCGCTGTCGAATCGCTTGGTACCAACGGCGTCGAGTTCGTCAATGAAGATGATTGCCGGGGCCTTTTCCTTGGCCAGGGCAAAGCAGTCTCGCACAAGCTTGGCTCCGTCACCTATGAACATCTGCACAAGCTGTGGTCCTGCGAGCTTCAGAAACGTTGCCTCCGTCTGAGCCGCGCAGGCTCTGGCCATGAGAGTCTTTCCGGTACCGGGGGGACCGTACATGAGAGCACCTATCATAATTATCGTTAGCATCGTGACTGTCCTGGAAGACTCGTAGCCTTTGTGTTTCTGGACTATGTAGTACCTTTTGGTGCCTTGATGCCAATCTTCTTGAACCGGTCCGCCTCCTTCATAGGCCATACGATAGCCTCCACCAACTCTTCAATCTGCTTATCCAGACCTCCAACGTCGGTGTACTGTTCTGTCGGCTTCTCGTCCACCTCCATGGCCTTGACTCGACTGTCGTACTCAGCGGGTAGCGTGTCCAAAACCAGGTATGAGTCCTTATTGACACCGATGAGGTCACCTGGCTTGAGAGTGTCGGAATCAACAAGGCCAATCAGCGGCAAGAAGATGGTTTGTCTTGTGGAGGTCTTGATGACGGCGGATTTGCCGACTCGGGTGGCATCGAGGTCGATATTAGCTCCTTCTTCGGAAGACTCTGCAGTAGGATCTAGATCTAGTAATTCAACAACGTTTCCGACCAGGTATGGCAGCTGTCTACACGTCACGCATCAAGAGTTAGCCACATGACAAATGCTTGAACCCAACAAGCTCGTGGGGAAACCTGCCTGTTGTTTGCGATTTTGTCCATGTTCTCCTTAATCTTTTCACCCATGGCGGCCTTCTCGTGCGTTAACCTCGAAAGCTCGCTCTTCATGATCCGAGAGTCGTTTTCAAGTAATCGCTTCCGAGTCTGAATGTCTTGTGTGCTTAGGCTGAGGATTTCGTCGTCGAGGATGTCGTCCTTGTCCTCGGCATCCTTCATCTCATCGTCCTCGTCGGCAACAGTAGCCTTCTTGTCATTGTTCTCTCTTCTCTTCTCCTCCTTCTCCCGGCGGTCGAGATCATCGAGCTCTTCGAGGGTCGACATGATGGCAGGGGGCCCTCAGCTGGGTGAGTCGGTCGTTTGTATAGGATGATGGCTGTAGAACTGAAGGGAAAAGCAACTTAATGCGCAAATCGAGAACGAATTTCTCAGTACCGATGGGGGGATCGCTTTGTAGAATGCTAAAGAAGGAATTGGCACTAGCTCCCAGTTGCTCTCGGCCAGCTTACAAGAGGCTGAAGCTGCAGGGCACCAAGTCCAAGCAGGTTGAGGTGTCGCGCGCAATCAGTCTGGGTGCCTGGTAGCTCAAAGCGCCAAGTACTGGGAGGTAGCGTGGGATGCTGCTGGGCGCTACACTGCGCAGAGAGCTGCCCCTCTGTACTTGACAGTACATTTGATGACAATTTCAGTATCGGAACGGCGGGTAATTGATCCGACATCGCCGGCGCTGGTGGGGCCACTTGAAAGTTCGCGAGCGAATGCTTTCTCAAGATTCTGGTCTAAACAGCCAGTCTGGGCCAATTCATGTAAGTCTTGTGCGCCATATTTTGCGTTGAATGACTATCAAGACTAATCCAGCTAGAATGACAAGAATAATAAGCAGGGCGGCGAGGCCGTGCCTCCGACGGCTCAGCTCAGAGACCACAAACCTTCGAGGGGCCTTGTCTCTTGGCTCATACGCCCAAAACTTCTCGACATCAGATGCTCAGCATGCAACTCCCGGCTTGCGATCCGTTCCCGAAGGCGCTCGGCCGCCTATTGAGATTGCTCCCGCAACAAAACCCCCCAGCGCGCGACCAATTGATACCCGAAAGAGTCAGATGATCCGAACATATACTTCGCTGCTCCGTACCACGCCCCTCATCTTGTTCTTCCAGCACAGCAACCTCACAGCAGTGGAATGGGCTGCCGTAAGGAGAGAGCTGAAAAAAGCATTGGATGGCGTCCCACCGGTGAATGCTATCCCGGGTGCTGAGCCTGTAGACCTTTCTTCAAAAGTACAGCTGCAAGTGCTGAGGACCAACATGCTGAACGTGGCCCTGAAGCTTGTGGAATTCTATAATCCCGAGACTGCGGCTGCCTCAAAGTCTACGCCGCGAACTTCCAAAGGGCCGATAGTCCACGATCTGTCAAAGGCTGCTTATGAGCAGGTCAAGACGGCCGAAATCTCACCCGAGTCTGCCTACGCCCAGATTGAGCCTCTCATGGTTGGACCTCTAGCCGGCCTGATTATTCCTGCGGTTTCTCCAGCGCACGTTGCAGCAGCCTTGAGCGTTCTCGCACCGGTCCCTGGAAAATTCCCTGCTCCGACCCGGAGGAAGAACCCCGGATACTACGATCCCACTTTCCAAAACGGCTTGGCGAAGCTGGTGTTGATAGGAGGGCGCATTGAAGGCAAGGTCTTTGACCAGGCAGGAGTTCACTGGGTCGGTGGCATTGAGGGCGGCCTTGACGGCCTTCGCGCACAGCTGGTGGCCATTCTCCAAGGCGCAGGTCTGGGCATCACATCTACGCTGGAGGGCGGCAGCCGCAGCTTATGGTTGGCTTTGGAGGGACGAAAGGAACAGTTGGACGAAGAATCAAAGAAGGATGCGCCGGCGGATGCATCTTCTTGATTTTTGTATGATGGAAATGAGCGAGATGTAAAAAAGACAGCGGGCTTGGATATAGGGCTGTAAAAAAAGTTATTAAACCTGTACATTACTACAGATGTATTCATAGAAATGCATAGCATGATAAGAAATCGTAAACATACCAGTCTCATTCCAATGTCGTGTTGAAGTCGGCCTCAAAGGTTCAAGTAGACAAATGCGCATATATATTCCCGAGCCTCAATGAGTGTGTGCAGTATGAGAGCCGTCTCGAAAGAATGGCGAATACGCGTATTCACAGCTGTTGAATAAAAGGATGCATCGACAGTCAATTATACGTTGGACATGATATGCGAGTCGGGAAATAAGTGATGATAAAATCTAGTAATATCAACATTTAGTTGAAGACTGGTTCATAAAAAGACGTTTTATGTCTGGCTATAATCTCTCGTCTTTGCACATATGGCGATGTATCTGGTTAGGTATGGATATAATTAACAATGTTGGTTGTTCAAAATAAATGAAGCCAAATTAACACCCTCCGCTTAGGTAGGAAAATAAAAAAAACTAATTACTTGTTGACTTGGCCACCAAACTCTTATATACCTCTGTGCCAGCTCCAAAAGAAGCAGTTAAATTCACATTCACATCAGCTCGTCCCAATCGCATTTGGTGGGTACGGTATCAGCTGAGGTACGTCACCACCAGCGGGCACGGACCCTTCCCTCTATGGGATTTGATGCTAAACATCAACAGACGGAGCCCACTTTCAGCACTTTAAGCCCTGGTAAACCGCTAAATGCTACCCTCTGGGGCAGCCCGTTTAGGTAGCAGCTCCAAGGCCTGCAGCGCCTCCAATAGCGGCTCATGTGATGCCGGCGCAATCAATCAACCTCCACCTTGTGTTTATTCAAACGACTACCTACCAGCTAAACCATTGCTCTCACAAACACCTCATTCGCACGACTCTCCCACAGCTGAATGTTGTTGACACAGTGGTCTTGAGCTGGTATTGCGATTCAGCACTCACCCGCCTCTGCTCGATTCAGCCAGCCAGCCTCGTCTCTTGTTCCTCCCTCCACTCCGAGGGTAGCTACGTAGCTACACCAAGCTTTCGAATATCCAACCTCCAGCCTCCTCCAACCTCCAACCTCCAACACCAGAACCAACACCGCCACAGCCATGGACTTTGCGCCCTACCAATCCTCGCCCCCAGAGCACACCCGCTCGCCAATGTCCTCCCCGCGCGCCTCCGCCGACATCTCGCGCCGGCCCTTCTCGCCCTCGGCCATCGCCTCCGTCGCGCGCAGCCCGCCCCCTCTGCAGCACCCGCAGCCGCAGCGAGCCTGGAGCGGCGACCTCGACGGCGCGGCCAGCAGGCACAGCGGCAGCAACAACGGCAACGGCGGCCTGTGGGGGTTCGGCAGCGGCAACAGCAGCGGCAACGGCACGCCGCTGGCCATGCCCGGCGCATATCCCGCCGAGATTAGCGAGTTCGACACGAGCCTGGGCCTGAGGCTGGATTACGAGGCGAGCCTGGCGTATCTGGCGTTTCCGCCCATTGGGGCCGTGATATTGCTGATCTTGGAGCGGAATAGTGACTATGTCAGGTACTGTGCCCTCTCACATATACTCTCTATATAGCATTGAAGCCAGCCAAATTACTGACAATCTTTTTTTGACGTATAGATTCCACGCCTGGCAATCCGCCCTCCTATTCACAGCCATCATGGTCTTCCACCTCCTCTTCTCCTGGTCCTCGTTCCTCAGCTGGATATTCTTCATTGGCGACCTAGTCCTCATGGGCTTCCTCGCTTTCAAAGCATATCAAGACGCAGAGATACTCGAAAGGTACACATACACAAGCCCTTCTTTCCAAGATCCCAAGAGATGAGAGTACAAATTCAAAGGCTAACTGATACCTTATCACGACATATAGGTTCGAGGTTCCCTTTTTCGGAAGTATAGCCAGTAGATGCCTAGATGACGAGTAGACGAAGCCATGCCCATTTCATTTTGTTTGTTTTCTCTTCTTGTCTGCATCTTCTTTTTCGGGGCGGTTCGGGGCGGCTCTGGTTTTCTCATTGTTTGCGATTTGGTGGCACCGACTCATGTTTCAAGCTATATTCTGTCTCTACTTTATACCCTCTCTCACGCTCCAATCATCTCTCTACACGTGGGCGATCCCATCAGGTTGCTCTACCGTAATGTATCTCTCACCCTCTTCCGTGCATCTTTGATTACATCTCTCACAATATTCGGACAAGATGATTCACCAGTCTACTTTCAGCTAGAGTCAAAAGTTGTTTTCCATACCTAGGTATTACACACAGATATATATATTGTGGCACCCCTAGGTGACGTTACTCGCAGCTGAGCGGGTATATCATATAAAGCATCTCTTTGCGGCTGTGTCGTGACTTATCCCATTTTCACTTTTGCCTCATATCTGTTTGCTGTTCGCCAATCATATTCCCTATTGAACCCAATTTGTGCAAGTTTCCACTGGTCTTATCTAGACAAAACACCTCTGACTGCCCCTTTGATCATCGGCTTCTCTTCAAACACCACCTCTTGAATCTTGTTCTCTTCGCTAGTTCCTTCTTCCAGCCATTTTGCCAGCAACTCGTTGCTCTCCTTGGGCTTCACCGCATCGTCTCGCGTTCCCACCGTGATATGCGCAACGCGGTTCACGCACTCCCATTTGCCTTCTCCATCGACAATGCGCACAACAATGGCCATGATGCGTTCGTCAAGCACAACCTGTTGAGAAGAAGGGAAAAAAAGTCAGTCATTTGAATGTCATATTTCAGTGAATTGTTCTAGCAAATCATCACTTACCCGCTCGAGCATCACGTCGCAGTCACCCAGCTTAGCATCACCTCCGCCCGCGGCTTCATGAAGCTCCTTGTATCGTTGCCATAGCTCTGGGAACTGGTCCTTTGTAGCTCTGTGCATCAACGTGACGTGAAACTTGCGCTGCACTCTTCTCGTGTTCTTGAGCTGCCAGAAAAACTTGGACGTCGCCGGGCCGACTCCCTTGAAAGATTTTTCGAGGAGTTTGTTAATAGAGTCGGTGGGTACGTCTACGGACATGTACTCCAATGGCCTCTTCTTCGGCGCCTTCTGCTGCTGCTGCTGCTGGCCAGCCTTGGCATCCTTTCTGCCGCCTCTGTCGGGGATGGTATGTCTGAAATCAGGTTTGTAATTTAGCGCAAAGTCCATAGCCTCATCGAGTTTCTCAGGGCTTGGCATTTCTTTGACCACGTTTGGCAGTGATAGATTGAGCTCTTTGACCAGTGTCTCGAGATTCTGTCTGCTATCAGCCGTAGGATCTAGATCGATGACAAGATCGAACCCGGCATCTGGCGCAGAGCTGGGGTTACATTCCTCGAATCGTTTAATGAAACCTTCCATTACTTCGAGGAATTTGTCCTGATTTGAAGCCGCTTGGATTGTCTGGTGATTGTCTCCTCGCTCAATGACACGATCCTGAGTCACGCGTCGGATATCATCAAGGGACTCTTCGTCATGTCGAAAGTTGAGGCAGACAATTCGAGTCTCGGGGCTCTGCGTCTTGATATCGCCGATAAGCTGCTTTCTCTCGTGCTTCTGCGCGTTGTTGCGATCTGCGTAAACAACAGGGTGCTCCTTCAGCTGATCCATAAGTGCCTTGACAAATCGCGGTGGCCGACCTTTGCCTGAAATGTTATCGTTCTGAATGTGGCCCCAGCCAAAGAGATGCGTCAATGCCAGAGCAAGGGTAGTCTTTCCGCAGCCAAGCGTCGCAATAGGTGCCAAGACAACGTCCTTGGTAACCTCTGACATGATGATGCGATCAAATCCTTCAAGGGTGGCGGCCTCTGATCCCTTGATGTTTTTATATGCTAGGAAGTCGTCCCGCAGCTTGATGATTCCATGGTTTTGATTGTAATCTTTGGAAAGTTTCGGATTGGCTGCCAGCTGGCGCCGGGCAAAAAGGAGATACTCTTCCGTGATCTTCACGTGCTTTTTAAACTTGGGCTGTTTGCCCGAAATCATGGCTTTTGTGCATTCTCGCCACTGTCGGTACATTAAGTAGGGCTCCTCAAACTTGTACTTGAAAAACCAGTCTTGGAAAGGCAGCTCGGTAGGGTTATGCGACATTTTGCATCGAATGACGAATCCCTCCACGTCGCGGCCATCATAGGCTCCTGTTTTGGCGACATCCTCCAAGAACGCCTTGACCTCGTTTACATCCTCCATGACTAGCAGGTCCGTCTTGATGAAGCCCCATTGGCTTGCAAAGTCCTGGACCAGATTGCTCGGGTAAGTAGCAAATTCGGGTAGGTTGAGGTTGATGCCGTGAAGGTACAGCCCGGCCTTGTCATCCTCATAGGCTAGAATGTGTTCTTCAAACGAGTCGTCGCAAAGCTCTGCTACGGCAGTAATATTCCGGGACCGCAATTCCCTGGCAAGGTCCTCCTTGGTCTTGCCAACGGCGGCCAGCTGCTTCTCTATCCGAACCTCTCCGGCACGGGCGTGGCTGAGCTCAACATCGCTGCGGTCGCCGGTAGAGTGCTTGCTGCAAACAAGAAGAGTGTCATCCTCGAGGCCAGCCACGAAGATGATGCAGCCGTTCTCCTTCAGAGTCAGCTCGTAAGGTCCCCTTGTGTTTTTCAGAATCACGTCCCACTTGGTCTCCTTGACCTCGTTGACGTTGAAGAACTTGTCGTAGCCTCGGACTGCGATTTCCGGGGCGTTGTTGCTGGTTTTGGTGGTGAAGAGGCCGCGAGCATATGTAGGGAGCCCCTTGCGCTTATAGTCGTAGTCCATCATCTTCCAGGACTCTACCTCGATGCGATCTCGAGACTGCTTGACTGCAAATGTAGTCTTTTTGCAGGAGAATCCAGCACGTCGTTTGTCTTTTCGGGCCACGTCCAGAGCCGAGATCATCTGTGAGACGGCCGACACGTCCTGAGGCGTGTACGGGGCTGCCATCTTTGCGCTTTGAGCGTTTTCCGTCTTGACCAGCTTTGCCGCCGTGGTTGCGTTGCGAGAGCGAAGTGAGAAGAAGCTGGACAGTCGATGTACAAGTCTGGGTATTATAGTCATACACCAGCTTCCCAGCTATACTTGTGTAGCTGATGCCTGAGTGGTCTGCCTAGAATCAAGGCCTCCAGTCGCTGCTATACCGCCGTTTTTATTATCGAGAACCTCGTCTCTAACAAGGATGCACTTGCTAGCGGTGCCCAACACTGCCCTCTTTTTACACAGCCTGGGAAGGTTTGGTGAGTCAGACGCATAAACAGACTCAGAGTTACTCCTCACCGAAGGCTTAGGTCATGCACAGACCCGCCACAGGAAAGAGGGATCGAGATTGAGATTGGCTGTCTTTGTCTGCCTTTGTCCTACGTGCCTTACAAGCCAGGCCAGACGGTGGCAAGAGCGGATCGACGGACTCAATTTTGATGTGTTGAAGTATTTTGCTTTCAATATTTTGCTTCAAGCTCTAGCTCTAAGCTGGTGGGTCAGTAACCACTTCCACTTCCACTGTATATAGAGGCTCCAGTGGACTTTAGGCAGCACGCCCAGTAGAAATCGCCCTACAGCGATCCCTAGCCCTGGCATGCGGCTGATGGCAGGGATGTCACCAATCTGAATCTGCCTTACATGGATAGTGGGGGGAGGGGTCAAGTGGCAGCGCTCAGTTTTTCTTTTCCGCAAACTTCGAGTCTACCCCTCTATAGCCGCTAACAGAACGCGAGAGCTTCTTTTCTTCCAAGCTACTTGTATACACTTTCAAGGAATACGAATCCATCAACCATCTGCTACACAAGCTCAAAAAGATAATCGCCATGGCTTCTTCAAATCCCTTCCTCTTGGCCGCCGACAACAGCCCTGCGCTGCTGCCTCTCCTCCGAGAAAAGCCTGCGCTGGCATCGGCCCAGGACGAGCATGGCTACTCGCTTGTGCACGCTGCGGCCAGCTACAACCACCTCGACTTGCTCCGAACTCTGATCCAGGAATTCAAGGTCGATATCAATATCAAAGACGAGGACAACGAAACCGCCTTGTTTGTCGTCGAGACTCCCGAAGCTGCCAAAGCCCTGGTCGAGCTGGGCGTGGATGTCATGCACCGAGGCGTGGAAGGATTTACAGCGAGAGAGAAGATTGAGGGAGAAGCCGAGTTCCCGGATGTTGCGGCTTACTTGGCTACCATTGAGTCTGAAAAGGCTGGAGAAGAACTCGAGGCGGCTGCTGCCGAGATTGCGAGGAACGCCCCCGAAGGCATGAAGGTCACTGTTGGCACTATGGACGAGACGCAGGATATTCCCGCCGAGTTCGACCCAGAGTTCCGTCGCCGAATAGAAGAGTTGGCGCAGCGAGAAGACTTTAATACTGCCGAGGGCCAGGCTGATTTGCGAAAGCTGGTGGAAGAGGCCCTGCTCGACCAAGGATTGTCCGAGGAGCGCAATGTGCGATCTAAGCAAGCCTAAGTGTTTCTGTTTCAATCCAGACTCTTAATCTCCCACATGAGGAATTCCCCTGAGCTCTCGGGCAGCCGAAGAAAGGTCAACTCGCTGCATCCGCCGAGAATATTACGAGAGAAGGTCGTTGCGCTAAGCGCAAACCAAGACTGTGAGGGACAGTTGGTGACGATGTCAACAAATAGACCTCGCAGCCAGCTTGAGGACAAAAAGCCTTGCCAACTCAACTTACAGACCTGCGTCTGGGCTGTGGAGCTATCGGCTTCTGGTGGGCTGTATCGAGAGAGATAAGGGTCGATGGTGTCCCCGGTCACTATGCGAGGGCTTTCAAGTCGAACAAGCGATAGCCACTCATACGTTTCTGTTGCAGAATATTCCAGAGACTCACGATCTCCCTGAGCGAGGATCGTGGAAGGTAGCCCAAGAGATATTTGGTTGATTCCGGTATCTGAAGCTAGCCTCGGTGAAGATGTGACCTTTGCTGCATTGAGACCCTCTAGTAGATCCATATTCAGGTCTATAGAAGTCAGTATTTAACGTATAGTTATTTCACATAGACAACAGGCTAGTAGCAATAGTGCAGGAACAAAACATAGAAGCATACCAGAGCTGGAGGCGTTGCAGACAAGCCATTTCATAGGCTGGTTCAATACATTCTTACATGCATATAGCAATCTATCAAATCGTTTTCGTCCATGCCGCATTGATTCTTCTCTGAGATTGTATGATATTTCTAAATAAAGGTTAGAATCCGCGCAAAGCCTGAGCATAAAGAAGACTCGAAACATACTCCACCTAGGCTTGGATCCGCGGTCGCCTTTGATGCCATGAGGTTTTCCCTCAAGTCCGGCGCGTTCATATGTCTCTCTATCGAGGTAGAGATTGAGAATTCCCTCTCGAAGGGTGAATAGCTGACCCATGGCTGTTTTGCCCTCTGAGAGCATCATTAAATTTCCTGCTGGGCATTAGCTTTGAGGACGCTAACAGTAATGAAATGATGCAAGTGATTTTGTAATAAAATAAGGAGAAACGAGCAATGTTTACGCACCAAGCTTGATATATTGAGTAAGAAATTTCGTTTCCAATACCTGGCCGAGCGACATGGCCACTCTATAATAGGAGGGAGATTCGCGCTCAGCCATTTTTTGAACGACAACATCATATACGTCCTGAGGAATAATCAGATCAACCTATTTCAAATTAGCACTTCAAAAATAAAGTAGTCAAGAAGGCAAGATGACCAACCTTGTGAATATAATCGAGCTCAGACATGGCCGTCCAAGGCTTCCCTTTGCTCGGGATCTGTTTTGGATCAACGTGGCCCATTGTGCCGTACGTGACGAAGCATTTTGGCGCCTGATATATTGACGGAGCCTGATGCAACATGGTTTGGTCGGACTGTGCACTGCAGTATCGTGAGTGGCTTGAGAATTTAAGACGACGCTCTCTATGAAATTGTTGTTTCTTTTGTTTTCAGAGCTGGAGCTTTTAGTTGATAGAGCCAATTTTTAGGGACAAGCCAAAAGTGGTACAAGGTACTTGTGGCTGACTCCCGCTGCACGACTCATAATTTTTTTTTCATCTTTTTGGCGGGGCTACTAAAACAAGACATTTTTTGTATACAATCTTTTTTATGAAATAGAGAGACAAAGTCTCATTGCTCTCACTTTCATTGAGGACCACGGTAATTGTATTTAAATCGAATCAAAAGTGAAAAACTACTAACTTGTTCCTTTAGATTCATGCCTTTCATTTTTTGAATTATAGAAGCAACGTCTAGAACAATTGCCATCTTATAATTTTACACATACACACACCCTCTCATTTCAAGATACCCTGAAATTTACCACACGCATCGACACACACATAAAAGCACAAAAGCAGACGGACATAGCGATACTGCACCTCAAGATGGATTTCCTCATCAAGTTTGCTTCCGAGCATGAGTCCTTCAGGCTCCCCGAAATCGAAGCCCTCGCCGTCCTCGAGGGCGTCGACCTCAAGGTCAAAGAATACAACAGCGAGGTATGAAAAAAAAAAAAAAAAAGCAGACTTATTCATAGCACATCTTGTTCCATTTGACATCATCACTAACATGCCAACAAGTCTCCATTCTGCGTCGTCCAACTCCCCTCCGTAGAAGACGCAAAGAAGCTGCTCCGGCGCTCAGTCATGGCTCACTCAATACACGAGCTCTGGGGAACAGGCGAAACGCTCGAGACGCTCCACGAAGCCATCAAATCGCAAACGTCCCATCTCTGGCCCCAATACAAGGAACCCTCGTTCAAGTTCGTCGTGGACTCGTACCAGGGCGCGCACTCCAACGAAGAGCGCCTCGCCCTCATCAACTCCTTCAGCTACCTCCCCTTTGACGGGCCCATCCGCATGTCCAAGCCGGACAACACATTCACCGTCTTTGAGCTCTGGCCCTTCAACAGCGTGCCTCTCAAGATTGAGCACCCGGACAGCATCCGCCTGGGCCGCTTCGTCGCCAATTCCGCCCGCGACATCATCCACCGGTACGACCTCAAGAAGCGCAAGTACATCTCCACCACCAGCATGGACGCCGAGCTCTCCCTCGTCACCGCAAACATTGCCCACGCGGCGCCGGGAAAGCTCTTTTACGACCCCTTTGTCGGCACGGGTTCGTTTCCCATTGCCTGCGCGCACTTTGGGGCCATTGGCTGGGGCAGCGACATCGATGGACGGAGCATGCGCGGCGAAGGCGACAAGAAGAAGAGTCTGCCTGGCAATTTCACCCAGTACGGACTGAAGCCACAGCTGGGAGGGTTCTTCTCGGCGGACTTGACAAACACGCCCATCAGACGACGAAGAATTTGGGACGGAGTCGTATGCGATCCGCCTTACGGAGTCAGAGAAGGATTGAAAGTCCTCGGACTAAAGAACCCTGAAAATGCTACATGGCTCATCGAGCTGGGTGTAAATGAGTGGCAGTAAGTTATTTTAATTCCCTTTTCACGGCCATGAAGTCGATGGGCTGACACGCTGCCTTGTCCAGATCACCAGATTACGTCCCCCCAAAGAAACCATACAGCTTCCTCACCATGCTCGACGACATCCTCGCCTTTGCATCAGACACTCTCGTAGACAACGGCAGGCTCTCCTTCTGGATGCCCACCGCAAATGACGAAGAACAAGAAATCCCTGTTCCAGCGCATCCCTGCCTCGAGGTAGTTGTAGTATGCGTCCAAGTTTTCAACAGATGTACGTACTTTTCACCTGACACGTCTTGATACCTATTTATCCCTCTTTCCTGCATGTCATTTGGGCTAACTTCTCCACCAGGGTCAAGAAGACTCATCACCTACCGGCGACTGCCAGATTCTCAAGTCTCAAAGTCCAATCTTGAAGCGCATGAAAAGCAGAGGGCCGAAGCAGCAGCCGCAAATACAGGCACGACAGCAGACGACCTCAACCCGTTCCGCCGAGGCTACTTTAGAAAATTCGAGGCCGAATCATAAAGACACGCCCGACTCTTTTCAAATTATATGCTCACTACAAGATAAAATCGCATCGCGTGCCTGCCTGGGTATTCTTCCAAAGTAAAAGCTTCAAATAGTCTTCAAATAGTCATTCCATAGAGCTCTCAAGGTACTGTCACACCAGCATGTTCCATCTATTCATATTCATCGCGTTCATAGCTAACACACTTCCTCGTGCCAGCCAAATATTCATTCAGTTTAATTCCCTGCAGTGCATCCCGACATAACCTATACTAAACAGCCAGGCTCCTTGCACGCATGCTATGTATATCCCGATAAACACCTTCCATGATTGATCCTCTTGGAAGAAACAAAAAGAGAGAAAAATTGAGAGTAGAATAACGAACAAAAGGAAAAGAGAGAGAAAAAGGAAAGAAAGTTCCCTCAATGATATACCACATATCGTTCCATTATTAGTCGACACATAAAAAAAAAATATCATCGCTTAGGTGATTATCGAAACTCCATGGCACTGAAACATCCCCGGTCAGGGACGTGCTTCAACTCCAGCTGTTGGAACCTGGGCACGAGCTTGTTAGCCTTCACGTGTTTGGAATGGATGGAGTGGGGGAAGGGCGGTGATGGCTTACTTTTCGCTCTTGGAGTGAAAATAGATTCCACTTATTTCTCCCTTGACTTGGTTGAAACAGATGTAATAGAAGCCTTCAAAGGAAGCCCCGATTATTGTTCGAACTCGGTGGTCTGGAACTAAAAAGTGCTCCTTCCATCGCATGAAAATGTGATCTCTTTGTGCCAGGTCCGTGATGGTGATGGGACCCTTGCGGGCTATCTTCTGGTATGGCCGGAAAGCGCTAAATTTGGACCAGTGGCTTATGTCCACTTTGTAGTTTGCGCCCCAGTCGTCATGCTTGGTGTAGAAGTTGTACTTTGTGCCAATGATTTCTCCCTCGAAATAGGTGGTCAGTGTTGGGTGGTCCTCGGTCAGTCCTATCCGAAGGGCCAGGCTGGTTAGCTATGACGCAACTTGAGACTTGTGCCGAATTGGAGCGACAAACCTTGGATGCGCAAGTAGCCGCAGAGGAAGGACTCGCGCAGGTCAACATGCTTGATCTCGACCTGGACGTCGTAGACCTGCCTTTCGGATTGCTGTGTGCCGCGGAACTTGCTCCCAGGTCGGAGGAACGATGACGCAGAGACGGGGATATTCTGCATACAGTGTGAGCAGGCTGGATGCACTCGAACAGCGAATTCACTCTTACCCTTATATATGTGCAATCAGATGGCATGGGCGGAGCGTCGTATTCATCTTCCTGCTCGAGCCATTCCAATGCGTCGGGCTCACGCTGGTACGACTCCGAGTTCTCGACTTGCAGAGTTCCCGACAGCGTGGATGATTCTCGGCTTAAGCGACCGCCGGAGTCGCCTCCCGTGTGCTTGAGGTCATCATCTCGTTCACTCGACGTGGGAGAGGTCGCAAGCGTCCCGCTAGACAGCGGTCGCAGAGACGCTGAGGTATCCATGGGCGAAGCTGCAGCAGATGCTTGGCCGTCTATTAACGCCGACTCTTCTGTTGCAACGTCGTCATGAGAAGTCTCGGACGAATGGGCCGTAGGAGAGGCAATGCTGGTCGACGAGCTCTGGGCGGCTTCTGTGTCTGGCGTCGGTCGCGTGGCGTCTTGTGTCGGACGCGCAGATCGCGAGGGATGTAGCTGGTCTTCAGGACATGTTGAGAAGCTGTAGGGGGGCGGCGAGGATTGATCAGGAGGCGGATTGGAGGATGGAGTCGGCATTGTTGCAGCTCTGCTGGATAGCAAGATCCAAGTCTGGCCGTGGCAGGCAAGGCTGGTGGAGGGAAGCGACGACGGGCAAGTGCGCAGTAGATGAGAAACGCGGTTAGAATAAAAAATACAGAGAAAAATTAACCAATCTCAGTGGTCGTTGGGCGTTTGAGCCGCGGTGACGGGTTTGGGCGTCTGGCCGACAGCGGATCGAGCTGCGATGGAGTTGAAGGACTTGGCGGTGATGGCAACGGGTCCAGCAGCGGTAAGGCGGCCCGCGACGCTGGGGAAGAGACTCTTCAGGGACGAGACGCAGCGTGCATCTCGCAATGGCACGTGCTGGCGGTGATGAAGAGCGGAGGATGGCGATGGCAAAGAATGCGAAAAGCCACACGGCCAGGACGATGAGGATGGCGTTTGCTCGGGAGGCAAAGTTTGGGCTTGACTCCCTGTATATTTCGGACGGCAGCACCGCTAAGGCGCGCCCACTTTATAGCGCTGCTGCCAGGTGGGCTCGATGCAGGTAGCGGTACAGCGGTACCACGGCCCAATGGCAACGGCACGGAGCTGCATATATGGATGGGGGGCACCGGGCGCAAAGCAGGCTGGTCCGCTGAAAAGCGAGAATTGTCGCTTTGAGTCGAGTTCGGAGCAGAGAAGAATTGAGTGATGAAGTAAGCATCTAGGCGTCTTCAATGGCCCGGGAAGGGTTCCATGTCTTGCAATGGACAAGTACACGGAACCTTGGGAAGAGGTGAGATGGAGATTTGCGGAGACGGCAGACGCTAGCGGGACGACTTGACCGGGCGAGGCTGTTGAAAGATGAACTTGCTTGTAGGCGGTTGCTGCTGAATACAGTGCTGCCATGGGTATTATTACGCAGTAAGAAATACAGCGTTGCTCCATGTCTGTGTCCAATGCAGTTTCAATGTTGTTATACAGTTTGTTAGCTAGCCTTGATCAAAAGCTTCGTGATTTTATATAGTAGACGTTGCGAAGATCTGCTACCACATACACATAAAGGCGATTAGCGCGTGGGCTATTATTGTTTCCAAAGCAAGACAAGACGAAACTAAAATGTCTCTGCCTCTTGCAAACCCCTGGATCGCGGCAGACCCTTTGACTCTCGTTTACGTGGTGATACACAATGCCTTAGTACATGCTGCTTAGTACATACTACTGCTGGTAGCCACCGCAATGTGGATCGTCGCGGGATAAGATGCAGCCCAGGTCCCACTCGGCGTTGAACACGCATATCGTCTAGTATCAGATCATGGCTCCATGGCTTGATCACGATAAAGCAGCAGATTGATTGATCACGTCTCACGATCTAACCTATAAAAAGGAACAAAACGTGCTGTTCTCGTGTCATGGTAATCAGCATGGATCTGAACTTCTATCACATGCACGTTGCACTCTATCTATACTACTGCTTACCGGTTTTACGGAGCCGAGTCTGGATTCGGCAAGCGAAAAAAAAAGACGGCAGCTCCCCGAGACATAACGACCCTTTACCGCCGCACATGTAAGATCACAGCCCCAAACGATATGATTGAGTGTCCATTGAGTTATATTCTATGTCAATATGTTAATCCACTACATTACCATCATCTCGCGTCCCAAGGCTATACCAAACCGCTGCTAAAGACCAAGTGAGCCGATTTTTGTATTTCAATGTCCCCATACGCCAGCCTAGACCCGAATTGAATCTACCACGCATCGCACAGTTGTGCGTATATCCACTGCCTCTTCGAGGTTGAATTGGTATCATAACTTGTGCTTGTTTCTCCGCCGTTTTGTAGAGCCGACTCAGATCGGCTTGACCTTGAAATGGAGCGCTATCAGACTGAAGACGAGCGCTTTCAGGTCTTGCACCAGGTAGTAAAAGACTCGGAGGCCTTCGGGGTCTGCTGATTCGGTCACGTCGACCAATGATCCAATCTTGGCCGTCTATGAGGCGTTAGTATCGCACCATGGCAACTCATCAATCAAGACAAACCTCGAATGAAATATGGTCGCTTCCTAGCCGGATTTCCAGCTCCTGTCGGCCGTCCTTGTTCTTTTGCGGCCACTTGGAGTCGTCTTCCTTTATGATTTCGCTCTGCTTCACGATCCGCTTGATCTCTTCGATGACTGCAGAGCTCACGCACACTATTTCCCATGTATCAGCTGCCATGTCCTGATATTGGCGCTAGATCAAACGCGACTCTGGGGCACAAGGTGTCCATACTTTCTTTCCGAATCAGGCTGTCGTTTCTGTAGTTTGAGTTGTTTGCATATCTAGCGACCGCGCTGCGCCCATCTCCGACGACACGAAAGTCGAATTCTATATTCCCGTGTCAGTATCAAAGCTGCGCATCGACAAACTGCAGCCAGGCGTCCAGGAGTGGAAGGCTGCTGACGGCCGTATCGTACCTAAAAACTCGTGGCCAAACCGGCCCATGTGCCCGGAGCTGGGCATAAAATCAGCAGCTGATACACTGGAAATTCATACATGCGTAAGAGGTGGCTGCTTACTAGTAACGGATGTAGAATTGGTCGTTTGGCGCCGTCATGATTGCTGCTGTTGTCTCGTCAAGTTGTTCCTCTCAGTGTCGCAAGGCTACGATGAGCTCCAGCGTCACTGGATGGTGGGGCACGGCAGAAATAAATGCGGTGAGTCGATAGCGCGCTCACAGTGGCTGTCGCTGCTGCTAGGCAGTGCTTCTGCTACTGCCAGACTGCCAGACTGCTAACATAGCTCGCATCACGTGAGACCCCACGTTTGGCTCTCGACTGCTTGGTGCCACCTGTACCAGTGAGCCATCGCCAGTAAAGAGCCAGATTGTCTGAAGCCGCCCAAACAGCAACGCATCAACTTCGCAGACGCCCGCCAGCCTTGCCGACCCCTCCTGGCGACTCTGGCAGCTCGAGCCCTGGAATTGGCGCCGCGACGACTCTCTGGCACATGGCTCTGGTGAGCTCTCGGTCTTCTGCAACTCTCCAAGCTCGCCCTCCCACCTCGTCCCAAGGCCCCTTATCCCTCCCCCACCGCCGCTGCCTCGACGCAACGATCCTGCTGGGCCGAATCGCTCAATTGCTCCCAGCCTTTTCGACTCTTCTCTCTTTGATCTACAGACTCCAAATCAGCCGCCATGTCTGGATTTCTGGAAAACGCCTACAGCCTGGTGCACCAGGACAATGCCTCGGACGTGCCCTCGCTCTCGGACCTGCGCATGCAGCTGGAGAAGGGCACCGATGAGAGCAAGGTCGACACCATGAAGCGTATCCTGACCGTTATGCTCAACGGCGACCCGATGCCCTCGCTCCTCATGCACATCATCCGATTCGTCATGCCCTCCAAGTACAAGCCGCTCAAGAAGCTCCTCTACTTCTACTACGAGATATGCCCCAAGCTTGACGCCGCCGGAAAGCTGAAGCAGGAAATGATTCTAGTCTGGTTAGTCGGCTCGGTTGATACCATTGACAGTTCCTCCATTCGATAGAACCCCAATCGACTGACCATCATGAAGCAATGGCATCCGAAACGATCTGCAGCACCCCAACGAGTACATCCGTGGAAACACACTGCGATTCCTCTGCAAGCTCCGAGAGGCCGAGCTCATTGAGCCTCTTCTCTCTTCAGCGCGATCCTGCCTCGAGCACCGACACGCCTACGTCAGGAAGAACGCAGTCTTTGCCGTTGCATCCATCCACCAGCACTCGCCTTCTCTCATTCCCGACGCCGCAGAGCTAATTGCGACCTTCTTGGAGACTGAGACGGATGCCACCTGCAAGAGGAATGCCTTCGCAGCGCTTGCCAGCATCAACCACGACGCCGCCCTCCTATATCTCAGCTCCGTTTTCGATGGAATTCCCAACGCCGAAGAACTGCTGCAGTTGGTCGAACTGGAGTTTATTCGCAAGGACGCTGTTCAGAACTCTCAGAACAAGGTATGGATTTGCCCTGTGTTATCCATCGTGGCCATTAGGAGTTCTCTAAAGCTAATAGGAATAGGCTCGATACCTAAGATTAATTTTCGACCTCTTGGAGGCCGGCGCATCTACTGTTGTCTACGAGGCGGCTTCATCGCTGACTGCCTTGACAAATAACCCTGTTGCCGTCAAGGCTGCAGCATCCAAGTTTATCGAGCTGAGCATCAAGGAGGCCGACAACAACGTCAAACTCATTGTCCTCGACCGCGTGGACCAACTGCGCCAGAAGAATGAAGGCGTCCTAGACGATTTAGTCATGGAGATCCTACGAGTCCTCAGCAGCACAGATATCGATGTCCGCAAAAAGGCGCTTGAGCTCTCCCTGTCCATGGTATCCAGCAAGAACGTTGAGGAGGTCGTACTGCTGCTGAAGAAGGAGCTCTCCAAGACTGTCGACCAAGAGTACGAGAAGAACACCGAATACCGATCTCTCCTTATCCACACCATCCACCAGTGCGCCATCAAGTTCTCAGAGGTTGCCGCCAGTGTAGTGGAGCTTCTCATGGACTTTATTGCCGATTTCAAGAACACTGCTGCCGTTGACGTTATCAATTTCGTCAAGGAGGTTGTCGAAAAGTTCCCCGAGCTTCGACCTACCATTGTTCGTCGTCTTGTTTCAACTCTCAGCGAAGTGCGAGCTGGAAAGGTTTACCGTGGTATCCTTTGGATTATTGGAGAGTACTCTCTGGAGGAGAAGGATATTCGGGACGCTTGGAAAGGAATTCGAGCCAGCCTGGGAGAGATCCCCATTGTCGCATCGGAGCAGAGGCTGTTGGAAGAGCAGGATAGCGATGAGAAGAATGAAGAACAGACTAACGGTAGCTCAAAGCCCGCTGCGCCAACTGGCTCCCGAAAGGTGCTCGCCGACGGTACTTATGCGACCGAGACTGCGCTCACCAGCCAGTCATCCGCCGCTGCCAAGCTCGAGGCTGTCAAGGCCGCCCAGAAGCCACCTCTGCGACAACTTATCCTCGATGGCGACTACTACCTATCAACAGTCTTGTCTTCAACGCTGGTGAAGCTTGTGATGCGCCACGCAGAAATCTCAGCGGAGAAGGCACGCACCAACGCCCTCAAGGCCGAGGCCATGCTCATCATGATCTCAATCATTCGTGCGGGACAGTCTCAGTTTGTCAAGGCTCCTATTGATGAAGACTCTGTTGATCGAATCATGGCTTGTGTTCGCTCACTGGCGGAATTCACCGAGAAGAAGGAGCTGGAAGCGGTCTGGCTCGACGACACACGCAAGGCATTCCGCGCAATGGTTCAGGTCGAGGAGTCCAAGCGCGCAGCTCAAGAGGCCCACGAGAAGGCCAAGACTGCTATTCAGGTCGACGACATCATTCCCATTCGCCAACTGTCAAAGAAGAACGCCACTGAGGGCTTGGACGAAATCGAGATGGACCTGGAAAGGGCAACTGGTGGCGAAGGAGGTGCCGAAGATCTCACGTCTAAGCTCAGCCGTGTTGTGCAGTTGACTGGTTTCTCTGATCCCGTGTATGCTGAGGCCTATGTCAAGGTACACCAGTTTGACATCATCCTGGATGTGCTTCTGGTCAACCAGACTACCGACACCCTTCAGAACCTGTCAGTCGAGTTTGCAACTCTGGGTGACCTCAAGGTTGTTGAGCGGCCGACGACACAGAACCTGGGACCCCACGACTTCCACAACGTCCAGTGCACCATCAAGGTCTCCTCAACCGACACTGGTGTCATCTTTGGCAACGTCGTATACGATGGCGCTCACTCGACCGACACCAACGTGGTTATTCTGAACGACCTGCACGTCGATATCATGGACTACATCCAGCCTGCCACATGCACCGAGACTCAGTTCCGAACAATGTGGACAGAATTCGAGTGGGAGAACAAGGTCAACATCAACTCCAAGGCCAAGTCACTACGCGAGTTTTTGGATCAGCTCATGGCCTGTACAAATATGAACTGCCTGACGCCCGAGGCCAGTCTCAAGGGAGATTGCCAGTTCTTGAGCGCAAATCTGTACGCTCGCAGTGTATTTGGTAAGCACAGACTCTTTCTACAATACCCAATGACAAATTCCTACATGAACTTGATGCTAACACAATCCCCGCAGGTGAGGATGCTTTGGCCAACTTGAGCATCGAAAAGGAGGGAGAGGACGGCCCCATCACAGGTTTCGTGCGGATAAGGAGCAGATCACAAGGCCTGGCCCTTAGTCTGGGCTCACTAAAGGGTCTTAATAAGATTGGCTCGGCCGCTTAGGCGTGAGGAAACCCGATGCCGAAAGGAAGAAGAGAACTTTTTTTACAGACTATGCACAAAAAAATTAGATAATTTTACGAACCCCCCCTTTTTTTCATACTTTGTTTCGCGTACTTGTGTGGAAGATGTTAATCTTCTTCTTTTTTTTTTTTGCCTTTGTTTGTAGAATCAGGTAGATATAAGATGGTGGCATGTTTTGTTTCCTTCACTTATTCATTATTAACAAGGCAAAAAGAGAACTAGGAAAGGCTTTTGGGAGTAAGCTATTGAGAGGACGAGGGAGACAGGGAGAAGGCTATATATGTGATTAGGCGTCTGGGTGATTGTTCCAATCTTGTGTTGAACAAAAAGGAGGAAACGGAGGGAAAAAAGACGCCCGGGATGAAATAGGGTGGGGTCAGTTCTGTGTGGATTTAGTAGGCGATGATTCGAATATTGACAATATTAAGACTTTTATTTTATTTATTGCGTATGCCATTGATATAAGACGCTGGTAGTAAGTAGTGATATGCCCTCTCGCCAATAGACTGGTATGGATATAGAAATAGAAGCCAGTTCTGTATCTTGCCCCTCATCTGTGATTATAGCTATCCACCTGCCACGCTATATACAGGCAATGTTTTATTATGTTGGGTATGTATAAGAAGAAAGAAGAGAAAAGAAAAGAGTTGTTGAAATAAAGGTGCTATGCGAGCATCGAGAGGTTGATATATGCTCCGTTATAAACTCCGAGTCGTAGCGTATAAAAAGTGAGATGAAAGGGGGTATTTATCCAAAAACATTAAAAATGGATATGAAGAAGCGGGAAACAAAAGATGTAAATACTAAAGGAGTGCCAAGTGCAGATGTTGTATATGGAGCCCGAGAAGGAAGAGGTCGAGGATGAAGGATGAAAGTGGTGTCACCGGTTAAAGACGAGGGCGTTGATGACATGGCCGACTTGCCATCCCTGGGCCTCTAGAGAGAGATTCTCCTTGAGTATCTTTCCCATGTAAGCGAGGCGAATCTTCTTTTCAGAGGGGGCCTAGATGGAAAGAAGAGCGTTTAGTATATATACATGCCTGCCAGCAGAGCGGAAAACCCAACAACTTACCACTGATATTTCTGTAATCTTCTTCACAACGCTCCTAACGCTGTCAGTCTTGGTCACAGGGACGATGATATCCTGGCCCGTCTCGCTCAGTCGCGCGCGCAAAGTCACCATTTCTCGCTCGTCAAGCACACCCTTGCCCTTTTCTTCCCGTCTCCTCTCGGCCTCTTCAGAATCAACATCATCTTCCTCCCCTGCGGTCTCGTCCTCGGCCGTAGATGTATCGCCCTTGAAGTCCGGGTCATTGTCATCCGCCATGTTGTCCGGATCAGATACTATGTATTCGGGTAGCGCATACAGATTGCCTAGCGAGTCGTATGCGCCGTTGACGAGATCGCCGGTGGGCAGCGAGATTTCGGCGGCGTTGAGGATGGTTTGCGCAGTGGCCAGCGCGCTGTCCTCGTCCTGCGAATCCTCTGGGCTCGCCTCCCACAGCACCTGCAGTGCGGCGTGCAGCGTCTGCCAGATCTCGGGCCTGCAAACCACTCTTGTTTCAAAGAATTCCTCGCGCTCCTTGGCCAGCTCGCGCCGGGTCCATCGCCGCTGCCCGGACGTCCATTCGTGCTTGCGCAGCGGGCGGTTGATGTGCTGGTCGAGGGGAGGCCGTTCGCGACGGGGCTGATCGCGGTGGGCCTGATCGCGGCGACGACGGCGCACCGAGGAAGCGGTTTGCGAGCCCCCGGAGAGGATGCCCTCGGGCAAGGTCAGGAGAGGAGGATTGCCGGCGCGCGAAGAGGCATCTGGGACGCCACCGGGGTGCGGCGAGTTTGGACCCGCGGAACGAGAGAAACAACAGCCCTGGCGCCAAAGAGTCAGCACATGCAGTGTTGGATAGAAGCTGAGCAGCTAGAACAGAAGCTCAACAGCTACTAAATGGCTCACCATGGTGTCCGCCTGTTGAGACGTTGCAATTGTTGTTTGGTCTCAGCTTGTCCACAAAGAGCTGCTGGACGGTGAGTTGGCCAACGCCATACCAGATCTGGCCTCAGATGCCAGTCTCTCGCTATGCCGGCTTCGCTAGCGGGCTGTGAAGAGATAAATAATAAAGAAACAAGAAATGGAAGCAGGCGAAGAAGACAAGGAAAAGAGACTGTCCGGTGGCGAGGTTGGGAGCGGGTGATTTTCCCTTTTGCTTCTCGAGCCTAAAACGAAGAGGGCAGAAACAAAGTTGGCAGCCAGCGGAAGTGCTGGTAGCGAGGCGAGGCGAGACTCGAGGTTGGTCGGGAAGCGAAGCGGCGCAGCTGACTGGCGCAACTTTGTGGCTGTGAGATGGAGGAAACTATCTTTTCCCGGCCGTGGCGGCGAGAAACGACAGGTTTTGGGTTTTGCGTTGAGGAGAGGGCCCAGAGAGACGGCGGTGGATGTCGAGCCAAAGTCTTTTTGCGAGAGAGCCGGGATTCGGGGGAATTCGACAGGGCTGTGGTAATACGCAAGAGCGGATGCGATGAATGAGGTGAAGAGGATGTCACTGTTGCTGATTCTCGATGCGTGATGCTTGACGTAGAGGAGGGGAGAGGAGAGGAGAGAAATGCAGTACTGGTTGTTATTGAGTGTGTGAATTAAATACAATGTCTGCACACGTATGTGGGACACGGCAAGGAAGAGAGCAACACATCATGAAGCTGCTGGAGATGATGCCGATTGGGAGAGAGAAGCGCTGCAGCTCTGCTAACACGTGCGTGAGGGGTACAGGCACTTGCAGGCTTGCAGGCGTGCAGCACAGAGCTCCAGAAGCTAAACGGCGCAATCGTCTAGCGGGCCTACCCACTGAAGACCTCCGCTGGAACCCTGCCAGAAGCGATGGCGCCCTACCAGCCAGCGAGGGTGTGATGAGAGATCAAGGTCGGCAGATGGCGTTTGACTGGCCGCCTGCTAGTGCTGTCGTTGAATCGTATGGCCATAGCCGAGGAGAGCCTAGGGGATAAAAGAGGAGCAACAGTTCTTTCGTATATGTTGATAGCGTAATACGATCTGACTGATGCCCAGTACGGATACATGGTATCGAGATTCCGCAAACGTTTGCAAGTCGTGGGTCCACGTCGTCATACTCGCTTAATGAGATGCTGTTGCTGCCGCTGAGATACGCCCGTGATACGAGATTGCCGCAGCATCTTGACTGCAGGTTTGTTACAAAGAGAGAGGCATCAACACCGATGCAGATATACGTGTAAATCGCGACTTGTTTCATCTCGTCTCCCCACTTGATTTTCTGTGGATCGAGCATGGGCCTTGCATCCCTCACCGAATGGCGTGCATATCTCACCGCGGCGCTCACCGAGGCTCCAGGGTAGGTCCCGGCCCGGCCTGGCGAGAGCAAAACGGGCACAGGTGCTGCAAGCATCTTTCAGTCTGCTATGCACAAATCTCATCAATCGCATCCAATTCACCGCCATGATGCGTATCTAGTCAGTGCATTGAAAATCCATTATTTATAATTGCATAAGCATAATCCCGAGTTTGAGTCTTTTCCATTTCGCAATTGGCCATATCAATCATCGCCGCGTTACATGTCGTTCATCAGCAAGAGCCCAAGGCCATGGTTGGTGACTGGATATTGCAACCCGTGAGCAAATAGGAAATCACAGAGCGTGAGTTTTATCAAGTAGGAGACAAAACATCCACAAGAAGAAAGACAAAAGAGCAGCCATGGAGGAAGCCACGAAGCAACATTTCTTTTTCCATGATAAGCTGGTATTGTGATCCTATCCATTGCTCTCATGAAACCCCCCCCAGCTAATCTCCATTCAGGAACACGCTGCCGAAAGAGAATCCTGTCATTTCTGCCAGCTCCGCGCCTTTTCCACGCACAAGGACACCCCCGTCTCCGTCGTCAACGCGCTGGACCGGGCCGTCATCTCGCCCAACTTTCGCTTCATAGACTGCATGGTGCTCGGCGAGGGCGTCGAGCCGGCTGAGGATAGTTTCCGCAGCGGGTGCTCGTGCGAGCGGGACGGCGATTGTCAGTTCATGGGCTGCCACTGTCTCGCCGATCTGGGGGACCTGGAGAGCAGCAGCGCCGATGAAGACGAGTACCAGGACGACAACTACGGGGCAAACGGGCATGGCAAGGGGAAGAAGAAGGTGTATGCCTATCACTCGCACGGTGCCAAGAAGGGACTTTTGAGGTCTAAGATGCTGGATTCCAAAGAGCCGCTGTATGAGTGCCATGCTGGCTGCTCGTGCTCCAAAGATTGCCCCAACAGAGTGGTGGAACGCGGTCGAACGATTCCGCTGCAAATCTTTCGTACTCCGGATAGGGGATGGGGTAAGTCAAGTCTTTTGCATCTCATATTCTAGGGACGGGAGAGCAAATCTTGCTAATCAAGGACTGATGCCCAAATCAGGAGTCCATGCCCAAGTCGCCATCAAAAAGGGCCAGTTCGTCGACCGCTACCTCGGCGAAATCATCACCTCGGCCGAAGCCGACCGCCGTCGCGCCGCCTCGGCCATCTCCCAGCGCAAGGACGTCTACCTCTTTGCCCTCGACAAATTCACCAACCCGGAGTCGCTGGACCCGCGCCTCAAGGGCCCGCCGCTGGAGGTGGACGGCGAGTTCCTGTCCGGGCCGACGCGCTTCATCAACCACTCTTGCGATCCCAACCTGCGCATCTTTGCGCGCGTGGGCGACCATGCGGACAAGCACATTCACGACCTGGCGCTGTTTGCCATCCGGGAGATTGCGGCCGGCGAGGAGCTGACGTTTGATTATGTGGACGGTGTGACGGAGGATGGGGCCGAGATGGAGAGGGGGAATGGAGCGCATATGACCAAGTGTTTGTGTGGGAGCCGCAAGTGCAGGGGGTTCTTGTGGTAGAGCATTGTTTCTGTTCTTGTCTTGTTAATTGAAATAGCTAAATGCACACATCTAGCCCTTGTGCTTTTTTTGGTTGATTCATTTTGATGGACGTGTGAGCATACAATCAACTTGGCTAGGTACACAACGGCCGGAGCAAGGGTAGCAGCTTGCCGTTTACGATTCACATGATTGCTAAATCAAGAGTGAGTTTCTCTTTGGGACATGTATCAGTGACCATTGGTGTTTTGTGACAAACAGAGTTCAACGGTGGCTGTTGGATTTAGTGCACCACCATCGACCTCAGCCTTGTTCCAACTACGCGCCTTTCTTCTTCTCACATCTGCTACCTCTTTCATTGCTTTATTTGTACTTCTCCTCTTCGCATACATATCCACGTCACTGGCAGTCCGAGTGTTGGGTACTGTTATCAAACCCACAAGCTGTAGGCTGCCGGATGCGGCTCGCCATGTCTACGCCTCCTCCATATGGTATCAAGCCGTGGCGTTTATCCTGCAATTGTATAAAATGAGGTGTATCCTCACATTCAAAAGGCCGTGACTACATTGCTCTTTTCCTGATAGACTGTGTCTTTTTTGTGCAAATGGACACATCGCCGCAAAGCAGTTCTCACTTCTCTAGCTCTCCTCCCAGTCCCGTCGCTCTTACACTTCGACGCCACCGAAGAGACGAGAAGAGACGTCTACAGGAGCAGTACTCTCTCGGCAGGCCTTTTCCGAGTGAGAGATTATGTGGCAATGGCGATTGCTTGCTGCGCTGCTGCTGCGTATACAAGACTACGGGCATACATCTTCCTTGGTACATTCTCATCGATAGGGATGAGAGTGAGGATGGTGTTCTAGTGAAGGATATCTTGACTGAATTTGCCTACCTTGTAACGACTGAGGTATGGCCATCCATAGAAAAGCAGAGCGATGTGTTACTCAAGGCCAGGTCGATGGAAGCCTTTGTCAGTTCGCCACCAGTCAGGGCGGCATATCTCGACTTTCAAACAGTCTGCCAGAAGAACGACTTTGACTTTTCAATCGAGTCACGTCTTAGAGAGGCCCTCTCCAGCACAATGCCTCAGTTCCGCGATCTCGTCACTGCTCTAGATGCGGCCGAGCAAGACAGTCAGCGCACCGAGATGCTGATTCATCGCCACTTACAACCTCAGCAGCAACCTGGGCAAACACCATCAGGGAGGCCACAATGGACACAAGAGAGCTGCATCATGCGCTTCCTGCTAACGACCGAACTCTGGCGTCGACATGGCGAGAAGCACATGCGGCAGCGCAACTGGGCGTGGGAAGAGCCGTGGATGGTGGCCGAGCTGCTTTCGGCGGTGCTGCTGAATTACTGGCTGATGGACGGGGAAAAGTGCTTTGCGAGGGAGCCGATGAGGAGCAGCGAGCAGTACGACGAGGCGTGGCAGGACTGGCTGGACAAGTATCCGTTGCTGGAGGAGAGTGGCGATGAGAGGGAGAGGAGAGTGACGAGTCCGGATCTGGTGCCGAAGCCGTTTGGGATGATCAGGGGATTGGACTTTGAGAGGGAGATTGGATATGTTGGCGGCGTGGGGACGGCGGCGAGAGGCCCGTTGTGGAGGGACTCGAGCCAGAGGCACGAGGGAGACGATGAGGAAGAAGGTGATGGCGGTTTGCCACAGCATTGAGATTAGAGAGGATGTTGGATTATTCATTTGTTCTCTTTCCTCTTCCTGGATAGTAGCAGCAGCATCATCTTAGCCCGAGTCTGTCAATCTGGATCTTGCAGGGGAATCTACACCACAGCGGGTCCCTGAGATTAGATTCTCGTTCCTTGCTTCTATTTTCCTCTTGGTCCCTGCTTCTGGTTCCTGGCATTCTAGCTGTGTTGGGCTATGCAAGGGGGAACTTTTGGGGCTGCCCGAAGCCCGTGCTGTTTGCGGGCATGGAATACCGGAGAGCGGACAATTCCGGAGAGGCGGCAATTGGCGGCATTCAGAGGGTCAGTTTTGTTTTCGTGGCACGATTCAAGATTGCAACAAAAGAAGAGCAAATTAAGATCAAACACAAAGGCAAAAAGCTGAAAAATTTCCATTCAAAAAAAAAAAAAAAAATCATCTTGTTCGGATTCCGAAATTCCGATGTTGCATTGCTGTCAGGCGAGCACGGCGTGATTGCTGCAGCGGCCAGGGGGGAATCAGGCGATGCTGGCCGGATGGGATGGCTGCTCATGGACATCTGGGCGCATCTCTCTTGCTGCAGCGGGAATTGAAAGAAGGGAGAGGAAAACACGCAAGTGCCGGGATTGAGACTGTATGAGTAGTATGATTTCTGTTAAAATAAAATATTACTGTAGTAGTAGGCGCATGCCAGTGAATGTTTGACAACACATGCATGATGCACATGCAAGCCGTACTACATGTATGCAGCCCAGAAACACCACAACTACCCAGACTCACAAATGCAACAAGACTGTGTATTACATCTCTATTATACCATCCCACGCAGCGCAATTCCATGGAATGAAACAATCAAGACTTTTCCTCACGTGCTTCTCCTTTTCCCCTGCCGCCCGGTCAGCCGAGCCATGCCATGCCTAACCTCGGATCACGCACCCAAGACTCCAACACAATATCAAGGCAAAAGCACCAAAACCCACTAAAAACCGAACCCCAAAACCCACCTCCACGCAAATCAATCCATGGCCCCCCCGCGTTCTCCCGTCGAATCGGACGCCGCGGCTAATGCACCGGCTAGGCTGCAAATGGGGCTCGTGGTTCGACTCTGATGCCGGGATGGGTTGGATTGTGGCCACACCATGAGCAGAGAGTCGCAGCAAGATGGGACAAAGGACAAGAAAGATTGGCGGTGCTAGGGGGCACACATGGACGGTTTGTTTCGTCAGGCTTGGAAATGGGCGCAGTCTGAGCCACCCTTATTCTGGCCTTGACTGACCCCCGTTTTATACTAATAGCCTTGGGGGGGACTGACGGTGGCGTTTGTTTTCTACTTATTCTACTTGCGTCTTGAATTACTTCATACCTTCCTGCACTTCTGAACAGCTACCTAGCTATACAGACAAAGCTCTTCTCTTGGAACTCAGACTCAGAGCAACACATCATATCAACTCTGCAAACCTGCTTCAATAAACACCTGTAGTAAATCTACATCTACATCTACCTGCACCACCCCACAAGCAATGAGCAAAATGGCACGAAGCTTCTCAACAGCTGCCAGAGTGCACCCGTCCATCTTGCCACATCTCCGACCACCACCGCGCCGAGCTCCGATCCGCCGATGGTAAGCAGCCATAAGCTCCCAAAAGAAACAACAAAATCAAAAATCAAAACAAAAAAATTTAAATATAAAAAACACACAAAGAATAAAACAAAAAATCTAATAAAGTTATTCCAGGCTCAAAACCGCCGCCGTCGTCTCCGTCGTCGGCTACGCAACCAAAACCTACCTCGACATCACCCGCGACCAGCGCCGCTCCAGCGCCATCGCCAACGAACAGGCCTCTGCTGACCGGCAGCGCATGATGGAGAATTTGTACGGCGGGCGCGAGACGCTGGAGGATTTGGAGAGGGGCGTTGCAGAGTATGAGAGGAGGTAAAAACAGCCATCGCTCGTGATTTTTTTCAGAAACGGGAGAGAAATTGCACCCCCGAGGCATTATTTTAGAGCGGGTGTTGGTGTGGCGAAAATTGGCATTTTTCATGGAAACGACAAAGCAAACTTGGAGCGAGCATACATTATTTTTTTTTTCCTTTTGTTTAAATTTTTTTTTTTTACTGGGCATCACTATACACTTGGCCTCTGTATCCCATCTGCCTGCCTAGGTATTTGAATGGGAATTGGAGGATGGCGTTTCTTTTAGGAGTCTTGATGATATTGGCCCAGCTTGGGCGGGCAGGAGAATTGACAGCATATAGAAGCCGCACGAGACGGTCCTTCTTATGCTGATATTCAAATATATTCATTCGTCTCATCACTCGCATTGCTTTGCCTCTTAAAATTTCATATTGACCAATGCTTTTTATTTCTGTGCACTGTTACACAACTCCGCTTCTAGCCGAACCGTCTCCAGGTCCAGAAAAGTCACCCCTAAACTGCTACCAGGCTCAACTCGGATATCGTTTCGTTTTCCTCCAGTCGCCCTCAGTTCCATGTCGCAGTCATCGTCTATAATCATCATAGAAAAGGCAAAAAGGGAAAAGATGAAGCAGGCCCAGAAAATGCTTGCCAGCTCGCAGCTCCTTTCCCCAGCGTAGATACTTCAGTTCCCGCTTACAATCGATCCTCTTGCTTCACCTCCTCTCAAGTCCTTCATGGGCCTGCAAGCTCCTTGCGCTTCACCTTTGTCTTCGTCGTCATCGCCTCCGCCAGCTTCCTGGCAAAACCCTTGGACACTTGCGCCACAAACTTTGGCTTGTCGGTAACCTCGTCCATACAGCTGTCCCAGGCGTCGTAGCAAATGCCCTCTACGAAATACTCAATGATTGTCTCTCCCAGCATCTTCTGCAATGTGTGCGCTTGCTCCAGAGCCTCGTATCCATCCGCAAAGTCTCTCATCAGAGCCTTCTGCTGGTCCTTGTCGGCATATGAGCGGAACAAGGCTCGGTGTCCGTCTCCAATGGCCGTCAGGATGCACTTGTGGAGGAATCCGCTCATCTGCGTGCTGATAAAACGGTCACATAACTTGAATACCTCAATGTAATCGCAAAGAGGCGTGCGCTGTGCCCGAGCCTCGGGGTTCTTGGACGCTGCGGGCGGCGTGTGCGGTACGATGGACGAATAGCTGTATGCTATACCGAGGTAGAATGCCATGTATCGAGGATCGATGTCGTCAAACTTTACCACGCCATCTGATTCCATAAAAGGCCTGCTCAGGCACGATTCAAAGTATTCCGAGTGCTGCTTGAGGACGCTTGTATGGACCTTGAAGGATTCGTTTTTGCAGATGATTTCGACCGAAGGCTCATCAGACCTAGAGAGGTTACAATATCAGCACGGCACAACAATGGACAAGGAAATAGATGCATACGAGAGGAGCCAAGCTGTGCGATAATCAGCTAGGAGCACCGACGATGGCTGGGCATCTGACTGCGCGTTTCTCGCCCGCTTCTTCGCCGGTGCCATGGCAAGAGGAAGCACAAGGCGGTGATACAAACAAAGGCAGAGTGCGGGTTAAATGTAGTTTAATAAGATAAAGAGAGGCGGAATGGGTGAATGCGATGCTGATGTTGATGAAAAGGAACGCGCTGCCCAGTATTTAGCTTTGGTGGAAGTGCGTGCTTCAACTGCAGCCACTCGGCGAACAGCTGGCAAGGGCAGATACGAGGTGCAAACGATACACTATCCAACAGATACAGTCTCTTATCAGATGCTTCTATAGGCCTTTATTAGCAGATAAAACTTCCCAAACGCCGCGCCTGTCCCATTTCCCATGTCTTTCCGAGGCTCTCCGCTGTTGTCATCATCATCGAGCCTTGATCTTGCGAATCACCACCTTGCTGCCCTCCAAGTCCCAGCCAACTCCATCACTCTGCTTCAAGTCGGCCCATTTTGAACCCGTAGCCTGCTCTAAATAGTCCAATTCCACTGAAAGATACGTTCTTCCAAAGCACTTGAGCGTGTGCATCCTCAAATCGCCTTCTGCCCATTCCATAATCCTTGCCCGATGACCGTCCACGCTTCTCTTGACCTTTTGGAACAAGACAAAGTTGTCATGCGCCAATGCTGTCAACGCTGCGTTTACCTTGGTGTCCTTTAAGCCATACCTCTGCCGCAGAGCAAAAGCTTCTGCCAGCGCTCTACGCCGACAAGCAGCATCAAGCACTAGATAGGCCACCACTTCTTGCAGCTCGACAGACGTGAGCGGATGTTGCGGATGGATGGAGCGCAGCAAGTGGAGGATGGCCGGGTGATAGGATTCGAAATGCTTGACGAGGATGGAGAGTCGGATGCAGAAAAGATAGGCCTGAACGGCAAAGTCGTCTGCTCGTTTCGTGGCGACGATGCCCTCCCTCAGTTTCCTCAGGGCCGCCATTACATCCGAGAGAGCTTTAGTGCTGGCAGGACTCTGGAGCGTTTCATTGTTGATGGAGGGCAAGATTCTCTGAGAAGTAGCAGAAGCTGGAGTTGGAGATGATTTTGAAGTCGAAGGTTCTAAAGACGAAAATCTCCGAAGCAGTTCGTCTCGCTGTCCAGCATCAGAGCAAAAGGTCATATACCGGTCCACTATACTGGTATAGTAGCTCCCTTGCGATTTGAGATCCAGCAATCTAGTTTGACGTTGTCAATAAACATAATCTTGTTCTTTCGTGCTTGTTTACTTTTTTTTTTTCATTACATGATACACTTTTGGACTCGTCATCTCACCTGGTGTCACCTTTCGACGGAAGGCCGATGCTCTCGAGGGGATCCTGCTCAACGGGCTTGAGCCGGCCCCACGGGCCTGATGGATTCCTACCACCTTTAGTCGGCATCACGCCTGGTGTTTGGCCATGAGATTTTTTTTAAAAGGGTTGATCCAATGAAAACGTGCGGTTCATAGCGAAAATGGACAAAGTAAACAGAGCCTGGTTGAAGTTGAAAGTTCCCCGCGGTTCTGAGGTAGTGGGGCCTTTATCTTATCAGCAATAACGGGCAAGACCGTAGATTCGACTGCCTCAGACACTCATGGCTACAATCGCAACAAACTGAAATCTTAATTGTACATATAGATTGGGGCTTGTTACAAGAGCACTTCCAGATATCTGATAAAACTTTTGAGAGCTATAAAACCAATAGTGTAGCAACTAGATGGCCGTGCATGTGTCCCTTGTACGCAACGAAATGACTGATGCGCACAACAGCTCATAAGGTATCTCATTTCAATCTATTACATGCTGGTAGAAAACGACCCGGTTACCCCAGATACCAAGTAGGTATACTATAAGCTAAGAAATGGTGGATTATCGTCATTATGGACTGCCATGGGTGCCCCGGGAAGCGTCGGCAATGCATCACCAGAGGGCGGTCATCGGCTGTAGACTCATGCAAATAGAAACACCATCAGCATCTAATTAGGGGTCTGAGCTATTAGTATCCATACCTAGTGGATATTAGCATGGACAAGCGGTGTACAGATGGCATTGGCATTATTCTCTCGATCCTTGTCGTCGTTTTACTGTTTAAATCTTCCGAATAGCTTCCCGCTCCGCGCCGGGTCAAAAGTACCTGCATTGGAAGAAATCGGGACCGCGAGGCCCCATGTCCAATATTTGTTACCACATACCCACAGCATCTGGATCCCGATGGCCTAGATTGGGGTATTAGTCTAGGAAGAATTGGAGAAATTGCGTAAATGACACGGCATTGAGCTCAAGAGCAAGTGTCTCATCAGTGCATGTATGAGTGAGGGTGCAAACAGAGCAAATAATATGCAGTGTTCTGTCTCACTAGCTGCAAGCAAATAAACATGAAATATACTGCTAGTAACAAGCAAAATAACCAATCACTTGCTGCCATTGTTGAGAGCTAAGCTCCCAAGATATAACCGCATCATAGCAATTGACCCCAAAAACAAGCCAAGCCTCCTTCGCTCCCGCATGTTTCCGCTGCTTCGGCTACGGCAGGAGAAGCTCCCGGCAAAGAGGAGCAGCGCTGAGGTCACACGATTTGCAGCGTGGCCCCGCTCGCCGCTGCTTAGTTTCGACATACATCAGATCTGCCGCTGCCAGCTTTCTCTCTTCTTCTCTCTCTCCTCTTCTCTTCTCTCTTCTCTCGTCAACCATCTTCTTGATCCCGCGCCTAATCCTCGGCTACTCACCAATTGCTTATCCTGCCCTGCAGCTGGTCTCTTCCCTGTAAGTCGCTTCCCACTTATTTGCGTGCCCTGACGTCTTTTGCGCCCCTCACCATCCCACGTTGCCCCTCCATGCCCCACCATGACCTCTTGTTTTCTAGCAGCAGCAGAATCGGCAGAGCATCCGAGGCGTCATGAGATATCGAAAGCGATGAGAGCAATTAGGCAGAGAGATTGGAATGAATTGGAGCAAAAGCAAGGCAAGAAAAGCAATGAAACAACCAAAGCAACGCAGCAATCCCAGGCCGGATGAGCAGGGCGACAGAACAGAAACACGCCACGAGTGAGAGACGATGGAACGACGGCCAAGCTCAACCAGCCATTCATTTCCATTCCTTTCGGTGCTTTGCCTCAACCATTTCCATCTCCACCTTTTCGCAGACGCCGTACGCGCTGGGCGACCCTCCCGACGCCGTCGACGGGCCAGTCAGATCCGGCATCTGCAGCAAATCTCGTCAGCCTGTTCCATCCGTCAACGGAGCTGCCCCTCCCTGGATCCTCCTTGGCCCTCCTGCTATCTCCCCTAGAAGCCCAAAATGCCTGCTAGCTGCGCTATCGATAGCTGTCTCGCCGAATTACGTTGAGCATTGAGACTGTAAAAACCCCGCGCTGCTGCGAGTTGCCATTACGACCCAGCAATTACTATTTTTTTCTCCTTCTTTTTATCTCGCTTCCTCTTCGTCATAGGCAAATTTCTCTTATTAGGACGCCCCCTTGCTAACAACCTCTTCTCGCAATTTCAACTTTTGCAGCAATCAAATCTCTGCGAACTCGCTTTCGAGCTTCATTCCGACCTATATCCATCTACTCACATCCAAAACTCGCAAAAATGGGTGCTACCGATGTCCTGAGCCGCAAGACCGGTGTCATTGTCGGCGATGACGTCCTGGCCCTGTTCAAGTATGCCCGCGAGCACCAGTTCGCCATTCCCGCCATTGTACGTTTTCGCATGAGATTGCGACTCCCTTTTCTGGATGGCGCCCGAGTCTAAGCTTCATAACTGACTGTTGCCACTCAAAGAACGTCACCTCCTCTTCAACCGTCGTTGCTTCTCTCGAGGCCGCTCGCGATGCCAAGTCCCCCATCGTCCTGCAGATGTCCCAGGGTGGTGCTGCTTACTTCGCCGGAAAGGTAAACTCTCGCTCAAACCCAAGATAGGATTGCGCGCATTTCCTCCATACAAGGTGCTAACTAAGAAATCAGGGCGTGGACAACAAGGACCAGGCTGCTTCCATCGCTGGTGCTATTGCCGGTGCTAACTACATCCGATCCATTGCTCCCGCCTACGGCGTCCCCGTCGTCCTTCACACCGACCACTGCGCCAAGAAGCTTCTCCCCTGGCTCGATGGCATGCTCACCGCAGATGAGGCTTACTTCAAGGCCACCGGCGAGCCCCTCTTCTCTTCTCACATGATTGATCTGTCCGAGGAGCCCGTTGACTGGAACATTGAGACCACCGCCAAGTACCTGAAGCGCGCTGCCCCCATGAAGCAGTGGCTCGAGATGGAGATTGGTATCACCGGTGGTGAGGAGGACGGTGTCAACAACGAGGATGTCGACAACAACTCTCTCTACACCCAGCCCGAGGACATTCTCAACATCTACAACACCCTCTCCCCCATCTCCCCCTACTTCTCCATCGCCGCCGGCTTCGGCAACGTCCACGGTGTCTACAAGCCTGGCAACGTCAAGCTGCACCCCGAGCTGCTCGGCAAGCACCAGGCCCACGTCAAGGAGGCCATCAAGTCCACCGAGGACAAGCCCGTCTACTTCGTCTTCCACGGCGGCTCCGGCTCCTCCAAGCAGGAGTACCTCGACGCCATCAGCCACGGTGTCGTCAAGGTCAATATGGACACTGACATGCAGTTCGCCTACCTGTGCGGTATCCGAGACTACATGCTGAACAAGAAGGACTACGTCCTGACTGCCATTGGCAACCCCGATGGCGACGACAAGCCCAACAAGAAGTACTTTGACGTAAGTTTTTTTTCTACCTGATGATGCTTTTCCCCAACCAATGACTAACTGTGCAATAGCCCCGTGTCTGGGTCCGCGAGGGTGAGAAGACCATGTCCAAGCGTGTCGCCGAGGCTCTCAAGGACTTCAACACTGCCAACCAGCTGTAAATGCTGTTTGCTCTCTGTGCTTTGAAGTTAAAAAAGAAAGAAAAGGATATCAATTTGAAAATATATTTTGGGTTACTACACTCGTTGCGGTGAACTCGACTCATGCAAGGACTCAAATGATTGATTCAAGTGCCCTATAAGCTCTGCATACTGCTTTCCTATTGGTTTATTCATCAAGGACCGCCATGAACCGTGTTTGCCACTATTAGGTAGTCGACACAAAAGAAAAAGAATAGTTCAAGTCAATTGAAAAAAAAAAAAAAAAAGTAACAATACAATTTCGTAATCTAAAAAGAACGCGGCTCTCGTCTACATTAAAAGTAATTACTCTCTGCCAACCCAAATATAGCCAATAACCCATCAATCTTCTCGCATAAACAATCCAATCTTCCAGGTTTATTCCTGAGAAAAATCCCTTTCAATGCTGTGCATGTCGCACCCCAAAGATTCCCGTGTATTCGCCAAAGGCATTGTCATTGATTTTGATTTTCCCCTCCTCTTCGTTTATGCCCTCTTGTTCATCTCGCGCCTTCTATTTGCTTTTTTGTTTCCTTTTCAATTTTTACAAAATCAAGCTTGTTGGCCCAAGAGCTCGTTTTCGAGCTGGAGAATCTGTTCGGCGTTGAGCTCTTCGGCATCGGCCTTGGCGGCCTTCTCGGCGTCAAATCTCCACAAGCCACCCGTCTTGTCCTTGTCGCCATCCAGAGGCACGCCGGCAGCCTTGCCCAGCAACGTGAGCGTCTCGTCCTCTGTGGCAGCCTTGAAATACCTCCTCTCCCAGGTGTGGTTTCCTGCAGTCTCCTTGGCGCGCATGAGGCGCTGGGCCTGCTCGATCTTGGTCTTCTCGACGGAGACGGAGTCCATGTCGCTCTTTTGGATGGCCTCGGCGACTTTGCTCCAGGCGCGGCGGGACTCGAGGGGGTGCTGCTTCTCGAGGGGCTCGATGATCAGCTCGGACTGGGACGTGCCGGCGGCGTCGTAGACGGAGACGAGGGTGGCCTTTGAGTTCTTCTTGGCGGGGCCCTGGTAGATTTCGAATTCCTTGGTCCACTGGCCGGTGATGTTGTAGAGAACTTCCTTTTCGTTGTCGGTGGGGAAGACGGTTGCGATGACTGTGTTCTTCTTGCCGGATAGCCAGCCCTTTCCACTGTAGTCGATCTTGGCAGAGTAGCCGCTCGAGCTGGTGATTGTGGTTGAGCCGTCGAGCTCGACAAAGGGGGCGCCGAAGATGAGGCCCTCAATGTGCAGGGAGGGCAGAGTGATGAGGTAGCGCTCGAGCTCCTGGTTGTCGCCAGTGCCGCCAACGGGGATGGTCAGCACGGCGTGGCCAATCTGCTTGACGATGATTGTGCTCTTGAACGAGGCCTTTTGGGCGTTGTAGCCCTCGAGCTGGACGCCCGTCTTGTCGTTGCGGATGCAGTAGGCGGTGGCGGGCGGGTGGTGGCTGACCTGCTCGGAGATGAGCGTCGTCTTGCCGGCCTCGTCGTTCCAGCTGCCCAGGAAGAGCTCGCCCAAGAAGGGGTTGAGCGGCTTCTTCTCGTTGCCGAATTGCTCGCTGCGGGAGGCGTACTGGTGCTTGAGCGTGGAGAGGAACCACTTGAGCACGAGCATGGCGCGCTTGGCCGGGTCGGACTCGTGCGCGGCGGCGGTGAAGATGGGCGGGTGGGTGGCCCAGTAGGAGGAGAATTCGGTGAGGGACTGGGAGGAGAGGATGAAGGGCGGTGCGGTCAGGGAGGAGAGGTCGCCGTTGAAGGAGGCGATTGACTGTTGGAGGTCGTTAGAGATGGTGATGAGGAGCATGTCGCAGGGTGATTCACCTTGAGGAAGGCGGACCAGCTTCCGCTGTTAGCTGTTGCGTCGGCCATTGTGATCTAGAGATGCTGGTGTTTTTGGTGGTTTCGGTTGGTGGTGAGGAGAGATTGGCGAGGAGAGAAGCGTAGAAGAATCGGATCGAAAAAAAAGAAGATGATGAAATTCGCGGGGAGTGGAGGCGAGGCTAAACTCTAGATAGGAGTCGACGATGTGGCGCCGAAAGGATAAACGCAAGAAGAATAGCGAGTTGCACTACTATTAGGAGTACAAAAAGTCTACAAGGGAGACAAGGTTAATAGAAGAAGAAGAATCTGAAATCCGAAGAGGCAGCCAAAGAAAAAATGGAATACGTAAAAGGGAGGGAGGGAACAAAGAAGGAATGCGGGCGCGGGATTGAGATTGCAAAGCTTGGTTTATTAAAGGAGTTGAGGGCAAATCCACTAAGAAACCAGGTGCAGGCCTTGTTTTGGGGACAATGCAGCGAGTTTAGCCACAGTAAGGTAGGGGGGGGGACGATTAGAGTATTTCCAGATGGAGGGCAGAAGCTTTGTAGAGCACGAAGTTTAATGCTTGTACATTGACGACAGAGGGACTACGGGGCGTTTATCATGTATTTCAGTGCACGGAATTCCAAATCCATCTCCCATTCTCTGCTGCAATTTGTTGGGGCCTCGTGGCTGTACAGACAAACATCAAATCCGACGCAAGGCTGGGCCACCAACCGCAGAGTCCAGCACGTCACTCGCTTTTGGCCACGCGACAGGCCTCCATCGTCATCAGGGGAGATCGATATGTAGAGTCCCGGAGCTGGTGCGTGCCGTGTGGGGTGCAGGCGCTCGGAACGGGCTGCCATTGGATGGTTCCGGAGCTGGAGCAAGCAGGGTGTCTTTTGGGGGATTTCTGGCTTGTCTCGGGAATACGAGTACGAGCGAGCTGGGGAAGATGAGAAGCAAGCAGCTTACTTGGCATGTTTTGCGTGCATGACATACGAAGCGCAAGATATTATTAGTCGTCTTAGAATAGGGCCGGCTGTACTGTAATACGACTTGGGTGCCGTCTTATCCAACGACTGCTTAAATACGACTGACTGCCTCTCTCCCCTGGGATGAATTAGATGCTTACTGCTTTTATACTATTGGAATATGCCTAGGACCGACCCGTGGGCTTTGCCGCTGGAGGCTGATTTTGCCAAATCATTCTGTAAAAGATTCATGATTCCAGAAACGCCCTTGTGATATTACCGCTAGGCTAGAGGTGTATGTGGACGAGGTTGCATTTTGGACAGCGCGGCAGATTACCCTGTGACACGAGGGCCATCTGAAATATATTGAGTGGTATTACAACATCGTATTTTGCTGGTGATAATATCACATTGGTGATTTGGTATAAATAAATGGATACATGTCCCCAACAAAAGTGCTGAAGCATCCGTTGCTCAGTTTGTGTTAGTGGTATAATTTGCTATGCTTTTGCTATGTCGCCAGGATGCGTATTATGTGGAAGAGGCAGTGTGTTGCTCGCTTTCTCTGCTAATACGTTGTTACTAGATCGCATAGGCATTTTAGTATAGCTAAGATTTATAAAAAAGAAATCAATTCTTATTTACCTACTACTTATTCCACTCTTTGCCTCTTGGCTATTAAGAATGGAGAGGAGTACCTATAGCGCTTGTAAATGCTCGCGTGAGGTGTTTCAGACCTCAATATAGAATCAAGCTACCAACCAGGCTAAAACAATCACATGAATAGATAAAAGCTGCTTTATCAACAACACTGCTATTCAAAAATAATTCCCGTAAACTTCTTCAAAACAAATCATCCATATCCATACAAATGACTTCAGACGGGATTGGCGGGTCTACGTTCGCCCGAAGCTCTGTATCGCCCCTGTAAGTTGTTCCGGCACAGCGCCGGCTCTGGCCTCGGCGCCATCAGGCCATCCGCCTTTCCAGATCCTCACGTCACTCCATCACAATCTCCGAGCTTCGCGATTCCCGCAGTGACATTTTGCGACCGAGCACAGCCCAGACAAGCCGCGTCACTGCCTGAATACCCTCGAATTCTGGTGCCATTCTCGTCTTTCTTCTTTGGCTCTTCCCCACATACTGGCGGACATTTTGTGGAAAGGCGCCGCTCCAGCAGCGGAAGCTGTGGGTGGCCCTAAGAAGCCGGAGCCCATCATGTCGCAACCTCCCGGACAGCCTCGCCTTTCGCCTCAGTTTTGCTTTTCCACCGGCACGCTGCGTGGTATGTGATACAAGCTCTCTATCTGACAAACTATGTGATGCGACTCGGAATCTGTGCCTGCTGACATGCTTCAGATTTCTTGCGCCTGTCTCGATCATCAATAGACGACTCGATTACACAGAATCTCAATGCCCTGGTAACGCCGTCTCGGGCGGGCTTCGATCCCGGATCGACATCAACACGGGCTCCGAAGTCGTTTGCCGAGCAGATCAATCCCGAAGCATGCCAGTCGTTCAAGGAAAAGGTGCTGTTTCCCTCATGGAAGGCAAGGGCCGAAGTCCTCCGGTATTGCGGCATTGTCGCCACCAGCCCAGATCCAGACGACCCGGAGGCTGCTATTATTGAACTGGAGAAGCAGCGTGATCGCGAGCGGATTGTCGACGAAAGGTTGGACCCCTACTCGGGACGGTTCTTCCCTCAAGAGGCTCGGACTCAGTCCCTTGCTCTCTTGATGCGACAGGAACGAGCTGTGGAAAACATTGTGCGCAGCAGGACTTGGGATGTCATACAGGGCCGATGCGGTGCTTCTGGCCAGAGCTGGGATGATGCCATGAGCAAGTGGGAGGCGGCACAGAAGCCTGGCCGGAGCGAAGATGGGCGATGACCGAGAAACTGCGTGGCATGATATTAGAAGTCACGAAACGGGATATGGCTTGGATGTGAAAGTGAGCATGTGGAATGGAAAATAGATGCCACGTCTGTATATAACAACTTGTATTATTAGTGTAGCTGCCCTCTCTACGCAGCCTGAACATATATATACCTACCCTTTTCTTGTATCATTTTTACACCTATTCAATAGTAGTATTGTTGAATCAAAAGCCCATAGTTGTGCACCAATTTCTATTTTTTCTCCTATTCTTCTGACGTTGGAAACAATCGTTTACTTTGTGAATGAAAACACCCCATCTCAGGATCGTTGTCTCCGAATGTCATAGAAGCCATAGAAGCACAGCTACCCCACCAAGAGCTGCGTCTTCAATCGGAGCCTTTGGTGGGGTCTTTTCAGGCTTTGGTCAAGTGCAGGGCCCGACTCCGAGGTGTAGCCGACACCATTCTTCCTGCGCCGATTTCTGGTCCTCCAATTACACCTGCTTGACTCTCTGACAGACACGCAGCGAAGCTCGAGACAGTTGTTGACGAGGGGCAAATCCAAATTCCTTGGAATATCATTTCTCGCATTGTCAATTTGGGAGTTGGCGGTTCACTGTTGAGTCAGACTAGTGCCACGCGACGACGAGCCCACCGGAGTGTGCCGAAACTCTTCCATTCGACAACAACTTGGCTCGACCGAGCAGGCGACATCGAACTCTGCCGAATTGCATAATTTGGCCCGATATCGAAGCGAAATAGCGAGCCCTGAAACCGTATATACCGTAGCACTTGCACAAATCCGTCACGATGCCTCAACCACTGGCGCCGAAAGAAGCGGCGCAGTTCCGAACCATCATCCGCAGTTTCGAGGACAAGCAGTACAAACGTGGCTTGAAGACGGCCGATCTGATCCTCAAGAAATACCCGCGCCATGGAGACACCATGGCCATGAAGGCGCTGATTCTCAACAGCCAAGGGAAGCCCGACGAGGCGTTCCCTCTGGCAAAGGAGGCCCTGACGGTCGATATGAAGTCCCACATTTGCTGGCATGTCTACGGACTTTTGTACCGATCAGTCAAGAACTTCGAGGAGGCCATCAAGGCATACAAGTTTGCTCTCAAGCTTGATCCCACCTCTGCCCAGATCCAGCGAGACCTTGCCATCCTACAAGTTCACGTTCGAGACTACCAGGGATACATCCAGAGCCGGAAAGCTATGCTGCAGGCAAGGCCCCAGATACGCTCTAGCTGGACTGCGTTGGCAATTGCCCACCACTTGGCTGGTAACCTGACCGAGGCGGAAAATGTTCTCACCACATATGAGGGAACGCTCAAGTCGGCGCCGTCTCGATTTGATGGCGAACATTCCGAGGCCGTCATGTACAAGAACTCCATCATTGCCGAGCAAGGCGACTTCCAGCGGGCACTTGACCATCTGGAGAGCGACGCAAAGCACAACCTGGATCGTCTGGCAGTTTTGGAATGCCGCGCAGACTATCTCTCCAAGTTGGGTCGCAAGGAGGACGCTGTTCAGGCCTACCGACTTCTCATTGATCGCAACGCGGAGCACATTGACTATTACGAGAAGCTGGAACAGGCCCTAGAGATCTCTCGCGATGATGCACCCGCTCGAAAAGCCATTTACGACGAGTATGCTGCCAAGTTCCCTCGCTGTGACATTGCTCGACGTGTCCCTCTCGACTTTCTCAGCGGTAAGTAATGAAGCCTCTTTCACGTGAAAAGAGAAGCAAAAACCCATGCTTCAAGGACTCATCAAACAGCTTTCTGATAACAACTGGCATCTATAGGAGACGAATTTCGGCAAACCGCAGAGTCCTATGTGGCTCTTATGCTGAATAAAGGAGTCCCGTCTCTCTTTGCCAACTTGAAACACCTTTACTCTGATTCATTCAAAAAGGATACCCTGAGAGAAGTTGTCGAAAAGTACCTTGGTTCTCAGGACATTGACTCCGAGAGCAAAGACAAGGGAGAGGCTGCCGGGCTTTACTACCTGGCTCAGCACTACAACTATCACTTGAGCCGCGACTTGGCAAAGGCTGACGAATATGTCGATCGCGCCATTGAGAAGGATCCCAAGAGTGTTGATTTCCACATGACAAAGGCCAGGATATTGAAGCATGCCGGCAACATCAAGGAAGCGGCAGAGATGATGGACAAGGCCCGAAAACTTGACCTCAAGGATCGATATATCAACAGCAAGTGCGCCAAATATCAGCTGCGAAACGGCGAGAACGAAAAGGCCCTCAAGACTGTCGGCCTCTTTACGCGGGCGGAGACTGTGGGTGGCCCCTTGGCGGATCTTCTCGAAATGCAGTGCATTTGGTACTTGACGGAAGACGGAGAGGCTTATGCTAGACGGGGCAACCTTGGCCTCGCTTTGAAGCGATTCCACGCCCTCAACAATATTTTCGATGTTTGGCAGGATGACCAGTTTGATTTCCACAGCTTTTCACTAAGAAAGGGGCAAATTCGAGCTTACATCGACATGATTCGCTGGGAAGATCACTTCCGTGACCACCCAGTCTATTCAAGAGTCGCTCTTGATGCTATTAACCTCTATCTCGCCATGGCAGACAAGCCAGCTGCCAATGGAACCAACGGAGCAGACGAAGAAGATGCCCTTGAGAAAAAGAAGGCGGCTAAGAAGGCAAAGAAGGAGCTGCAGCGTCTGGAGAGAGAAGAGGCAGAGAGGCAAGCCAAGCAAGACCCCAACAAGGGCGGCCAAGCAGCCGATGCGAAGAAGAAGGATGAAGACCCTCTTGGCTTGACTTTGGCGGCGACAACTGACCCGCTTGGTGAGGCGATGAAGTTCCTGGGACCTATGCTGCAAGCTGGTCCCAAGAATATCGATGCCCAGATTGCTGGATTTGAGGTTTACATTCGCCGCAGTAAGTGACTTGTCTTTCAAGGCCTGACATCTTTACAGATTACTGACGAATACATTCTAGAGAAATATGTTCTTGCTCTGCAGTGTCTGAACCGATCTCTGGCAATCGATGCTGAAAACCCAAGGGTACACGAACAAGTCGTCGCCTTCCGCAAGTTGCTTAACAACGCCCCATCAGATCTTCCACCCAAGGTTGTCGAAGCGCTGAAGGCAGAATTCACCGCCGTCGATGCCACGGCGGATCTGACAAAGTATAACCAGGACTTCCAAGAAAAACACCAAGCTAGCCCTCTCCACGTGCTGTCAGCCGTCAAGGCCAGACAAACACTAGGCGTAGATCTTGCAAAGTGCGAGAAGGAAGTTCACGGCCTCATTGAACACGCCAGTGCGACATTTACAGATGCTATTGCGGCGCTGGAGACCCTTAAGAGCTGGAGAAGCGCAGAGATAGATTCGTTCCGAAAGGCAGCACTCGCCAAGTGGCCCAACGTTACGAGGTTATCAGAGTAAAAAGGGAAAGAAATCAAATGGACATGTTGCTGTTTGAGAACAAAAGAAAGAAAAGAGAATTGGAGATTAAGTGAACCGTCTGATAGAGACTGATTTTTGGAGGGGAAAGGGGAATGGGATATAGCTTGTCTAAGAGGGCTGGTTTTGCTTCATATCTTCGCATCATCATTCATATGTTTATCGGTAGAGAGCCTGTTTGATTGGCTTTTTCTACAGGTAGATGTGGCTTGCTTCTTGCTTTTTTTGGCGGAGTTTTCTTTTCTTTTCTGTGTTGAAAAAGGGGTGGAGGACTGGATGCGTTATACAAAAGTTGGTAGGCATTTGTTGGCTTGAGCTTTAACGATGATGGGCGATGGATGTTTTGAATGTTTGCGTCTTGATGCTGAAATGAGATTGAGTTGCGTGAGATGAGATGCGAGCGCATTGGTAGGGAGCCGATCTGAGCGCGGTTGGAGCCTCCCCAGCTTTATAGCGGGTGTTGCTGTGCTGGGATTGGATTGGGAGTGGTGGAATGTGACTGGAATAAATACTTGCTTTAAGAACGAGAGACAAATAAGACAGATGTCAATGTCATTGCCAAGCCATAGTCTCTGCTAAAGTCTCACTTCTACTCGCTTACTTACTTGCTCTTTTGATTCAATCCAGTGACATGCCCAGAACCCTCGCATTGGCTACCGTACCCAACGCATCAGGTACGGCCTCTGGTGGTACGTAATCCGTGCAAACGGACAGGGCACCTCTTTACTCGGAACAGCGATCCGACTGGGCGCTGCGGAGTGCTGTGGAGCGCTGCAAGCTCTCACTGGCTAGTGCTCTCTAGCGACCTGCACCGTCCGCTGCTTATCCCCTTATCGGAGCTGCTCGGGCCATCTGCCGCGGTTTGCTGTGTTCGAGCTTAGTGCACTTCCATCACCAACTGCAATGCATCTGATTGCCCGGCGTTGAACTCTCTCCCTTTCTAGCTGTCATTCCTTGAACGCCAATTTCTCACGCTCGCTGACATTTATTTAATGCTTTTTGCTCCCTCTCGCGGAGATTTTATTTTAATCCTAATCATTTCTTACTCTTGACTTTTAGTGTGTCGTTTGGTCTCCCCTTGTCAGAGACGACGTCCGCTTAGTCGCTTTCAATTTTCAAACCCTGGAACGCCTCGGGTGCCTCGGCCTGCCGCAGCTCAAGATTTGACTCTTCTTCCCAATGCAGGACGCCGTACGACTCGCGAATATGGACGACGGAGGCAAGACGATGGATCATTCGGCGGCAATTGGGATGCGTTTGAGTCTGGGGGGCAACAAGACGCTGACGATTGGCGAGAAGGACCTTGTGCTATTCGGTATGGAGACTCTGGAGAGAATATCGCGACTGAGACTGGGATAGCTGCATGTCTATTGCATTGTATTGGTGGCTGACAATTGATTCAACACAGATCCCGACGGCAGCAAGCACATTTCGTCATCCGGCGGCAAACCATCTGCCGGCAGGCAGCTCATCGACGACCTGTGCTGCCTCAACTGCTTCCCGAGCCGGAGCTCAGAGGGCAAGGGGAAGCACACGATCCCTCTATACAACGTGCTGTGGGCTGAGCTGCGCGGTAATGCTCTGGTTATCGAGTACGCCGCGCCTCGAAAGTCGTCGCTGAAGCTGCAATGCTGGTCGTTTACCATCCCGAGCCCTGAAGTTGAAGCCGACGGCCCGTCGCCTGAGCTGTTCGCATCGGCGCTCATTGCGGCCGCGTATGGCGATGCGAAGCCGCGGAAGCGCGCATATGTGCTCATCAATCCCCATTCGGGCCCTGGAGGAGCGCTGAATAAGTGGAATAAGTTTGTCAAGCCGCTGTTTGAAGCTTCGAGGATGGAGCTGGAGGTGGTGACTCTGACGAGGGGCGGAGAGGCGACGGAGCTTTCGGAAAAGGCAGACATCGAAAAATACGACACCATCATGGCTCTGTCGGGCGATGGAACTCCGTTTGAAATCTTCAATGGGCTGGGCCGACGGCCCGATGCTGCGAGGGCGTTGACTAAGATTGCCGTGAGCCACATTCCTTGCGGATCTGGAAATGCGTTCTCGTTGAATTGCAATGGAAGCAATGATGTTGGAATATCAGCCTTGGCGGTCATCAAGGGCGTGGTCATGCCTTTGGATCTCGTGTCCATCACCCAAGGCGAAAAGCGCACTCTTTCGTTCCTGTCGCAGTCTCTGGGAATCATCGCCGAGAGTGATCTGGCGACGGAACATCTGCGATGGATGGGCAGTAAGCGTTTCGAGTTTGGCTTAGTGACGCGTGTTTTGAAGAAGAAGTGCTACCCGTTCGATTTGTCGGTCAAGTTGGAGGTTGAAGGCAAAGAGATGATCAAACAGCACTACAAGAAATATGCTGTTGATCCTAGTCTCTTGAGCGTGGATGCTGAAGCAGAGGCGGGCGCAGAGGGCCTGCCCGAACTCAAGTATGGGACTGTTCGAGATGAGATTCCCGCAGACTGGGAGACTGCTTCACATGATAATATTGGAACATTTTATGTTGGAAACGTACGTATTGAGAGCATCTTGCGAGTGATAACATGGCTAACGGAGCGTATAGATGGCTTACATGTCGCCCGACGCCAACTTCTTCTCTGCTGCTGTGCCCACTGACGGCTTCATGGACTTGGTCTTGATTAGAGCGGATATTTCGCCTATGGCCGTCACCCAAGCGTTGCTTGCCGTCGAGTCTGGCAAGTTCTTTGACAACCGCAACGTGACGTACAAGAAAATCTCGGCGTACCGCGTCACACCGCGGAACCAAGACGACGGCTACATCAGCATCGACGGAGAGCGCGTTCCATTTGAGGCGTTCCAGGCTGAGATCCACCGTGGCCTCGGGCGCGTCATCTCGAAGAGGGGAGTGTATGAGGCCGCGGGCCCCGCCGGATGGGAGAAGGCATAGGGAGCATTCTGCCGGATGGTTGGATAACGTTGACGATGTGCCTGTGTTTTTACTTGGAAAAGGGGAAAACCAATGTGACAGCGCAAACAAGAGTTTTGGGAGAAGACAGATCTCTGGCGAAAATAATTCAGCGGGAGAAAGCGGAACTTTGACACGTATTGTGCGAATTTGAGAAAGCGACAAGGCCATTAATGAAGATGGGTGAATTGGCCTCGGATACCCTCATTTTTTACTTTTTATTTTTCTTTACCATCTGCTAGGAATGGATAGTATACCCGGTTTAGAGGGCAAGGATGCTCTTAAGCTACCTATACAGTGGTAGTATTAAAAAACTTGTTATAAAGCGTCATAGAAGCGGATTTAATGCTTTGAGAAAATTTCTTGAATGAGTACCTATGTGACTACGATGTTTTCACCATACGCCTCCCTGTTTTGGGAGTAAGTTTTCACCCAAGGCCAGTCTCGTATTTCTTATGGAGAATTCTCGCTGTGGATGGATCCTGTGACCGGCGAAGATTCAAGCCTCGTAGGCTAGTTATCTTCCTCAAGTAACCTTGATGGCCTTCGAATGACTCTTAAAAAATTTTTTTTTTCCAAGTTTTTGAGAATGGCTTGTGGATGGTTACGCGTACATGGCCGGTCCCGTATGCACGGTGGCTTCAATTATGGCGGGTGTATATAACAGAGGTACAGAGGAAGTAGCATTAGTAAAGGCAACGGAGGTAGTAGAGGAGGAATTAATTACAGACATAGAATGAATAGTAGAATTACCGTGTGTATGAGAGAGAAGAGACAGAATCAGACAAAGAAGCGATAAGTGTGGGATTTTCTCATAATGAATCTTGTATGCAATTGTTGGACAATCTGTGTATGTACTTTGAAGGTATCGTGAGGGTCCGGTGGCGTTATGGAAAATTGGGCTGATACTAATTGTGCATCTACGTGTGTATTCAATTACCGGTATATGACGTGAATAAGTGGAATAAGTGTTCTCATGGCCTTGCCATTGCGAAGGTATAAATGGAAGCGTTGAATCGTCCTCTTCGGAGAGCCCCTTTTCTCCTTTCTCAACAAATTCCCACGAAATACAATTGATCAAGAACATCATACCCATAAGCCTACTAAATAAACACCAAGACATAAAAATGAAGACGTCAACCATCTTCGCCATGGTATTCACCATGGTTGCTTCTTCCCTCGCCCTGCCTTCCCCCCTGAGGAGCAACTTCAACACCTCCCTCTCTTACGAGAAGGGCGGCGTTACTCTCCAGGCGCGCCAAGAAAAGGTGCCCAGCTGCTCGGTGCCGTGTATCCAGAACGCAATCGCGGCGGTGACCCCGTGTCATTTCACGGATTATGCTTGCGCTTGCAAGTATCATGGAAAGGTCACCAGCGCTGCAACGGCGTGCGTGGTGGGATCTTGTGGCCTGCAGAGGGCAGTTAGTATGTATTATCTTACTATCTTTACCATATCTACTATATCTACCATCTCTATTATCTCTACTATCTCTGCTTCTACTCTCTTCCCCAGTTACATTGCCATTGACCGGATGGAATTACTAACATACTTGTGTAGAAGTCGTGGTGCCGGCTGTGCGAAAGATGTGTGAAAAGGAGGCACAGAAGGCCGTTGATGAGAAGGAGGAGAAGGTTAAAAGGGAGCTGGAAGTGGCCGAAGAAGAAGATGAGGACGAAGATGAGGACGAAGACGAGGATGAGGATGACGACGACGAGTACGACGTCGATCTGTACGGCGACGAGTTTGACGAGTACGAGGATGATGAAGAGAAGAAGGAAGAACAGGCGAAAAGACAATTGATAGTGCCTGATGAGGAGGACTTGGTATTTGACATCGACGATACGAACGTGGATGACTACGACGAGGAAGAAGAAGAGGAAGAAGAGGAATAACCTGAAGTAAGACTTCATCTTGAAGGCTGGTTCGCGAATTGTTTGGATTGACTTGTCTGTGTTTCCATATTGTTGTTAATAATCTTTTGTACAGATATAAGGTACCTCAGTAGCCAACCAGTGTTTTCATTTATACATGTGCTCATGAGGATGCTAAAGAGTAAGGAAGATAATTTAATTGAGCCTGTCTACTACGTGAACTCGAATCTTTTGCTGCTTCATGCGACTTCGTGGTCCCAGCTATAACATGAGCATCATAGTGTACAGTGCAAAACATAAATGTTCATTACCTTTCAAGGCGTGGAGATGGCATGTATATGGGCCCGAGAGAGCGTAAGAGCCCTGAGCTATGTGAGGGCCTTGGATGAGGGTGATAAGACGCTTAATAATTGTGATAGCGGTAGTAACATCACAGTAGAAGCATGGAAGAGCAGTCTGCGATATATGAGCTGTTTCGCTGAAGGCGTCAAATAGGTATGATAGAGGAGATTGCGAGAAAGAAGAGCGAAAATCAGTGGGCGTATCCGTTACTTTCGATTAGATCTATGCACAAAGTTAAATTGGCTAAGGCAATCAATCATATAATCTTGTTAATTTTTTGAAGCTTATTTAGTTTATCTCGGACGATCAAAATCATCCAGCTACTGTGATGCCATGTTTTCTTCCCCAAAAGGCTTTCCAATATGGTACTCGCTTTCCCACCAACCTTCTCATAGTACCTGCTCTTCCAACCTTCTGATAAACAATCTATCCGTAAACGTTGAACCCGGCTTTGCATCAATTTCTAGCAATTTATCAATGAACAGGCCACTTGCCCCAGAGAGCGCGAAATCCAGTGGTGTTTGTCCTCTATCATTCTTCGCATTGATATCGATCTCTGGGCTAATGCTCAGGAGTCCTTCAAGCAAGTTGCACTTAGTGTCTTCTTGCCAATTACTGGCAGCCAGTGTGTGTAGCGGAGTATCACCTCGCTCACTCTTTTGTAAAACCGCTTTGGTGGTGGACCTTTTATCATGCTCTATCAACTTCCGCGCTGTTGTAAGATCTTCACTGTACAAAGCTTGCTGTAACGGTGAGAAGCCACGAAAGTTGAGTATCGTCGTGTTGGCTCCCTTATCGAGCAAAGCTTGGGCGATTTCGGGTTGCTGCGTGCGAATAGCAATATGTAGTGGAGTATCATTTCTCCCCGATATAAGAGCATCAATATTAGCCTTAGCATTCAGAAGTGCTTGAAAGATCCTCTGGTTTCCGTTGAGGATAGAAATATGCAATGCTGAATATCCATCTCCATCAGCATCGTCAACGCTGGCTCCCTTGTCCAACAGCTGCTGCAAAATATCTTCATTCTCCTCTATGACAGCACCGAGCACTGGTGTGTATCCGTTCCTCTTGTCTGCGTTGACGCTAGCGCCCATGTCAAGCAGCAAGTTCGCAGCTTTCCAGTCTGCCTTATAAATCGCAATCAGTAACAACGTTTGCCCGAATTCATCGGTAGCGTCTATAACCGGTGATTTTAGACTCTCAGCGGGTAAGAGATTGAGTATTTCGAACAGGCTGCCGCACTCCGCGGCTATATGCAATACAGTTGCACCATCTTCAGCCTCGGTATTAACATCGGCACCGGCTTGAAGTAATATCTTTGCAACTTCCAACCCATCTTGCCTACGACTGAGCGCAACGTGTAGCGGCGTTCTTCCATCTTTTCTCGCTATTTTAACATTTGCACCTTTGTCTATTAACATCTTGATCGTTTCGATTTCGTCATCTTCCACAGACTGATAGAGTGGCGTACGACCTTCCGTATCCAGGACATCCATATTTGCTCCATGTTGCAGGAAAATTTGGAGAATTTGTTTCTCTTTTTGCTTTAATGCCACATGAAACGGAGTTAAGCCATCTTTTGCAGTGGTGTTCACTTTCGCGCCGGCTTGAAGTAGAATCTTCACGGCGTCTACTAATTCGTATTCCACAGCAAGACGCAAAGGCGTGCGGAGTTCATTGTCAGTTGCATTTATAACTTCTGTGTGGTCTTCAGAAATGTGTCGGAGTAGTTTTTCGTGCTCGTATATTGCAGCAAGATGAAGGGGAGTCCAGCCGAATCGATCTGATTGACTAATATCGTCTTCCATTATGCGAACCATCTCCACGTTTCCTTTGACTGCAGCCCAGTGAATCGGGTGTCTCTCGTTGTGATCCACGTAGTGTTCACTCTTTCTAGTATTTGTTTTGCGTCTTTTTTCGAGCACATCCACTAATATTTGTAGTATTTTGGCTTTCCCACTTTGAACAGCACAGTGCATTGGCGTAATTCCATCTTTTCCAGCAATCTCAATTTGAGCTCGGTACTTGAGCAGCATGTTTACCATCGTCTCGTTGCCGAAGAAGCAAGCATGATGCAAAAGTGTCCAGTCCATGAGGTCTCGGGAGTTAAGAAATATAAAGCTGTCGCTCGTTTCCCAGTTGTTATCATATATGTCTAAGGTCAAAGGGGCAGCATAGTGGAGCAGTGACCAACCGAAGGCATCGGTCTTTTCAAATGCTTTGATATCAGGAATGGGTGGCTTTTTCTCTGATTTTATTTCTCTTATGGTGTTGAGATTTTCAGCAGCAATTTGAAAACTATCCGGAAACGATTTTGGGCTGTTGTTGTTGGGCCCGGCCAGTGTGCTGAGAGACATGGCGAAGCCTTTATATTTGTCTTTCAAGACGGCTGGAAAATAAGCTATATTTCCCAAATGGTCCTTAAAAAATCTTCTTCTCAGTCTTTTGAGCTGCTTTGTCAATTCCTCTTCTGTTCTTCTTTCAGATTTCTGAAGCTTTGCTTCATGATGTAATCTGTAAAGAAATCCGAGGCAGATAGCTATAGCTCGCGGGGAAGAAGATTCCTTTTGGAGATCGAAGCGCAGAGCTAAATCTAGAAGACAGATACAAGTGTCAACTAGCTTTTCCCATTGTAGTGAGCGTTCGTATTCACGTGCTTCCTTTGAAACGCCATCAATAATATTCTTGACGTCTGTCAGCTTATGTTCAAGGCTGAGAGGCATAATTAGATCAATGTATATGTCCGATAATGATCCGAATCCGATCTTTTCCAACCTTTTGGCTAAGTTAGAGATAGTGTTGTTCTTCAATCTCATATGATTCCACTCTTTAGTTATTGTGCTAGAAGATAATGGATGTTCGCTTGATGCGCTTGAAGTATCAATCTCGGGCAGCTTTGCAAGTGCGCGCATAAATGAAAAGAATAATTCCCGCGAGAAGAGCCTTTGCTGATTGTCTTGACATTCTAGAACAAAATATTTCTTAGTTGGGGTCTTGGTGGGTAATTTTGCACTGCCGTGTTCGATTTTAAAGCCCACGACCGTGCGTTCAGATCCTTTTTGAGTGAGTATGGTAATCTCATCTTTTGTATACTTGAAGTTTTGAGGGATATTTTCGGGCATCCACCACTCAAGGTCTCTATTTAGGCGCTTTTCGGTTTTACTTGGTCCATACACTCTTAAATGTCGTGGTCGACTATCTTTATGATGGTCTGTTGGTGAGGATGAGTATAACCATAGAGAGAGAATGGCTTCGATTTCTGCTTCGTCAACTTGCCATCCATGCTGCTCGTCTTTATATATAATTATGTGGATATGGCCTTCGACGGGCCCTTCTAAATGATTTGCTGTATAAATCGCTGGGATACTCCATTTATAGTTTTCTTTTGGCTTTGCACTCAAGCCTGTATTGGAGACTGCTTCAGTATTCGACTGTCCACTCGAGCCTGTGTTGGCGACTGTTTTAACTTTTGATTGCCCTCTCAAGAATGTATTCGCGACTGCCTCAAGGGCTCTTGATAGGTGGGTAGCCTCTTCCTGGATTGGACTTTTCCACTTAGAAAGCTTTCCCAGCCTTTTCCGTATCTGCATAATTTTATGAGGTTCTGAAGCTTTGATAGGCTCGTTGTCGTCCTCATGATATGTCAGTTCACCCCCGGGACAAATCTCCCATTTCGAAGACATTTCATCTTGTGGATCGTTATTTCGGTTGCCAGAAGCTCTTGAATTGTGATCAGCTTTGGCCCAAGGCGCTGTATCGCCATCTCTAAGGCTCAAGACAAACCAGTCGAGCTCAAATTTTGGGTTCAAGGATGTATGAGCTGGAGGTTTCCCTAAACCACGTCGGACTATGACACGTAGTATAGTTACCACTATTGTGATGCCAAGCTGCACAATTGATGCCGTCCAGTTTAATCCTCGCATCCCGATAAATTGCGAAATGAATCCAATGAGAGAAATAAGAGCGCCAATAAATGTGATAAATTTCAATGGCCAGTACAACGGCTGGTCAAGAATTCCTTTCATGTAATCACCATTTTTCTCGCCCATTTTTAACTTTCCTTGGTAATAATGATTCAACATTTCAACCGGGCGGCTGTCTTTGAATAACTTATTCATTATGATAAGAAAAAGGTCCCTAAATTCATTCGGTCGATGCTTGATATTCCGTCGCGAGAGTGTAACATATTCTCGTTTGCTAGTCGGGTAGACCGCAAATGGTTTGAACACTTGGTCGCTCACAGTGTGATCTTTTTGTAGCCAGACAACATATATTTGGTGGTTCTTCGCTTCGTAGTATATTTCGTCAGTGCTTTCAGTAACAACCCAAGAGCAAATGAACAAGCCAAGAACTAATAGCAGAGTTCCCACCGCGGCACACGGGAAAGCGTATTTGACCACCCTTCGACCATCTTTCAAGAATGTGTTCTTTGTAGGTTTGTGATAGGTGATAACACCAAAATATATCACAGCTCCAAGCTGCAGAATTAGACCAATAGTAGCCGCAAGATAGATTGCGCTCCGGCCGACTCTCTCGTGACAGTTGAGTAGAAGGTTTGGAGCGCTGCCATCTACATCCTCAAGGACAATGATTTCCATGCCTTCCATACTTTGTGATGACGTGGATGCCGTTGGGCTTGAACGTTTAGAGTGTTTTGTGGGAGAGCCCATGTTTGACGCATTTTTTTCTAAATCTTTGTCTAAATCTTCTTCGGTGTTTTGGATTGCATGGGAAGGAAACGGAGAGACTAGCTTCCATTTCTTTGACGCCAGGCTTATACATTTTCTGAAGCCCCGCCGAATATATGGAGGCCCAGTTCTTTCTAAGATGTACGTTAGCAAGCGATAAGAATGTAATAGGAGTTATTGACGCATACTTGTTTTTATGAACCACCTCGTTTCTTCTTGAACCTGTTCAGTTGCTTGGCCATCGGATTGGAGTTCCTCAGCATTCCCACTATTCTTCTTCTCCGTCTTTTGTTGGACACCTGCTCGTAGTTTTGTGCATCCAACATCGAATGACTTTAGATCTTCGTTTGCTTTGTTTTTCGGGATCAAACAGATGAACTGATAAATATCGGCCGACCCGGGGCATCTGACCACGCTGTTGCCATTCCAAAGTTCGCAAGTTTCTGTTGAGGTAGATGACATGACCTCTACCTCTGCCGCAGCAAGGTTCTCTCTCGCTCGTCCGATAAATGATTTTAGCCATGCTGGTCCTGCTACCCTGATGGCGCTTACAACAGTCGTGATGGCTCCAATTGGGGCCACGGCCAACAGGATGCAGTCTGCTATGCCCATAGCCTGGCTCATGAATTGCATGACTACCCGTTCACCAAATAGGGCAATAATCCTAGAGACATGGCAATCTTAGCATGGGGGATAGAAATGAAAAAAGGTCCGTCAATGCATTTCGAAGGGTACTTACGGCCCAAGATCCGAGGCGAGGTTACTGGCAAAGTCGTCGCCGCCATCGGCAGATGCGCGGCTCGCCAGCCACAGAATCAAGAAAGCTGAGAAGAAAATTCGCTGAGACATTTGTAAATGCTAGAACACTGTTCGATGAAAGAGTTTGACCTGATCAAGCGACACAAATATTGACTTGCGCAAACACTGGATGATTGGGATCGATGAATTGTGCGTGTAAAGGCGCGGATAGAAGAGGATCGTCGTGATACTTGAGGGGGAATAGCGACTACCGATAAAATTTCTCAGCCAGGGCTGTTCGAATACATATACATGTATCTCATAATACCATGTACATCTTTGCTTTTTCTCAGTGGCAAACATTCAGCCGCACAATATATTCCAGAGCCTGATCGAGCAACCCCCAGCATTCAGCCTCTTTGCTCACTTGCAGTAGCCTGTTGAGAAAGCGACCCTGTACATTTTCAACTTGTTCTCCATCGGCCCAGAAGATAAGTTATTAGTATTTCTTTATTAAGATCGCAAGAGGACCGAAAAAAAAACACCAGAAGCTTCTTGATGCTATAATTACGGACTATAATATACGTACTCTTGTATGGGCAACGGAGTACTGAATTAGGACTTACCTGTGTCATTCGCACTATGATCTCGCCCAGAAAGGCCCGCATGGGACTAGCAGGGACCTAGTACCCTTAATACGCACTTTATATGGCCTATAAAACAAATCAATGGGGTGGTGGGCGCGGGGGTTACTGAGGGGAGCCCTCCTGTCGTTAAACAGCCAAATGATGACTGGCGTTGCTATCCTCTGGAGTTATTTAGACTTTTCACAGCAGAGAGTCGACCTTGTTTCACGCTTTTCTCTACAAAAAAGTAAATAAAACAAATAACTCTCTTGACTTGGAAAAAAGATGATATGTGGGCCGGCACCTTTATCGCAGCCTTGTTCACACGCACCACAGCTTTTGGCTTGTCCATTCATTCCCAACCCCTGTACCACATTTATAAGCACAGCTGAGGGGCCTTGCACATCGGCGAATGGATTCAGCTCTGTTGCCAGAAGGGGCCGAGGAAATACGAGATTCATGCTGACTTCTGAGGCTACTCGACTTGGTTGCATCCAATCTCTTCCATGTCTCTCTCCCTCCGCCTCTTGTTACCACTTTTCTTCTGATTCCATATTCAGCAATGAACAAGACATTCCAGCACTCTCTTACCCCTAAATTATTGACTACTGACTTTTTGCTATTAGTAGTTGTAGTTGTCGCCGTAGTAGTATCCTGCCCCTTAAATTTCTATTCAGACGTGATTTCTTGGCCTCAGCTTCCGGCTGGGTTTCATTGCAGGTAGAGCTAACACAGAACTCACCGAAATCTAATTTAAACCAATAAGCGTCTACACCTGCGGCAAGGGTACACGTCGGCTTCTCTTTTCTCAGCTGAAGCCGTATTCGTGTACCCGGGGGCTGGATTGGCCCCGGTCCGTGTAGCCTACTAATATATAGTAGTGGTAGTACTAGTGAATGTCGGAACACAGACGTAATTTGGATTGGCTTGGGTGTGCGTCTCGGAGGCTAGGTGGAGGGACAAAATATTGTAAAATGTATACAAGTAATATTTGGTTACACGGAGCCTCCCCCTCTTACTTCACCTCCCTTCTCCAGAGGCTCGGTGGCAAAGCGCAGTTGCACCATACACTGACTATATATTTCACCAAAGCAGCGGTAGTATTTTACAATTTCAACAATTAAAATTCCTACTAGCTACTCTAGCTATTGTGTTGCTTTTCCAATAGGCGCATGTTACGCAAACTCGGGTCCTACACTCACAAAAGGTTCGAAAAATCCACGGAAGGGAATCCAGCCAGCTCAAGTACTGATGTAATATAGGTAAGATTATAATTCTTCATCGGAAATACTTCAGCTAGGAGATCCTGGAAGCAAGTCAGTCAAGTATGTAGTTGAAACAAGTTATTGTTGTTCTCACCGTCGGAGTTTTTATCGTAATGTTGCCCAAGAGCTTTATTAATTGAGGCTGAGAAAGGAGGGAATCTACACCCAATGTGAGGATAATAGGAGAATTGTTGATCAAAAGAGGAGTTGGAGTAAAGCCAAGATCCGTCGGTAGTCTTTCATGCTCAATTATGCTTCGCACCCATTCCAACTTTGGGCTTCCCCCGAGGCTGGCAAGTAGTAGTCCATTCTCCAAGGCTCCCAATGCAATGGAACGAGCACCGCAGTCTTGAGCCGGGTTATGAGCAAAGTCGAACAAATCTCTCGCTGTTCTGGCTGCCCCGATAACCTGAGGAGTGACAATAGAGTAGTTCTTTAGAACTTGGAGAGGAACGGACCAAATCGTCTCGTTGAAGTCATTATTATCTCCGTCTCCAATATCTGGGCGAGATAAACTGCAGTCATGATCGATGAAGCCATGGTTGGATAGCTCGTGAAGGTCAAATGAGGCAAGTGTGTATGACTTTAAGAGCTCTGCAACACCTGCGATAGCGGAAAACTCTGGTGAGAGACCCAAGCCTTCAAAGGCGCCTCGAATAAGATCGATGGCCGTAATACTCTTGCCACTGTGCGGCAGGAAGCCATGATTGGCCAGAGAGTTTAGAGCTGGGCAAGGGCCACGAGCTGTCATTTGATGTTAGGCTCTTGAAGTCGCGGTTAGGCTTATTCTTCAATCGTCACTTACAATCGTCGGGTCCGGGCGGTTGCCAGTCATAGAATCTAGGATCAAGCGGATTGAAGATGGGTAATGGGAGAAGCTGGGCATATACAATGCTTCTCAAGAAGAAGATGGAGACCAGAGTTGACAGGGACTTCATCTCGAAACAGATTTAATGGGAATTATTGGCACAAGATATAATTTTTCTATGTCTTGTCTGGGCGAGTCATACGGATGGGATGTTGGGCTATTTCTAGTCAAACGGTTCTTGGTAAATTCATCACAAGGTCCACTATAGAAAGTAGTGTACACTTCATAGACATACTGCGGGGTTTTGATTGAATCTGCAACTTGGTGACACATAGGCACATCAGTAGCATGTTGATCATTGATGGGTGGCAACGGACGTATAGTCGACCCTATCACAACGTTGTGTCGAATTTCCAAGTCATCCCAAGTCAACTGTTAATATACTGCGAGCTTCATAAAACTGGCTTTATCAAGCCCATATGACGTAAAAGCTACGCTGCAACGAAATCACATTGAAGTCTAGACTCTGTATGGATATGAAGTCGGAAATAGTTATCGGTTATTACTGCCGGCTGGCAATACGGTGGTTGTAGGTGTGGTAGATCTGAGCCAAAGAAAGATTATAATGCAACATTGACGGCAGAGGATGAGCGTGATGAATGCTACATAGGCGGTGAAACTCGGTTAGGAGCTGCGTAGTGGATGGTGACTTGCACCAGGCTCTGATATATAGTCCTATTATGGCCATATGCAGAAGTACTATTCCAATACCGGATTTTTTTACTTTTCACGGACCAATGATCTGAATCATATACTTGGGCTGTTTTCCTTTTGGATAAAACCGATTGGATTGCTCTTGAGTAGCTTCCTATTGCTTCGGTGCTGGCTCAATCAAGCTCAAAGCTACCGCCAGGACGATCTATCGTTGGAGAGGGGTAAATTCTGGTAAACAGAATCAACTCAAATGGAGCTCGCTCTAATATGCCTCCGATATTTGCAAGGTGAATGTATAAAGGAGGTAAAAGTAAATCCCAAGATGCATCAGAATAATAATCGCCAGCGCAAGCGCTTCAAAAATGAGGATAGAGTCGATATATAAGGCAGAGTTTCAAATACAACTTAAGCACCAGTTCTGTGCGTAAGCGAAATGTTATTGGATAGTAAATCTGGCATTCTTCGGGAGCTCATCGTAGACAGAGCAAAGCTGAATGAACCCGACTGTGACGGACTCAAACCATTCCACATGGCAGTCCAAGCGATGCTTTCAAATTTGTACGGATTGAACTCTAAACAAAAGATAGCAGTAAATATGTATACAAAAACGGCACAAGGAATATTCGTCATAAGCCATTCATGTACGCCTGCCATAATGGTAACTTGGACATAATCGGTGCCTTCTTGTCATTTGTGTAACTGATCTGGTTCATCGCACATTGGCATAGGCAACTAATAAAAGTATGCCCAAAGTCATTGTAAAATTCTTCAATATCCAAGGGTAGATGTAAATACTAGGATTCGTGGTGCTATGCCACTCTTTATTGCTTGCGGCCACAGGCATACTGGAATGGTCTTGGCTCTTCTTTTTAAAATTTAGCAAGCCATTCTTACATGAACTTTCATGACACCGGTGACCAGAGCCTGATTTATGAGTATGTGGCTGATAGAGAGATAGAGTACTTCTTTATGTGGGAGTTAGAGCGATACATCATACGGCATTGCATGCCTCTATACGGATGACCACGACGTTTGCTGCTTTAGGACTCTTATACGGCACAATTTGACATCGCTCACTAACCTAGGAGACGGCATTAAGGCAACCGAGCGGCTCTAAAAGTGTGGTATGTAGAATTAAACGAGTGCATCCGTGAACTTTGCAATGTATCATTGTAGACGACCATGCTCTCCGCAATTCTACGGGCGCTAGCGGGCGATCCCGTTGGCAAGAGCGCCTCATACATGCATGCACCTTCCATAAACCGCTAATAGCGCATGCCTAGAAGTCTACAGCCATGCCAAAAGTCTCTTGTGGGCTGCGTATTTGTAGCCAGCTGGGCTAATAACCACATAACAGAACCATCAAATCTATCTAAACATAAGTAAAAAGGCTACAAGCTCAGGCATTTACAGAAAGCGGATAAGCTGCATAAACATGTTCGGGATCTTACAGTTATGTATAAACATGGCGAATAGCGGAGACTGTCATCTGTATGACACCAACTATGCTCGCTTGGTTGTCCCATCATGAGCATTAGTTCTAGATACGCTGTAAATCTATTTCATGAAGACGGAAATATTATGCAGCTGCTTTCTCGTATGAAATGCGTAAAGCAGCTTGTCGAACCGGGCTCTAGCAGTCTAAGAGATGCGATTGATGGCCTTTAGTTCAACCCCTTCAGTGTTCTCGGGCTCAATTGAGAAATGCGAACAAAAACCACTCAAGGAGTAAATCTTTTACCTCGAAAATCTCGATCGAAACTTGACATCTGCTAGGAAATTCTGAAAGATGAGGCTCATTCTATTGAGCCTCATGACACGGACGGCGCATAAATCAGCCTCAGGGAACACAGCCTCAGTGAAAACGCCTAGACAGGCGCTACGATGAGTGAGGGCACCAAAAACTTGCTTAGCGCCGTGTGTTGCCAGCTGCTAATTGGCTGTGCAAGCAGTTGAATCCTAGGCCACATCCTACACCGTCGAGAATGGGCATGTCTGTGTACATGCCGTTTGAGAGCTAGACGAGCCAGCTCTTTTATGCTAAATGGCGGCCTCGAGTACCAGAAGCATGGCTTGATACAACACAAAAGGCTGAAAAATCCACTAATATATACATTAATATCCTCTTCAAGGCTTCTGTATACCAGAATCAAGCTTTTTGTTATTCGTATACTTCAATTTCTAAGTAATAATCTCTCTAATAGGCGATGTTGTAAGCTCGTCGAATATACCGATTATAGCCAACGCGCTCTTTGTTTGTCCTCAACTTCCTATACAGCCAGTATATCTAAAATGGTGCTTCAAAACCCTCGTCTGGGGTCTTTCGGCGAGTGCCTGAACTGCACCGCCTCCGATTTGTACGGCATCTTCAGCTTTGAGTCCTCTGACCGCGTGCATGCGATTAAGTTCCGAGACGCTTTCGCCAACAAGGAAATCTGCGCGTTTTGCCGACTCCTCGCGCAGACGGCGCGCAAATTCACGCCCCATCAAGTTGTCGACCATCGAGAGGGAGTGCCGGTGACGTTCTCATTCTCTGTGAAGCATTTTCAAGACACTCTCGCAGAGCTAGGAAGCCGCTTTCTGCACGTCACCATATCTCCACCTCCGTCGCCTCTGGACATAGACAAGCAACTTGCATTCCGCCTCATACCAATATCAGAGTCGCTGCCTGAGTCATTATTCCACCGTATTGACCAGGACAGGATTGACCTCGAGATTTGTCGAAAATGGGTCACTAAATGCGAGAACGAGCATCCTAGCCAGTGTGGTGCCTTTTCCAGCCCAACACAATCTGGCCCAGGATCATCGTTTCGCCTAATTGATGTCGTTGATGAGTGCGTTGTAGTGCCGCCGCCCGGCGCTCAATATATTGCTTTAAGCTATGTTTGGGGCCGGACTCATTACCTGCAGTTGAATAGCCAGACTGCGCCCATCTTATCTGAAAAAGGCAGTCTATTCGCTCAGGAAACTCCCATTGGCCAGACGATTACCGATGCCATCACGGTGGTAAAGGCTTTGGGTGAGAGGTATCTCTGGGTCGACCAGCTTTGCATCAATCAAACTGAGCTTCATAAAACTTTACATATCAAGTCGATGGACAGGATCTACGGGGCTGCCTTGCTTACTATTGTTGCGGCTGATGGCATCGATGCAAACGCCGGCCTTCCAGGCGTTCGACCAGGAACACGAACTCGAAACATCAATCAGCTACATGAAGAAATCTGGCCAGGCTTTTCTATTGCGACCGCCATTGATCTTCCCCTGGACCCAGCCGGTTCAGTCTGGGGCTCTCGAGGATGGACTTTTCAGGAGCAGTTACTGTCTAGGCGGTTGCTTCTGTTTTACCAAGGCAGCGTTTTTTGGCAATGCCGAAGTGCATGTTTCTGTGAGGATGCACCAGCCTCGATGAAAACCCAAGCCAAACAAATACACTGGCTCGAACAGCTGTCGCCTCGTTGGGCACAAGACGAGGCTCCGCGACAGCGCATTGAGAAGCAATGGGATGACAATGGAGAGGATTTCATGCCAGTCCAATTGTGTCGCCCTGTCGTTTTTACCGAATACGCAAAAGCAGTAAAAGAGTATACTAAACGGCGTCTCACTTTTTCTGACGACATAATTAACGCGTTTGAGGGTATTTCGAGCCAATTGAGTCACCATATGGGAAACAAATTCCTAGCTGCTCTTCCTGAGAGCTACTTGGATATAGCATTGCTTTGGGCCCCATCTGTCTTGCAAGAGCGTCGGCGGAGTGAAGAAACAGGATTTCCTAGCTGGTCGTGGGCTGGCTGGATTGGACAGGCAGGATACGATGCTCCTGGACCAGACGAGAAAGAATTGATAGAGTTGACTACGAAGTGGTATGTCAAAGATGGACCGACGGAACCTCGTCTAGCAAACGATGTTGGCATGGGCATTGATGAAGCCCCTCTCGGCTGCACTCTCAGCATCAACGCGCTATGCTGGGAGCCCATATTTGAGTCCATCGGAGGACATTCTGGAAAGAGGCCAGAAGTAGAAATCCCCAGCATGCAAGGCCCATACCTCCAATTCTGGACGAGCTGCTCATTCTTCACAATTGTTCAGAGAAAGTGGCGCGACCCAGAGACACTTCAGATGAATTCATCGGTGAGGAAGCCAATCCATGCGCATATCCACTGTACAACAGGCAGCAGACGCCAGCTCGCAGGACGCTTGATTCTCAATGGCAACGGGCCTGAAGAAGTGATAGAAGGCAATCACGAGTTTATTGTTCTTTCCGGAGCCTTGGTCAAGGGGTTCGACTCAATTACTGGAAACGTGACATATTCGGACGAGGCGGAGATGTACAATGTTATGCTTGTTGAGTGGGATGACCAACATCAGGTTGCAACTCGGCTGGGTATCGGTAGGATATTCAAGGAGGCGTGGGATATGTCTTTACCTATCATTCGATTTGTAACTCTTGGTTGACTTTCATTGTATTTCACATATTTACGACTATTTGAACCCCCTCCATTCCGTCTTTTTTCGGAATATATACTTGGCCATCTATCTGATTCTCATATGTAATAAACGAAATGTCAGAACATGACTGCGCAGAGAATTGTTGCCTACATCCCTGATCAGAACGTCATTTCCATTCTTTTTCTAGTCTATCACGTCAAAGGCATACTAAGGAATTATGCATCATGATTTAGCTTATTTAGACCGCGCACAGATCACGTACAACGATTATGTATAACGATTGGCTATGTCAAAACAAGTTACATCCAACCAACTCCAATATTCGTATTACGTTTTGTGTTGCCGGCTTATCTTCAGCCCGTATGACTCCTTAAAGTGTCATATGAACAGCGCCAAAGGCATATTATGCGACTATTGCTATTGTGGCTCCTTCGGACTAATGCATGCTTTGCAACGTGGTACGAGAAAGGACGAGACTATTAGATTCCCTTGCGGCAATTGTGCCTAGCAAATAGTCGTCGCACAACCTCACTGGCTGGCCAGGCGAAGACGCGCTGACCAAGGGAGGCTATGTTTTCGGAGCTGAGAACTTTTAACGCTTAATATGGCCTCAGCTATAATATTGACTCTTATTAATATATATTGGTACTAGTATTATGTGCATTGACCCCTTACAGGTGATGGCTGATTGCTCTCAGCTATAAAGTCTATCCCACCGCTCTGTATTATGGCAATATTTCTACATCTGATTCCATCATCAACTTGCACTATATTAGATACAGCAGTATAAACAACTTCAAGATGGCAACAATCAACACCAGCGTGATTTACGTCCTGAAAAACAGCTTCACCGCTGCAGCCAAGATTCTTGCTCAGTCTTCATTCGACGGCTCTCTTTCCATGGTCAACGCAAGCAATGTTACATCCAACAGCCTCTGGTTCCTCACGCCTACACACACTGCTCACCAGTACCACCTTCATACTGTTGCCAACGGTGTGCAACGGTCCCTGGATGTCATTAATGATAACGGAGTGCAAAGCATCGGACTCCACATGACTGGGACGGGAGACTTCTCGGGCCAATATTGGCAGTTTAACAACGTGCCGGGAAACTATCCTTATAAGCTGAGCAACGCCTTCACGGGACCCAGCAAGTATCTGGATGTTTATTCGGACACATATGTAGCTCATCTGTCCAGTGGTGATTTTAGCGGTCAATACTGGTCGCTGACGCCTGCAAACACCGTCATTGTGACTACGTCTTGATGAGCACTGCGTATGTCGCGATGAATCTTTCTTGGTAGGTTACTGTGGTCTTCCTTATTACAAATATGAGGAGTTTCTACGTTTTGCTTTGTATTAACAATTCCTAGAACGTTCGACAATCACGCGGCATGATGAGACTTATGCTTTTTCCCCTGGAAGTGATGGGAATATAATTGATAAAGAAGGGGTGGGGAAAAAATGATCCAAATATAGTGATGATATTTATAGAGCTTGGGATTCTCTACCTAGACGTTATGAATGATTACGATACGTATATATATGTACTCTGACATATCTACGTCTCTATATATATATTTGTATTGCCACGTAGAGCCAAACTCATCATGACACTTTTATCTGATGCCCATTGGGTGACTGTATTATCTCCCAGTAGATTAGCAGGTAGAAGGGAATCTAGAATATTATATGTACGTGCAACCTATTTAGAAGAATCTATTATCGCAATACACACACCAATTCAACAATAAGGCTTGGCCATGGGCATGTACTTCCCAGATCGAGGTAGTTCCACGTTAACATGTTGAAGTTTCTACTTTCGAATTGTTTTTACATTAACAAACCATTTGCTCGCACTCTTTTTAATCCAGTTAGTACATTGTACGTGGCGCCGGGCCGCTCTTTAACTTGCGAGGTTTATCACGAAGTTGCAAAGTATATTTCTCACTACCTGCGTGCAGAACCACATGCAAGTCCAACTTTGGGTTAAAGTAAACTTTCTTATTACCAAGCTGATGATATTAAGCATCCACGGATGAGCAATAAGAAGTACTCATCCTGATCTCTAATGGTAGCAGCGACGCATAGCACATGTACATGAACACTATACAGCTTGCTTTGTAGGTACCTGATACATGTACATATAGTCAGCACCGGGCTTCCGACAACTAACAGAAACGCCTATTGATCTCTCCAGTGGGCAGATAAACCGGCCGGCCGGCCGAAGGATCCATCAGATGGCCCGCCTTCTCAATTGCAACGGCCGTTGACGCAACTGCGCAATAAAAAGCCACCGACTGCCATTTTTCTCCCTCCGGCCGGTCCGCTACGCTGTACCTGTGCCTGTCCGATAGCCGCTTTGGGCGCTGCAAAGGCGCTGTAGAGGAGCTGCAGAGGCACTAAGCCATGGGCGGGACCGGCCCAGCAGTTTAGCCGGGAAATCCCGGACTTCAGCCACCGTTATGCCATCACTAGTTTTGCGCTGCCTCTATTTATTCGCATTGGGTCCGGAAACTATAAAGCAAACCACCTCGCCATCTCCAGCTGATTGCACCACCTCCGCCAATTCTTGGACCAATTCCCTCGATCCTCTCTCTAGACAAAAATGTTGGGCTCCACCATCCAGCGCCGGGCTTTCTCTGCCTCTGCCCGCAACGTACGAGCTGCTCCCGTCCCTCCCCCACCTTGGCCTGGCCTCAACTCCAAGCCTCAATGCCCGACTGCTCGTGCTGACCAGCTGCTTCTTGCGCGCTTCTAGCTGTCCAAGGTTGCCGTCCTCGGTGCTGCCGGCGGCATTGGCCAGCCTCTGTCTCTGCTGCTCAAGCTCAACACCCGCGTCACCGAGCTTGCTCTGTACGATATCCGCGGCGGACCCGGTAAGTCGCCTTGCGTGGCCCTCGTGCGCCAATTTCATATAAACCTCGCAAATTTTGTCTCGAGCTTTGCTGCTGCTGCTGCTACTGTCCATTGCTGACCGATTACTCCGTCCAGGTGTCGCTGCCGACATCTCCCACGTCAACACAAAGTCCCTCGTCAAGGGCTACGATGCCACCCCCAGCGGCCTCGCTGCCGCCCTCAAGGGCTCCGACATTGTCCTGATCCCCGCCGGTGTCCCCCGAAAGCCCGGCATGACCCGTGACGATCTCTTCAACACCAACGCCTCCATTGTCCGCGACCTCGCCAAGGCCGTTGCCGAGTCCGCCCCCGAGGCCAAGCTGCTCATCATCTCCAACCCCGTCAACTCCACCGTCCCCATCTGCGCCGAGGTTTTCAAGGCCCGCGGCGTGTACAACCCCAAGAAGCTGTTCGGTGTCACCACCCTGGACGTCGTCCGTGCCAGCCGCTTCGTCTCCGAGATCAAGAACACTGACCCCAAGGACGAGAACATCACCGTCATTGGCGGCCACTCCGGTGTCACCATCGTTCCTCTCTTCTCTCAGAGCAACCACCCCGACCTCTCCTCCAACGCCGAGCTCGTCAAGCGTGTCCAGTTTGGTGGTGACGAGGTCGTCAAGGCCAAGGACGGTGCCGGTTCCGCCACCCTCTCCATGGCTTTCGCCGGTGCCCGCATGGCCGATGCCCTGCTCCGCGCCGCCGACGGCGAGAAGGGCGTCATTGAGCCCACCTTTGTCGACTCTCCTCTGTACAAGGACCAGGGCATTGACTTCTTCAGCACCAACGTCGAGCTCGGCCCCAACGGTGTTGAGAAGATCCACCCCATTGGCAAGCTCGATGCCAACGAGGAGAAGCTCGTCGAGGCCTGCCTGGGCGACCTCAAGAAGAACATTGCCAAGGGTGTTGCCTTTGCCCAGGAGAACCCCGGCAACTAAGCTGCTACGATGATGTCTTTCAAGCGCAAACTTGAGCGTTTCTAAACGAGGTAAACGTCTGAGGGAGGGAGGACCACGGGACTGGCTCGCTGCTACAGGTGGCTTTGGTTGGGCTGGGCTTTGTGAGGATGGTTTACGGAAATCACGGGGAGGTTTGGATGAAGAAAAAAGAAGACACATTTTTTAGCTTTTTTGAGCTCCCTTTTCCCGCTGTTCTGCAGCCGCCATAGACTTCAATCGGGTCTCTGTATCATTAGCAAACAAAAATAAAGAAACAAATACATAATCAGCAGAAAGTCTTGACTTGTCAAGTCCATACTTCTAACACGAGGACAGTTCAGCTAAGCCACCAGTTTGCACTCTGCAATTGGAGGACTGCGATGATTGTTATTTGTAAGCTGTGATGGAACATACAAATAATGTTGAGAACTGGGCTACGTATGCTGGGCCATATTCGGAAGGTGGTCCAAACTCAAAGACATGAGACATATTATGTTGAGGTGTATTGTGTAAACGCCAAGTAAAGTCAAATGTATGTGATGTGTGAGATAAAAAGACAAATGATCATAATATAGTTTATCGTTGTATTGCGATGAAGCGCCAACATAGAATTTGATCACTATCCGTTCTCTTTGTGTCTCAATAGTAGCACATGTGCGCGGCGACTAACAAAACTAGAGCCAGCCGCGAGAAATAAACGCCATCGAGATTAGCGCGAGCCAAGAAATCGATCGAGAGGAGATGCAAGATATCGCTTAGATGAATCAGGACTTGTATCGCAAGCCTTTAGTTCTTGGGTTTGATTTCAATACTTGCCCTTAACATACTGTTGCGATAGCCGCGCTGAGCTTTGCGCCTATTGTCACGAGTTTGAACCGCAATGTGAGATGGCTTCACATGCCGGAACCGACTCGGCCACAGTCCTCTTCGGCAAACGGAGATGGGAAACATCAAGCGTCATGCCTTTTCCGTAAGGCAGCAAATTTAAGTGCGCAAGGACGGCAACATTGCAACTGATTGAGGAATGGCTACGATCATATGCGACTAAGCAATGGCGGCATGTGGGAGCAATCAGTCCGAAGAGCGCGGCATCACACGGCATGCCAGCGCCAAATACATTAAATGCTTCATCCCCATAGGCTAGCCAGCGCATCGTCGCATAACTTGTTTATTCGATTTGCCACTTTTGAAATTGCGAAACCTGCAGCGTCGCCAGAATGCAGCTTCTCCAGCGCGAAGGATCAGAGCTAAGTCTTTTAGCCATTAGTTTGTGACTTGTTCCTATACCCTATCCAGCATCCAATCGACGTGCCGTGAATGTGACCTATAGTTTAGTTTGGAGTTCGGCATAACTCGCGTCTATCTTTTATTCTGGTTCTTGTCGCTATATATTCGCCCAGTGATCCATTCATTGTACCCGTCTGTGGACAAGTCAAGTTGCAACAAGGATTGCTTAGTTGTATATGCCGAACATGGAGACAAATCATGAACTCCACGATCTAGAAGCTCCACCTCCTCCCGAGCAACACCTTGAGCGCCTCCTCGGAGACCGCGAAGAAGACCAAGAGCCTCCTCTTAATTCCGACCAGCGCTCTACCTCCGAATTAGCACCACCACAACCAGAGAAAACTCCAACAGCGCGAGTCTCACCACGGCAGCGTGCGCGCTCAAAACTGCATTCAATAGCCTGGAAAGTGGAATTCCTTGCCTGGATAGCTAGCACGTGCTGCTTCATCGCTCTCATTATCACATTAAAAGTCTTTGACGGGCATCCCTTGCCGGACTTGAAGTTTGGCATCAGTCCTGGCGCAATTATTCAACTCTTATCGGCAATTGGTGAATTCTTCTTGGAGATATCTTTTGGGTCCGGCCTCGGCCAGTTGAAATGGTTGAATGCGCTGCAAAAGACGCCGTTGGCCGACTTTCACACGATTGATGAAGCCAGCAGAGGGGCTTGGGGAAGTGTAGTTCTCATTGCAAAACGGAGAGGAGGGTAAGTCGTTATATACGCATAAGTTGTCTTGATTATGACCGTTTCTGACTTTTTGATCCTTGCTTTACAGGCTGCTGGCTTCTTTGGGTGCCTTTATCGTCATAGTTGCCCTGGGCATCGGCACATTTGTTCAACAAGCCCTGGACTATGACACCATCTACCCGGCCTCTGGAAGTGGAAGTGCCCTGATGCCCATTGCGCGGTTTATGAACGGCGTCGGCTCGGCGCCAATCGCAAATGGAGGCACCACAGATGGCGTCGATTCTGTGCTCACTTCAGCTCCCTATCTGGCTTTCTACAGCCCTCCCGGTACGAACTTTACTGCGACGGCACACTGCAGCACTGGCAATTGTACATGGAGCTCTTACCAGACGCTGGGGGTTTGTAATACGTGCAAGAACCTGACGTCGCAACTGAAACGGAAGAAATTGCGCATCATTCCTGACAATCTTAAGGATGAAGCTTACACCACGGATACATATACTTTGCCAAATGGTTTTGGACTGACAGGCATCCAGCCAGGAGCCATGGATAACCAAGTTGATTTCTACTTTAGAAATGGGATCCTCAACGTATCCACAACCAGTACTCCAGAGGAGTGGGATTCCGTCGCGTTTTCGAACAATGGATCTATTATGCTAGACATCCTCGCGGTTGCTGCTGCTCCTGGCACGATTCCCGAACAGCCAGACCAGACTAAAACGGAGGATAAGATGACGGGGTCTTTATACGCAGCTCCAGTGGCCTATGAATGCATGCTACAGTTCTGCGTTCGCACCATGAACGCAACTTTTGTCAACGGCACGCTGCACGAGACTGTTGTTTCAACCTGGACAAATGAGACACAGGGCATAGTTCCTGACAACGGGCATTATATATTTCGCCCGCCCAATTCATCAGACGAATTCCGAGTTTTGGGCGAAACCAAGGATTCAATGGTTCCCTGGCTCAACTATCTGCTCGTCGGAAGCGCATACTCGTCCACTCTCGACACTCTCACTTCTGCCTCCTCCTCTGACCTTATGCGAATAGTACACACAGCCATGAATACCTCGGAGACGGGATTTCAAGATTTGATGGACAATTTTGCCAACAGCATGTCTCTCAGCCTGAGGAGTGCAGCGTACCAACCGGCGCCTACGCATGGGGATGCCTTTTCTCCTGTTAGCCACGCTGTGGTGACGTGGGAATGGCTTATTCTGCCTGCATTTGAGTTGATAGCGTCGCTGGTGTTCTTGGTGCTAGTTACGCTGAGGACGAGAAAGGCAGGTCTGATACCGTGGACGAATAACATACTGGCAGTGTTTTATCACGGGTTTGACCAACGGCCTAGTATGTCGGGTGTTGATGATAGTGAAAGCGCTTTGGAGGAGGAATCCCATGGGTTGCTCGTTCAGTTTCAACCTCGGGAAGAGGGAGGAAGGTTGGCTATTGTCAATGGCCCCTAATTACACCGACGACATCTAGTACGACATGGCAAAGTGCATTCAAGCTCCTGTCCTTGAACTTGCTAATATATCAACTGACTATACATAATCCTTCGCCAACGTTGTGAAGGCCTCTGTATAATTCTCGACTCGTATTTTCTAAAAAGCCTAACCTGACCAGTTACACTATGGTAGATGCTTTTCGACTCTAAGTTTATCGAAAACATTATGGTAGCTCTTGATGTGATCAGGCTTTTCAGTGAAGCCAATCTTCCTCGCTTCAGTAATGTCGAAGTTGCGGTCCCTTTCCGAGTAAACGCCACTATATCTCTGTTAGACTGATAAACGAAAGATCCTTTCTAGCAGATACTCACGTTACAACGGTCATGAAGTCCCAAGGCGCCTTTTCAAGCACATCCGATCTCAGTCCATTTTCTTTCGTCCATGTATCCCACTTCTCCTTCTGTGATTCAACCCATGGATAACCGCTCAACTGCCCCTTTGCCGCAGGTCCCACTCCCTTAAGCCCAAAGTAAGCCGCTATACCAGGCCATGTATCTTTCCAAGTTGTTCCTGCGTCTACATCTGCAATGTTGAATGCCTTTCCTGCTGTCTTTTCTGGGTGAAGGGAGACATAGATGTGGAATTTTGCAAGCTGGCTAGAAGAGACATCAGTGTGGAGATGAGTCCACGCTGCTTCGGATCCTGGGAAGGGGACATCGGCAGAAGGTGAAAGCGATTTCCATAGGGAGAGATACAGACCCAAAGGCTTCGCTAGATTCATTGCGTTATTTTGGGGGACATAACCAATCTGTGTATAAACGTTAGTATCGCACAATTCACTAGAGGTGTACGTTCACAAGGTGGAAATACCACGGCGTCTGGGCGAATGTCTGCAAAGGTCCAGTTTTTGCCTTCGGAGAGTTTGGCCAGCGTGTCGATCTGAGGATAGTAGAAAATGTGATCTCCATGAGGGGGTGGGACTCTCGGTGCGCTCTCTTTGAGGGGAGTTTCCAGTTTCACTTCATCTCCAAATTCGAGCCCATACCACTTGACACAATCTTAGCTCTGGATCAAGTAATAGGCAGTAATCGCATGGTCACGCACCTTTCCGCCAGTCGGAAATGTCCAGAATTGCAGTTTCGGACAGACATTCTCGACCGCAGCCACTGCATTGGCTATGAAGTCCACATTCTCTTTTACGCGCTTCTCAGAGTCTTCTGTTCCCCATCCGCGATGGACATATGCTTGTGACCCCATCTTCTTAGCCAGGACCAAATACCTCAAGCAGGATCAGCAGACTTACAAGCAAAATAGACGTGAGTGGTTTCTCCAATATTCTCGATTGTGTTCAAATACTCAGTGATGCTTTGCGAATTCTTCGAAAGGTCAAGGCCGGGATACAGATGTAATCGCGGATCCTGTGGAAGTCCTGCGTCTTTTACACTCAATGGCCGGTTTGTAAGGCCCACCACCCTCTTGAAGGCAGTAGCTGTCGGATATGACAATGCCGCGTTCGCCAAGGCCCATCCAGTAATACCAGATGCTCCAAAGACGAGAGCCTGAAGCTCATTGGTCTTTGCTGCGGCCATGATACAAGTCCTGTGTGACCTTGTGCGAGCTGAGAGCGAATTTGGGGTTTTTGCGGGGTGAGAAAATACCAATGAGCGGCCCTAATCACGGGTGAATGCGACATTTTATCGGCCGCATGGCAATACCTTTTATATAAAATTATTTGCGTAGCAGCCTTGCTCAAGGGGCGGGGGGATCAAGAATTAAAAATTACCTAAATAGGCAATTGAGGTCTTATTGGACAAGTCACCTAATAAGGCTTGCGGCATGAACTGTCCGTCGTTCGGCGAGCCACAGCGCTAAAGCTAGCTAAAATGACAGCTAATTTACCTATAGCCCTGCGCTGTTTACAGACCCTTCGAAAATTACCAAATTGGGCGAGCTGGGCTGTTGGTTGAGCAGCCAACGTACATGTGCATTTACTAGGTTCTGCGACCTACCAGGTTTACTTAAAATTACTTTTTTGACAGGAAGCCGAAGAAGCCTATAGAAGAAAATGGCTTATATGAAGTAGTAATCTTATATCCGACTCTGTAGATGCAACTCTGGGTTACAATAGACCCACGCCTATCTCCAAAGTATCGGCACCGACCAACAGGAACATGACAGCTACATTCAAGGCTTAGTGCCATTAACAAACATAAGAAGGGAAGAAAAAAGATAATAAATTAATATGTAAAACCCTTAATATAAAACATTATAGCTTTAGTGTATAGAATTATTAAGATACAATTATTGTTTCTTTGCTGACAAACTCTTACCAAGACAAAAATTGGCTAGATATATCAATCTCAGTGCTGCGATCCATACAAGGCTCGGCTCAATAGTATATACACAATTGTCAAAACAGCATGGATCATTGCATCAGGAAAGTGATAATGATTACCATTTTCTCGTTACGACACATTGTTTTCGACTTCCACCAATGAATGTATACCTACGTTCCGAGCTACTCCACTCCAAGTATGCTATACTTGTCTTCATGCTCGCGATTGCAAATGCCGTTATCCATACCCTGTAATGATCGGTCATGATATGTCATGAACTGTAAGGGTCCATTTCCCATTCTAGGCAGGTATAGCTTGTATTGCTTCGGCCCGTATCAATTAGCATCATTTTCTCTACTACCAGCTATCATTTTACAGTATTGTGTCCATGGCTCCAATACACCTGATAAGGCCCCAAGATCACAATTCAGCATATGCGACTTCAGTTCAGACGTCCCTCATCTGGCCGCCTAAGATGCCGCTCCTATCATCGCAAACTCCAGTAGAAATGCGAGATGCGCAAATTACTAATATACTGATATCATGATACTTTCCCAAATTCACAGTAAATAAAAGCTCAATGGCGTCGGCTTTGCTTCAAAAGTCAGTGTCTATTCTCCGCATGACACAAGGTCTTGATACAATCTGGAATAAAGTAGTAGAACACGGCGAGATATTTTATGAAGCGGCTGATAGGTAGCATAAGATTTGCGGCAAAAGTCTTTTGGGTTTAATTTTTATCGGTAAATTAAGATCTGTTTCAGCAAAAGTCGCTTATAGCCACTCAACTCCACTGTTCAAACGATCACAACTGTAGTGTTCCGTTAAATAAAACGGTGGTAAATACCAATCAGAGGATATATTATGATGCCCAAAAAACTGATTAAACTTACGGATATTGTTGTTTCAAGTGTTAGAGAGAGGCTATCGTATTCGCTATCTATCATATTCGCTATTGGGTGTGTTTGAGATCGATACAGGTCTTCAAACATATATTCTACACCTAACATCAGCAATTTTATAAACTAAATATTATCAAGGAATTGTCTTTGAACATAACCTAGTTTAGTTCAACATCTTATCCTACTTCAGGAAATTTTGATGAGGATATCAATGCAGTCAACCGACATGACGGTTGTTCCATTCACACGCGTTCAGAACAGATCCAAACCTCGCCTGTATTATTGAATGAGATCGGCCTGGAATCCATGATTTACTTGATGCTCTAGGCAAAGACGATGGACTATTATCAGTACCTGAAATAATTCCGAGAGACTTGAACCCCGTCACAAAGTTATTCTGGGCAGAGTTCCACTGACTTCTTCTAGCGTGTTAGAGATTAGGCCCAAATTTGCACTCTATATCCTCAAAGTTACTGCCTACTCACCTTGGTCGTAATATACCTACGCGTATTTTGAGTTGCCGTCAAGTTTTGCCAAAGAAAAAACAGCATTTAAAGCGTTATGTGATCGCTCGCAGCAAGCACTCCAAACTGCTGCAAGCATGAAGCTTACTCTACCCCGCAAAACTTAGCTACACCGACCACGATTTCTTCTAGTTCCAAACACTCAGCTCAGCACTACAGCGCAACTCAACATGAAGTTCGTCTTTCATACTTCTTTACATGCTCCGGCGCCATCAATTCCACGCAACCAAGGCATTAATACTTGAGTAAGACCTTCTCAAACTCTTGTCGATCGCAAATCTATCAGTATGTCGCTACTCAGCCTCTCACTAGACGAGTTTCGAAAATCTCAGCTTTCTGAGTCAGGCCAGCCGTATGACAAGATTGTTGTTGGCGCGGCCGCGTTTCGTTATGGCCCAAACTTGACGTCGTCAAGCATCCTTCTCCTAAAAAGAGCGGCTCACGAGCCATACTTCCCAAATGTCTTCGAGCTACCCAGCGGGAAAGTCGATCCGGATGACAAATCTCTCAAGGACGCTCTTGTCCGCGAGGTGAAAGAAGAAACTGGTCTAGATATCGTCGAAATACACGCAGAGCTAGAACCAATGACATACTCAAAGGAGAAAGCTGTCATGGATGACGCTGGAAAAGAAGTCATTGTTTCGAAGAGTGCCATTCAACTCAATCTTGTCGTTTCGGTATCTGCTGGCACAGTGACATTAAATGCGGAAGAACACTCAGATTGCCGATGGGCCACAAAGGAAGAATTAATTGAGCTGGATATTACAGACGCTATGAGAGTGGTTATTCAGGAAGCGTTCGAGTGGGCTACCAATCAATGATGGGGAGTGACTGCACTTCGAATTCTTAGCCAAATAGGCTACGACTCAATTAGACAGAGTGGTCAAAAGGCCCCAATACTAGAATAAATTAGCAATATACCAAGTTCAATGCAAAGTTCATCAAACTTGCCTCAGTAACAGTAGAGTTCAGTTCTTCGTATGCCCACATAGCGCCTACGGCTTAGTTAATCCCAATAACAAGGCCTTTATTCTGGATTGGACGAGGCATTTGATATAACCTTCCAGTTATCGTTTTCGTTGCTAGATTTCACGGGCTAATCATTTTATTCTTCTAATCTGATGTCCTTTCTTTTGAAATGGGTGAGATGCAGGAAGCATATACAATGAAGAATAGAAACATCGTGAGCCAGCAGACAATGCGCTACTGATACGGCGGGAAAAGTAGAATAGCACGTTCAATTAGGCAGTTGTAAGACAGTGACGTCTCGATAATTTGCACATGTACACTGCGTGTAGTATTTTTGCCGAATTGTTTTACATTAGAACCTTACTTGGAGCCATTCTTCCAACTAACCTCCCGAGCCCGCTCACTAGCCGGTCCTTTGAACCGCTTGAAGCTTGGCCGCTCTTGGATGAAGATTCACACTGGCATGAACTAGCGTTACTGGCCAAGTCAAATTGCTGTGACTGTGAGCACGCACCTGCTTGCTTGTCTTTGTGGCGAAACTACCGCTGTGGCTGGCCGGACCACCTTCAGAAGCTATTCTCTGAGCTTCATCCGTCGACCTATAACTTGAGTGCAATGCGTTAGTCCACCATTGCTTTGGGATCGAGAACTGAAATCAATTTCCCGATTGGCAAAAGTTTCAGGATCCTCGTTGTTGGACATAGTAGGCGCGTGTAAGATTTCACTTTTAGTGCTTTCACATTTATGTTATTCGGAATCAATTCAAGCAATCGAATCACATTGGCGCTCGGAATTGGATGCTCCTAAAGAATTTCTACATTCCTAGTTATATGCCTACCTTTTAGACGATTGACGCCTTATAGTCGTAATAATGACTAGGAGAGGGAGTAACAGTAGTTCATTTCCTGAGGATGCTGACAAACGAGAGAGCGCTCCGATATCAATGCTATCGATGATATCATCCTTTTCTACTAAGTTTCATATATTCAAGCCTCTCAGTCATGCATCACCATGATGAACGCGTGCCGCAATTACCTTGCCCGCACGGAGTCAATTTTGGGCAGCATAACAGTACTTAGACAGAACTTTAATTAGCACTTTTATAAAAAGGCTTGCTTCCCAACACCTAACCTCGCCACTTTGCAGAGACACGCCAATTTCTTACAGTACAGAATCTAAATTGTAGTTCTTGGACTTTTGAGATCTCAATAAAGACAATATACGATCAACTGCCATGGATCCCAACGCTACTTCAGGCATGAACCCAACAGCTGGTGCCGGCAACACCAAGCCCAAGGTATTCGATAAAGAGGGCGCCGTTGGCAAGCAGTTCACAGGTTTGTAGCTGCGTGAGCCCATTTCTTTTATGCGTCATGCATGAGTTGAAATCTAACTTGTCGGCTTCTATGATTTAGAGCAAGGCGCGATAGGATCAATGGGGCAGACTATTGGCGGTCCTCTGGATAAAGAGGGAATGATTGGCAAGCAATTCACTACAGAGGGGGCTATTGGAGGCACAGCACAATCCATGATGGGTGGAAAGAAGAGTACATGATCTCGCTGCTGGTTGTATATACGATCATCAATTTCGTGTAGATGATTAGTTGCGCGTCTAACTTCAACGAAGAATAGAAAATGGTACATGTGCTCGACATTACTTAAAATTTGCTCCTATACTCTGCAAAATGAATGAAAAGATGTGACAGCAATTTCAACATCATATTGGTATACTATTGGTTTTCATCATCAGCTCGCGCGTCACTTATTAAACGTAGATAAGCGAGAATAAATAATAGATCATTTAGGTATATTTTATGGATGAGATATTACTCTTTACATGTTTAGCCGTACCTAGGTACTAAAGACACTTGTAACATGCCACTAGGCTAAAAATCACCATTCTCCCTACTCTAACCCAGCTACATTATCCCCCGGCTCCTGATATGTTCCCATCGGCTTAGCACCTCGAGTTCGATCATCCATGATGTTCGACTCGTCAATAGCCTCCTTGTCGTCTTGTGCTGCGTATAAATTATGTTAGTATACGAGTCATAGTTCATCGTTACATCGTGCTATTTACGATGATTGTAGCACTCGAGGATCTGATACTTACCCAATTGTTGATCAGAGTCAGCAAATGATGCGTCCACTGGATCTTCAATATCTTTATTGTCGCTTTGCACCGGCACTGGCTCCTTCATTTGAGATGCGTATGAATCATCTTGAAGATTGCTTTCAACATTGGATTCCGGGGTGTATTCGGCAGACATTGTGATTTAGATGCGGTGCAGCGCGATAATGTGAGTGTCGAGTTGATAGCTTGTCTAACTTATGTTGTATGTATTACACAAATATCATAGGGACCCAAGGACCTTATTATAGGTTTTCTGACATGAGCTGTTCACAGCAGTGGTCATTCCAGACTATCGCCAAACGACGATGTGCGCCACGAGGCGCGAGACTCCTCACTACTATGGCTTGACGTATTGGATCATACCTTTAGGACATCATCTGGAAGCTTTTGTGATTTTAGCCGGCAGTCATCAGATCCGACGTGGCGTGGATTCTGAAATGACCAATGCTATCTCAGTACATTGATTCGATTGAAACGCAACACGGCAATGGCTACAACGCGGCATAGATGTTCTCTGATGTCAAAGTGACAGGGCCCTGTTCGTTACTGGACTCTAGACACAGATATATGGCGTAATAGAAGCATAAAAAATTCCTTGGAAAGATATGAAGAATTCATGGGGAACTATGTGGCACGCAAGTCCTGATAATACGCGAATAGAAAGGGTTGTCGCGCGGATTCAGCTTCGATTTGGCTTAGTATTCGCGATGCTTTGACCGATCTCGGGGATAGAGGTACTCTTCTACTTTAGCCCCGGTTGCCGTCAATTGATCTAGAGAGATCTTCTTCACGCCAGCCGCGGAGGCGCCGGGATGGGCTTGAAGTAAGCTTTGCTCAAACTCATCTATGACATACAATAGTAATCCTTAGATGTTTGTCGGCGTCATATCATATACATATAATTTCGGATATTTGACGTGTATCTCTTGGGAAGCGGAGGTCCATATACAATATAAAAATTTAGTATAGCTTTCATGATATCGTAGATGGATAGACCTCCTTGCAAGCGCACGCGTGATCGATAATTTGAAGATAAATATTAACGGGAAGAATCTCAAGCGTGAACGCCTCCTAGCAGCCTCTTACCTAGGAGATATCCTAACAATAAGTGGCTGAATTAGAAAGTTTAAATGATTGCTAGATGCAGATCTTGCAACACTAACTGCGCGACCAACAATAAAATAGAAGAGAGCTCGAAACTTATTAGAAGGATGAATAATTGCACGGAAAATATTCTGTACTAACGTGCTAGACGTTTATAGGCGTGAGATGCACGGTTGATACGAGGAGTATATCTTGGAGTTGGTGAACTCAATTTCATGTCGCGTGCGCAAAGTTACTGTGGGAATTCTCTGAGTTGGCACGAATCCGATCTATAAACCTTTCAAAATCAAGAAATTTGCAAATGAATTAAAGTACAAATGACTCTTAGTGAGGTTATATCTTGCGCCAAAGTCTTATGTTAATAATGCCACCGCAGGAGTGCTGGCGTAATACGCCTATAGTAATGTAAAGGTACATATCTTCAAGATAAAACAGACTGCTTCTCAATTTTCTCAATAGGAAAACAGTGCATTAGTCGACCTAGTATACAAAGAATATAACTACAAGCCACGGCTGAAAACAGCCCAGCAGAGTTCTTTAACGCCGTCGGTTTGCTGCAATTTGCATGGGTTGTGCCGTGGAGTTTTTTTCACGCCGTTCTCACCCAATTAAACAAAAATGTGAACTAGGCCTTGGTTTGATAGGACGTCTTCGCCCTCATTGCTGAAATTTCTCGTATCATGTAGTCATTCTTGCTCGAGCCGATGAACAGTTAGGCCTACCTTGCTACCGCTTTTGAAGAAGGATGTGGTGGACCTATGAGAAAGAGGCCAAGGTGGCTCCTTTCGAATCCGCCGTAGCAGCTTGGTGTTGTTCAGGATCTTGATCAACTTTTGCAGTTCTTGTTCATTGGACATCGCTGATGGTTCCATCATAGCCCTGTGCAGGATTGATCTGCGGTAAGCATCACACTTCTTGAAACTGTGGTATCAATCATGCTAGCAGTGTACTATGGGCAAAATGTGATGGAGAAGATAGAGGGGAGAAATTGTGCTATGATTCAACAAAATGTCTAGTTGATCTATTACCAGCAGATTGCCCAGGCATTCTGTCTATCCGCTCTATCCATGCATACATGTTGTAACTTTAACAGTTACAGTAATGAGATTCCTTTTCCAGTTACAAGCCCATACTTCCGTTTGATGCAAATATTTTCCATTCTTCCTACTTCTTGTATAGTTTTGAGTTTTGTTTAAGCTCCTCCGCCAGCACCCTTAGCGGCTGCCTTGTCCAACTTGTTCCACTTACCAATTACCGATGTTACAGTTGCAAAACCAGCGCCTCCAATCATGATGGCGAATGCAACTTTGATACCAGACAAATAGGATTCCAAAATACCAGGAATGACTTCTTCTGGGAACACTCCACGAATTCCAGTTGCTCCTGCTGCGACGACCATGGCTGGGTCTACTGAAGGGGCCTTGCTAGGTAATTCAGAGATCAACTTGGCGACGAGGGATCCTTGAGCGGCTGAGACGAAGAGGGCACCACCAACGGTTTGGAAGACTATACCTAAAAGTTAGTAAACAGTGGCGATGTCGGAACTAAATGTTGTAAACTTACAAAGAACGATGGCAGTAATAAGAGACAGATCCGCTGGGTTGGACGTTCCCTGAGCAGTAATCATGGGAATCTGAATGTTGGAACCCCAGCCAATACCGGCAAGGAGCTGGAATCCAATCCATTTACCGTTGCTAGATCCAATGTCGAGCGTGTAAAACAGGCCGCTCGCAACAGTGGCCAACGCGGCACCAAACGGCAGCCATGGCTTCGCAATACCAGTGTTTTGAATGACGGCAGATGATACCAGGGATGCTATGACCCAGGGAACAATAAACGGCAGACTGCGCACACCAGAGCCCGTCGCAGAGACGCCATAGGCACTCTGGAAGTAGATCGGTAGCACATAGATGGCTTGGAAGAATGTGCCGGCGTTGAAGGTTGTGAAGAGGCAAAGCGACCAGATGTTGAACTGCTTCATGAGCCGTGGCGGGATCATTGCGCGGTCATCCTTGGTCTGTGAAATCTCCACTGCGACAAAGGCAAGAGTGATTACAACAGAGCCGACGAGGAGACCGACAACGACGGAACTTGACCATGCGTATGTTTGGCCTCCATATTGGAACGCGAGGATGAAGGAGATCGTCGCGGCCATGACGAGAATGATTCCGAGAGGATCCATCTGGAGAAACTTCTCCAATGGGGTTGCGGGAGTCGGCTTGGCTTCTTTTGGAGCAGTGAAGAAGAAGAATATGATGAGCGCTGAGAAGCCGCCGATGGGAAGGTTGATATAGAAGCACCAACGCCAGGTTGCGTGATCAGCTAATAGAAGAATCAGCCAAGATGTAAATTAACCGCTGAAGAATTGTCCGGTACTCACTCAAAACACCACCGATGACAGGTCCAACAACACTCGCGATTCCGTAAGATGCTCCGATAATACCCATGAGCAGAGGACGCTTCGCAGGGGTCGTCGAGTAGCCAACAATAGTATAAGCGCCCGATCCCAAACCCGCTGCGCCAACACCGGTAATGGCTCGTCCAACGATGAGGGCTTTGCTGTTTGGAGCAACGCCGCAGATGAGGGAGCCGACTTCGAAGATGAACATGGCGAGGAGGAAGCTGGGCTTCAGTGGGAAGTACTTGTAGGCCTTGCCCCCTAGACGAAATGTCAGTCTACATTTTTAAATGGTGTTGTAAATGTTGCTTACACGCTGATAGGAAGCCGGCCGTCGTCATGAAAAAGGCAGATCCATACCACGTGGCTTCATCGAGACTGTGGAAATCGTCGGTGATTTTAGGGATGGCCGTTGCAACAATTGTCTGGTAAAAAGGTCAGCGAAACTTCAAACTTGATGCCGATATAGATTAAATCAGCAAAGTATTGTTACGTACCATATCAATTGCGTATAAGAAGACCGCCATGAACAGAGCAATAACAATGATAACCAGTCGCAACCCCGTTGGATATTGGTTCTCGTCTGTCGAGCTCACCAGGGCTTCCTCCTGGACTATCGCATCGCTTCTTGTTTCGTCGGGCTTCTCATTATCTGAGGACAGCTCCTCTGAGACTCCTGAAGCCACAATATGCTTCTCGTTGAGAGCGTCGGACACGTGCTCGGATTCGGGTGTTTTCGACATTTTGCACCACTTTCACATAGGCTACACGATCCTATTGACAATTGAAAGTGAAGAAGGATTTTTAAAGAAAAAAGAAACGTCTATGGAAACGACTCCTGCACGCTTATAAGACATTTACAAAACATAATCAGCCACAGGAATGGGCCGCTCTTTGTTACATTTCGGGTGGGTATAACACCGCAATCCCTAGATGAGGCGAATCATGGACACACGAATCTGAATGCTACACACACATGGCTGGCGAGAAAAGGAAAATGTCTTGTCGTACCGCTGGCATGGCTGCATTCTATGCACGTACCGTTGGTCTGCGGTCTCGACTTTGGTGCCACCCGCTCGCTTCCCTTGCAAAGCACAAGCACAAAGGGGCGTTTAAGTAGAAATAAAGTCGGACATGATGTCACCGGCAGCTTGCGGCGGCCGACAGGTACGGCAGCCCTTGTCGATGATCCCTGCAAGCGGCGTCGCTGGTATGCACGCCATTGGCCAATTCGCCCCGACAATAGTAACACGACTTGCGCTACCTATTGATCCTTCAAAAGGGCCTGGTGTGCGCAGGTTAATTTGCAAAGAGCAAGTTATAAGCCGATAAGCGGAAGAGGGCTAGATCCGGATCTCATTCTCCATCGGCGAGTGGCTTGTTCATATCCCATGTGCTTGCCCGGGGCGGTTAGCAGTTTGAATCAGCACTTACACATGGCCCGATTTGCTTGTCACAAGTAGGGGATTTCTTAGATTCGGCACTCTCAGACTAGTTCTACAGGGTCCTACAGGGGATAAAAGCTAGCTGCTAGTGAATAAGACGACGGGATTTCCCATGAGCTTTGCACTTTGAGGAATCAGCGCGCGTAAGTGCTGACATCCAACACTAACAAGACAAATCAGGATCGGTTGTGAGACTTTGCCACCTGCGTTTCAACACAATATCGCCAAGTCGATAATGGCAATTGGTTCCTTTTCACTAGTGCCTTGGTTTCAGCTATAGATCTGAAACTGTGAGAAAAATCCCCCGGGTGCCTTATGGCGACAAAACATCGCCCAGCCTTGAATACCTAGTATCTCCTCCCCTTTTACCCTTCGGCATCCAAACGTAAAATCCATGCTGGGCCGCTGTATGTCAGACGCCTCGGCCCAGGACTTGCAGCTTCAGGTAGTATTCCAGCGGAGACAGTCAAAGGGCTAACATTATTACGAGCCAGGGCATTTCGATAGTCGTTTAGATGCAAAGCGCTGAAACGAGTATGGTGTGCTTTTCTATTGTGTTATACAGCTATGCTATTGCGACAATAAATATCTGTTCCAGAGGCATGAATGATTTGCGGAGAGGATATTGGCTGTTCCCTAAATGCGGAGTTATCAGACGATATGAAATGGATGAGGAATCAGACATCCAGGCGGTAGCAGTATCTAAGCTCGGCTGTCTTTTCGAATTATTTGTAACTTCATACTTTGACGATCCTGCGACCCTCTATACACCACCTTTAGACCATTTCTATCTAGTCCTAGATTCTCTTTCAGTTGACTATTTTCGCAGTTTAGGCACTTCCCTTTGCAGTTCTGCTCACCTAAGCCTTGTAGTGGTGGTAACCTCAGTAAAGTACAGCGAGAGACTTATCTCTCAGATGCTGAGGAACTTGCCACCTGCCGATCTTGGTTTTAGGCTTCATGGACAGGCAGCAGAGCTGATACAAGTTCAATTTGCCTTGGGGATTTTACATCAAATGAACTAGATCGAACCCGACGTCGTTGTGGTGGAATTCGGTGCAAGCTTCCTGGGGCTCTATAACATAGCGGAGTGATGCCTTCGTCCAGGGCCTCTCCGTTCGTCGCCAGAGCTTCGACTAACTGATAAAGCTTATTTGACGTGACTACTAACTGCGGTCGTGCTTCTACATCTTCGTAATCTCAGCAGCAGCCTCAGGTGCATGCCGCTTTCTACTGGCTGTGAGTCGGAAATCGCTAAACGACGGACCCCAGGTTCGTCGACGGTGCCGTGTCGCCAATTGAACGGGTGGTCTGTGGCATTTTTGCGTTACAAGTTATACTTCTATCAGCTAGCGATGGTACATGTTGTCCTACTCGGAGGCCATCAGAGGTCAGCCACCATGAAAATGACATGGCTGGAATTACGTAGAATGTGGCAGTGATAGTACGCAACGCTCATGACCGAGATCTATACAACATATACAATACGGTCTGTCGCAAGTCTGTGTATATTCATCATTTAGTAGATCATGCACCAGTGATTAGCCCACTAATACACATGTGGCTTATATACCTGCAACACATCATACAGCTGCAAGACAAAAGTAACCCAGATCAAACCACACCCGCCCTGGTGTTTATTGTTGTTGCACCACTGACCCAGTCGATTACGAAAGGCCACGGTGCGAACGTAATCCGAATGGCTCTCTGACCAATGAATCCTTTTCCACTCTGTCCAACTCCTTCCTTCATATTCCTCTCCATCACTCGACAATAATGTGAGCCGGAATTCCGAGTTCAAATTATCAATAATCCGGTGCCAGTTCTTCCAGTCCACGTCTTTCGCCAACTCTGCCAACACTTGTGGGATCCGATGCTTTAATCGTCGTAGGTTAGCGTCACTCAGCTGGTCTAAAAAGCCTAAATGAGTAAACCCAGCATAACCAAAGACCGTTGAAGCTCGATCTAGATTTCTTTCTTCAAGGTACTTATTTCTCGCCTCTAACTGAGTAATCTTCCCCAGTAATTCATTCTGGGTCGGACCATGGTGTGGAGCTTGCGGTTGGGCCTTGTTCTCAGGTATATTCTGGATGCGAAAGGCAATTAGCACTACATTGTAATTAAAAGCAAAACCAGACCTTCTTACTTTCATAGCGTCCTCGGCCGGGGGGATAGATGTGACTTCTTTTGGCATAATAACCCCTAAAAGATCTTTTGCATACGCTGCCGCCGCAGTAACGGCGTAAGGCTGCCATGACTTGCTCTTGTGCTCGTCCGAATAGTCGCAAATTCCCCGGATCACTATACATGGAAAGTTGTCCATTAGTCCAGCCGCCTCCATCTCGAAACAAGAGACACCCCATGTATCTCTCAGCTTATCGCGACGCTGGGCAGATCTCATGACCGCGTTCGCCGATGCAACGAGACCATAGTGAACCACAGGTTCGTCCGAGTCTCGATCCAGGCGCTTCTCAGTCATTTCGACACTGCAGCCTGAGCAGCTTTCTCCCCCAGCATGTTGATAGCCCGTCTTGAATAGTCGGTCTTGACCACGTCCTGGAAACTGATATGCTTTCAAAGCTTTTTGTTCCGAGGACGCTCTGGCTGCTTCCTGGATATACTGGCTCATCTTTCCTCGTCCGAGATCATGGTTCGATTGTAATAACTTGACTGCTTTTAAAAGTACTCCAGGGGGTTTGTTTAGGTGTGACTCAATGCTAAACTCTTCGTCATTTTTCCACTTGCCCATATCATGTTGAAGAACACCACCTTTTAGATTTTAGTATCAACTTATCAAAGACGAAATGTAAAGAGCGAAACAACAGAGGCGCAACAATCTTACCGTGGTTTCCCTTAGGATTGCTAACAACAACATCGCCAAGTCGGATATCTTTGCTAGCATCTTCGGAGTTTGGTGGTCTTGGAGCACCTCCCCCTACTCCAACCAATAATCCAAATCGAACACTCGGAAATGTGCGAACCATATTAGTTACCGCCTGCGCCGCAACAGTTGTCCCATAGGTCCCTGCTCCGGGATAGGTAATCACGATATTGTGCGCTCCCATTCGGCCCAAGACATAGGTATTGTCATCATTCTCTTTCGGCTGGAGCTGCTCATGCTCTTCATCTAAGAGCAGCCTGCATGCATTTAGCTCAGAGCGGAGCACAGCTACCCATCCAACGGTATAAGCATCGTAAGTGAGTGTTCTACTATACTCTTATTAGCTATGGGTATACTTGAGTATGAAAACAAGAAAAGGGGGCAATATACTTTGTGTCTCCCATTTTCCAAGTAGATATACTATATAGGATAATGATAATGATTTATTTAAATTTCCCTTTTACTTGTTAGGGAGACAACCATATTTATGGCCAGGTAGCTTTCCCTCTGCTATATTCCGTACACAATATGATTACGTCTGGCCGATATGTGACTTGGGCGCGGAGAGGTGATGATGTGGCGAGTGATTATTGGCCAATTACCCATATATTCTTCCCCTACTGACCTATTTCAGCTAAACTGTTTGTTAGAATGCTAGCTGTCGTAAATCTTGAACATGTCATTGGATCGAGATTAGGCGCCCTGCCCGGCAAAATGAAGCACATTAGGAGAAAAAAGAGTGAAACGTGGTCGTAAATGAGAAGGCAGATGTTTTTATATCTCATATGATTGCGCTAACAAGTATATACTTGAGGTATGACGAAAGTTCAATATTTGGTTTGCGGCGCAGACATGTTGCGGATATTGAAAAAGGTGGCCTAGGTGTGTGCAAAGCGTATAGAGTAAATACCAGGCCTCATAGCCCAATCAGATCGCTCGCATAGCTCAGTTGGTTAGAGCTTCGTACTAATACTTCAACTTCAGTTGAAATCTTGGTAATGCGGAGGCCGCAGGTTCAAGCCCTGCTGTGAGCAAAATTCGGAACTTAGTTCCACATCTTCCTTTTTTTGCAACATGACTTGATTTTTTTTTCCGACGTTTACGCGCACGGCGAGTGTTTAACACAGAGTTGCTTAGTCAGCCATGATATAACTTCTTTTTTGCCCATTGAGAGTTGAACATGCTGCAGCTTCTTTAGGTCCGGCATGTCTGAATCACCGTCATCTGCCGCGTCGGTGCTGAACTTCAATGCGCTGTTTGACAATCCCCTGTTTGCGGGAGGCATTGGCCTCGCCTCTTTAGGTGCCGCCGCAGCATTTGCTCGCAAGGGATCGATTGCCCTGCTTGGCGCTGCTCGCCGTCGCCTTCTGGTCAACGTTGAGATCAGCAAACAGGATCCGGCATATCCCTGGATTCTGGCATGGCTCTCACAGCCGCGAGAGACACCGGGCTTCGTTGCATCTCGGCTTACACGAATCCATAATCTATCAGTGGCCACGGCGACAGGCGCAAGAGGACCAGGAGCAACCGGGCCAGTCAACGCTCATTTCTTTCTTCAGCCTGGATATGGACGGCATATCGTCAAGTTTGGCAAGGCCTTCATCTCCGTCAACAGAGAGAAGCACAACACTGCCAACATGAACACGGGAGAGCCGCATGAGATTGTCCAGCTAACGACTCTCTGGGCGCACCGTTATGTTTTTGAAGATCTCTTCAGAGAGGCGCATCAGCTAGCCGCAAAGGCAAACGAAGGCAAAACTGTGGTATATTCTGCACGTGGGCTTGAATGGACTCCGCTTGGCGATCCCCGAAAGAAGAGGCCGCTTGGATCAGTCATACTGGACGAGGGCATCAAGGAGAGCATCGTGGCCGATGTCAAGGACTTCTTATCAAGGCAGCAGTGGTATGTCGATCGCGGTATTCCATATAGAAGAGGCTATCTCCTTTTTGGGCCTCCGGGAAGCGGCAAAAGTTCTTTCATCCAAGCGCTGGCGGGAGAACTCGACTTTGGCGTTGCCATGATCAACCTCAGTGAAATGGGCATGACCGACGATAAACTGGCGTACCTTTTAACCAAGCTGCCGAAAAGAAGTCTACTCTTGTTGGAAGATGCCGATGCCGCTTTCGTCAACCGGCGCCAACGAGATACCGACGGATACAGCGGCGCCAATGTTACCTTTTCTGGTCTCCTTAATGCGTTGGACGGCGTGGCTGCCGGAGAAGAACGCATCGCATTCCTCACCACCAATCACATTGAGCGTCTAGATCCTGCACTGATCAGACCGGGTCGAGTGGACATGATGCTGAAGATTGGCGAGGCAACCCCGTTCCAGGCTGCGCAGATGTGGGATCGATTCTATGGCGATGTTGATCAGGATCACTCTGGCCGGGCACGATTCTTGGAGCGTCTAGAGGAGCTGGGGTTATTCGGAAAATACAAGGACGGCCAGGCTTCCAACCGCCATACGAGCGCCGCCGCTATCCAGGGCCTATTTCTGTTCAATAAGAGCGATATGCACGGAGCTATTGACATGGCCGAGGGTCTTATCCCAAGAAATTTCGAGGCGGAAAACTCCGGCGTCGACGGCGCAACCAAGACGCCAGTGTAAAGGCTGATGGCGAGAGACCATCTGTGTACCAATCATGTATTTTATTTTGTACGATTGAAGGATACCCTGTTGGAAATGGAACCAGTTGATGGATCAATCGGGTCACGGATATGATTAATGAACAAGAAAGAATTGTCGAGAAGGTTGAAATGAAGGCAGAATGGGCATAGAAGGAAAAAGGTATCAATGTCTCAAGACGATGCAATGTCAAATTTGGTATCCAGTACTGCCTACCTACCTAAGTAGGTAGACTCATAGATTGAATGTATTGAACACCACACAATGGGATATCTGGGTATTCAGCCTCGCAAATACACGTAACTATCCCACTACATTAGACTACTTTCTGACGTTTCATGCCATTCGACAGCCTTGTGCGCCGCGATCGCTGCCGCCTCGGTCTTTAAAATGCTCTCCACTCTAGACCCATGGCCCCATGGCGATGTCGTGATCGGCGCCATTCTTAGCTCAGTATCAGAGACCAGGATGATCAACGACAGCCACGAAAACGCAATTCAGTGTTCAGTAAGATGTAAATTATGCAACAGATAAAGAAAAAAAAGAAGAAGAAAAGAAAGAAAAAACGGAGATCAATATGCACCCCGTAGAATTACGTGTATCGAAAAAAACCAGATCACATGGTAACATTGATCTTCAGCCAGCCCTGTATATCTCACCGCGAACTCTTCCCCATCCACAAATATGTGGAGGCAAAAAAACGTGAAGTGACGTGATTGCAGCGCCAGCAAGGATGCCAAAATCCCATTTCAGCTGGGATGGCAAGACATGCTACACAGGTACAAATGGAGAGAGAGGAGCGAGTCAGAAGGGCGGGAGAGACATGAAAACTCCATCACAAAAAAAGATTGCGGTTCGCGCTGTGCCCAAGGTGCGTTAGTGCAGCGCAAACTACATTTGCCTAGACGTGAAGAATGGGGATTGTAGATGTTTAGAATTGGACCAACCGTTTTACATCACTTCTTTATTCTTGCATCATCGCTGTGGCTGCATCGCATTTCTGCTTTTGCGCTTGTTGGTCTGGTTGGCTTGTCTTACTTGCGACGCGGACCACTTGCTTAGTTTCTCTCAACGTCCTCTTCTCTTTTTTTATATATATTCAGTTGCTTCTTCCTCTTTGAGATATCTAGAGAGAGTAAACGAGAGAATCGAAAGACGTATTTGCGACATTGTTCGCCATGTTCCGCTCAAACAAATCCGGCGGCAAATTCGCCGACGAGCCGCGCCTCGACGACATCTCGGCCGAGGAGGTTCCCGCATACAACCAGCAATACGGAACACACAACATCGACACAAGCGATGATGGTTTAATCGACCCAGATTCAGGCGTCAAGCGTGGCTTGAAAGATCGCCATTTGTCCATGATGGCGCTCGCTGGCATTATCGGGCCTGGTTTGCTGGTTGGCGCAGGAGGTGCCTTGAACAGCGGTGGCCCGGCGTCATTAATTATTGGATTCGGTGTTATTGGTATGTTTCTACGCCTTGGAAATGCAGTTGCCCAAGTCTAATATTCACGTCTTAGGTATCATTGCCTTCTCCATCATGCAGTCTCTGGGCGAAATCACCACTCTGTACCCCGGCGGCGGAGCCTTTGTCTCTTTGGCTGAACGCATGGTGGACAAGTCCTTCTCCGTGGCTGTTGGCTGGAACTACTTCATCATCTGGGCCACCGTCTTGGCCAGCGAGTACAATGTCATCTGCAGCATCCTCCACTTCTGGGCACCTCAGGTCCCTCTCTGGGGCTGGTTCCTCATCCTATGGAGCATATTCCTGGCCTTTCAAATCATTGGCGGCATCACTGCTTTTGGTGAAGCAGAGTATATCCTAGCACTCATCAAGATTCTCGGCTTGACGGCCTACTTCATCTTTTCCATCGTGTATGCATCCGGAGGATTAATTGGCCAAGACGGCCCTGTTGGATTCAGATACTGGCATAACCCGGGAGCCTTCAATGGTCACGGCTTCCGAGGAGTTGCGACAGTCTTTGTCTTTTGCTCTACTTTCTATGCCGGAGTCGAGTCTGTGGCTGTGGCTGCTACCGAGACGAGAAATCCGGGCACTGCTGTGCCACGAGCTATACGCCAAGTCTTCTTCCGCATCATCTTTGTCTATATGGGATCGGCCTTCTTCTTTGGTCTCACTTGCCCGGCTGATTCTGATGAGCTTATCAATGGAGGTGCCAAGGCGCTGCAGAGCCCAATGACGATTGCTATACAAAATGCTGGTTGGAATGGAGGTACGTTTTAGGCTCTCTGTCTTTTATAAGCATGACTAACCAGTGTTATCTCTAGGTGTCCATCTCATCAACGCCTTCATCCTCATTACATGTCTGTCAGCCGTCAATTCATCCATCTACATCGGCTCTCGTACCGTCCTGTACATGGCGCAGTCCGGAAAGGCCCCCAAGATCCTCGGCTGGGTCAACAAGCGCGGCGTCCCAGTCTGGTCAATTCTTCTCACAAACGCCGTCGGTGCCATCTCCATGATGAACGTCTCAACCGGAGCATCAGAGGCATACAGCTACATCATCAACCTCGCCGGCGTGAGCACGTTCCTCGTCTGGGGAAGCATCAGCTTCATCCACTTGCGCTTTCGTCGTGCATGGGCTGTGCAGCAGCGCCGAGTGAGCGATTTGCCGTTCAAGAGCATGTTTTACCCTTACAGCCCCTATTTCGGCTTGTTTGCGAATATTTTCCTTGCTCTTGTTCAGGGCTGGACGACGTTATCGCCATTTACTGCTGGTAAATTTGTGGATGCGTATATTCTTTTGCCGCTCTTTGGCGTAATTTACGTTATTTGCAAATTGTACTGGAGGGGAGAAGATAGATTCAAGAGGAGCTGGGATATCGATTTGGATAGCGGGCGAAGAAATGATTTGGATAAGAGTGGTTTTGTTGGAGAGACATATACGGAGCAGACGCAGAAGGTGCCGCTTTGGAGAAAGCTTTGGCAGTCGTTTTAAATACCCTGGACGTTATATTATAGGCCACAATAACCAAGGCCGTATTTTACTATATACATGTAGTTTTGTCAATCAAACTAGCCAAACACTCATCATCCAAAGTGCCCGCTAATCTTTGTCCAGCCTGGCCCATTGCATGTTTGCAGATAGGACAATGGGTCGGATATCTCACGCGTAGCTTGAAACTTCATGTTGCGCGTCTTCATTAAGTCTTTGATCTCCCAGACGTCCCACTTAATCATTCCGAGTCTCTCATAAACATCATTCCTGCCGGATTCTTGGCAGAGCACAAGACCAACCCCCCAATCGCACCAAATCTGGCCCTTGGCTCCAGAATTCTTTGAAGGTGGCTGAATGCGCGCCAGGAATAAGATGTCGATATTACGATTCTTTCGGGTTGTGTGCAACCGTTGGAATTCGTCTGCTGTTATGATTTGATCAAACGGCTTATTTTGTAACTCTTCGTGGAGTCCTTGGTTGAGCCTCAAGGCCGTTCTAGCGGTACCGATTACATTCTGGGTAACCTGATAGAAAGTTTCTAATGTTGTGTATCTGCCTCCAAATCGAACCATGACTGTGTCTTCGAATGTTGTGGCATAGAGACGAGCACCGCCGAATCTATTAACCATCTTCACTTCTGCATCCATGAACGTGTCCGAGTCCATCTTCTCGCGCCAAAACAGATGAGCTTCCTCTGTAAGACTCATCTCTGGGCTTACCCGCCAGGACTTTAGAGGCTGACAAAGCCGGCTTTGTACCATGAATTGGCTGGAAATCGGGTATCTCTGCAGCAGCTGGGCACCAAGCTGATCTTCAAGTTCTGATAAGCTGTATTTCTTTCCAGGGGCGACATTGGGCGACGATTCGCCTAGCTGCATGTCAAAAACCTGCATGATGCCTCGGGCCCGATCTGTTATTTCGTAGCACTGTCTCTGATGCGAGGCTTTGAGAAGTGCCAAGGGATTTCCCATTCGCAATGCGCGAGACTTTGAAACCACAGGAATCTCGAGGGCTTTAAATATCTGCGCGTCCAGTCTCATCGCTTCCAATAAGCCCAGGTTGGTAATGTCGACTTCCAGGGCGTTTACTTTCTCCATGTCAACTTTTACGCCTTGATAAGCATGACCAATCCGAATATTTCTCAGCTTTAGAAGGATACCATGCCAGCGATAGATGATATCCTTGAGCGTTCCCGATTGGACATGCGTATTGCTCTGGAAATCAAATAGATCTCTATGAGTTCCATCTCTATACATGAGAATTTCTCGTGAGGAATGCCTCCTGCAGCGTCCAAAGGGAAGAAAACCACGGATCAGCTCTTAGTCTCCGGACATGTGTTTCAACATGTTCTGTCAAGGCATCCAAATCGAGACTTTGGTGAGCTCCCACCTCAACACCAACCACTAGTCTCCCAATATTCCTCAAGGCAACCTACTATTCTTTTATCTCTGCCCGGCGCAGGTTTGTTAGCTATACGATTACTTCTCCCCCGCCGTTACAGATCCCGGCTTGCCTACGTACTTCTTTGTAATAATCGTCTGTGCGGGGCTTGTCCGATCTATACAGCATTCAACCACACAAACTCAACAAGTTCAAACGCGTTTTTACTCTATTTTCAAATTATTTACTAATATATTACCAAAACTGTTATTTGAGTAAATGTTTTGGGAGTTCCTTGTATTACAAGCTATCATATATATAGCTATTATAATTATAAATTTCACAAAACATTTTTATATAAAGTAATTCATTTCAATTTATAATGTTTAAGAAACTATATCCTTAACTAGCTCTCGTATAGTTCTAAACTTATCAGGAGATATATCTTTTGCTTCTTTAAGATTGTTATATCTCCCAATAAAATTTTGCTTACATGTTGTTGTTTTATTTGAGGTGTTGCTAACTTGTGCTGAACACATGTTGCAACAAAATTCAATAAGTAATGGTTGATGAGTATAGATGCCAATGAACCTATCATTAGCGTCCCATCTCGACCATGTAGCTGGTCTATACCTAGGCGGAAGCCATAGAATTCTTTTTTCGTTATGAGTCAACCAAGTGTTCCCTTCCGTAATGCTGTAACTGCTTTGATTCGCCGGAAGTCCCAGAAGTTGGTCGAAAAACACCGAATCGAACATTCTAGTACGAGGTTTATGAGGGTCGGGCAAGCCTTTAAGTTGACGAATCTCGTAGTCCATCACTAAGAATGATTCAAAGGATTCTGGCGACGTGACTTCCTGAAATGGGGTTGTTTTGCGCGTGCCAGACGTAAGATCCCATATACCGAGTTCCAAAGGCTTTACGCAAATAACTGCCAGGCTTTTGCCATCTAATGAGAACAGTAACGCCATCTGATCTACAGCAGATTCTTTTAGCTGCCACAAACGCTTTCCTGAAGAGGTGTCCCATATATTGATTGTGCCGCTTCTGGACGTGATAGCCACTTGCTTCCAATCATGAGACAAAGCTGCCAGACCCTGAGCGAAAGGTCGGGCGAAATTCTTTTGAAAAAGCAATCTTGGAGGATATGAATCTATGCTCCATATCTGTAGACTCGTTTTCCCAGTGCAAGCCAATCGTGTAGAATCCGGAGAAAGAATAGGGGTATATTTCGATAATATGGCTGTAGATGTCTGAGAAATAGAATCCCACAATAGAATTTTGTCCAAAGTATGCATAATGAAGAATTTGGCATTAGGAGAGAATTTCACATCCCAGGCGCTTTTCTTCTCATCAGGCTCCATGGGGGGTATGATGTTTTCCCCAGTAACATTCAACACTAATATTTTATCTGACCACAAGGTTGCAAACAGCTGTTCCTTATTTGCCGAGAAAGCCATTGAAAAACACGTTTCAACGGCAATCTTCTGTACCAAGGTTCCTGAAGCAGTCTCCCAAATCCCGATGCCTGAAGAAGGAAAACTTGCTGCTAATAGACTACTATCAGCAGAGAAGCAGATATTTATGACAGAATCTAAAAGTTTTTTCTTATCATATTGAAACTCCAATATCTTCCTGTCAATTACTGGATCCCTAAGGCTGATACGCCCACGATTTTCGAATACACCAAGGAGACCGCCTTTGGACGAACATAAAATGTCTTTTATATGTGGAGTGTTTCTGTGGTGGATGACTTCCCCAGTCAGTAAATCCAGTATTTCGACAAATTTATCGGAGCACCATGCTAATGAGTCATTATTAGCTGAAAAGGCGAGATTCCGTGACTCTGCAGAAATCGGTCGCTTCCATATAATTTCACATGTATCAGTGTTCCAGAGCTCGACAAACATTCGAGAAAGCGATGCAAGGACATTTTGCCTTCTAGGAGAGAGCGATATTGATGTGAACCAATCGCCGTCTTGTACTGGGAGCTTTCTTTCACTCCCATCTTTTGAAACGTCCCATATTGCTATGCTGTGTCCATGAAAAGCTGCGAGCTGGTCATTATCCAAGGGTGAAAATACAGCTCCCTTATGTGGTTCATCGCAGACAATTGTGCGCACCAATATACCTGAGCCAGTATCCCAGATTTTAACGGTTGTATCCTCAGATGTGGACGCTAGCCAGTTGCCTCTGCATGAAATGGCAATTGATGTGACCCAATCCTGATGCCCTTCTAGCATCCGCAGACGCCAGTTTGATTCCAGTTTTGGTCCGATAATAACCCAATTTGGCAAGTCTTTCTCAAAAAGTCGATGAATTAGACTACTATCCGGACTGAAAAGTAGGGCCGAAACGTAAGCTTGTAGAGGCGCATCATGTATGGCGTCCGCAAACTCCTGGATAAACCGACAGGCATCTTTGATGAGGTCTTTAATAGAGGTTCCTAGTTCTGTCTTCCTCTATCGCATCAAGTCAACAAGAGGTATAGTATTGATAATGAAGATCAGGTTTACTCACTACTCGTTTCTCAAGCTTCTGCATTATAATAACTCCTCGGGGAATGTTGCGCAAGAGAGCAAGTGCCTCTAACCAGTATAGATACGTCGATCGGAGAAAATCTTCAACAGGTTTGTAGTATGGAGTATTGGATTCCGCTCCGAGTTCGTCTTGTGGGAGCGAATCAAGAAAATGGTCAATCCAGTAGACGCATGAATACCGAACAGCAGCTAGCGGGTCGGGCTCCATAGCGGGAATATCGTATACGGAATACCCTGGCTCTTCCAAACCGTAGATATCTTTCTTCAGTGTCATCTCCATGTTTGGAAGAGATGCGGAAAGAATTTGATGATGTGCTTTCTTTGAAAGGAATAATTCATCAGGCGCCTTATTGTCTAGATAGTCCTTGGCGGATTGGTGAACGAAGTAAACGGTTTGGTCCTGCAGAACAAGAAATGAACCACAAAGTCCTGGTATCTGTTCGGCAATTTCGCATAATGCTTGTTCGTTCTCTTCGATTTTTCCTAGATTGAAATCCACCAGAGAAGCCAGTTCCAGAATGGTCAGAGGCCGGTAAACAGCGAGAGCGACGGCCAGAATCTGCCTCCCAAGGTCGATCGCATTCACATCGCATATCTTTTCCATCATTCGTTCATACAGATGATCAAGTCCTGGAGGGAATTTGGCCAACACTGAGCGCAATTGAAGTTTCGGGACTCGTTTCGGGACTCGTTTCAAATTATCGCAGACCAAAGCTACCCAGAGGAAGGTACCATTGGCATGTTTGATGAGATATTGTTCTACTTCAGTTTGGGTATCTTCATCATCAAATTTTAGTTCTTGAACTTTGTGTCGGATGTATGATGCAATAGCCGCAACAACAGAGGTTGAATTGAGCTCAAGACTCACACTTGATGTCTCTTTGGCGTCTTCTAGTCGCTTTTGGATATCCAACTCGTTGCGACTCGATACTAACAACTTTATCCCAGTAGATGAGGATAAGATCTCCATTATCAGGTCGAGAAGCTGGTGTAAGCCGTGGAAACATTCGTCCAGTGCATCAATAATCAGAATTGTATCCTTCAAACTAGGGTCTCGAAGGATGTTGGCCAGAATTTGCGAAAGTGCAACCCAGGCATTCTGATCTTCAAACACAGCCTTGCCCACGTCGTCGTACTTTGTCCGGATATGCGGCATAAGAGATGGCTGCTTGCGGACTAGCATGTATATGAGACCACGTAGAATAGCCACTGAATTATTGATGCGAGAGTCGGTCTGTTGGCAAAAGAAGTAAGAGAGGTTGTAGACAGCAGATTTCTCCATCTCATCCACAATGCCACATAACAACATTGTCTTCCCTTTTCCAGGATTGCCTCTGATCCAGAGAAGAGGGCATTTGGGATCATCGCGCCATTGCAGGAACGCACTATTTGTCAAAATCCAGGCATATGAGTCTCGTAGCAAGCCACCTTTGGTCGTTTGGATGCGCTTCTTATCGTCGACAGGGTCTGTGCTGCGTAAGTCTCTCAAACATTCTCTATTATCCCGAGAGTCTTCGATTTGTGTAGAAATCGAATTCTTGACCAGGGCAGTAACCCGTTTGTCGGTTTTGGGATAATTCTCGATGAGTCCTTTAACAACTGATGCTGCGGTGGCAGCGGCGAAGTTTTGCCAGTCTTCATGTTTGTTATTGTTGTGGCTGTCGACATAATCGCAAACACCCTTGACGATAATACAGGGGAATTCATCCCAGATGCCGGATCCCTCTGTTTCAAACGCCAGAATGTCGTGCTCTCTAGCCAGTCTATCGCGATCAGTCCCAGACTTGAGCACTGTATCTCCTGAACCAACTCGTCCAATGAAAATAGATGGCGCTTGAGCATCTTTGATGCTTCCGTCCTCTTCCAACTGTTTCTTCTCTCCAAGACGGATGCGCGGCACCAAGTGGGCATGATCGCAGCCGAGCTGGTCGCATGAAAGTTTTCTGGAGGCCTCACATACGAGATCTTCGTCCTGATCACTATTTGAACACTCGCATGTCTTCGAAATGCGATGCTTGTGACAATAACTGGCTTCAAACAACTTATCATTCGACGATCCCGGATATGCGTAAGTTATAGTCCTTCGGCGCCTCGGATCTCTCTCTTCGAATGTTCGCTGTATCACGTCTAGAAGACAAGCAGCCCGCTTTTCCAAACGGTCGCTCCCGCGATCTGTCTCCAGAATGGCAGTGAAGCTTCGGATGTCCTTGCTTGCTCTCCCGAGTCTATCATCAATTGTATCTTTTGTTTTGAAAGCGTCCGGGTACCGGCTGCCGAGGTCATACTGGACAACAGTTTTGCTGATAATAACGTCACCCAGAAGGATTTCATCGCCCTTTACAAACGGCACGCCGCCGCATATTCCATTTAAAAAGAGGAGTCTGATGTCCGGATAGCTCGATCGGAGGCTAGCTGCTGAGCCTGCTGCCTCGACTTTTCCGATGCCAGGGAGAAGCAGGACGACAACGTTAAAGCCGCCCATAGATCCAGTTGTATACGTGTTATTATCCCCCCTTGCTCTCCCATATGGGTCTCCTTCTGTATCCCAACAATGATCTAGAAGAATCACCGTAGCATTGTATTCAAGCGGCAAGGCGCACACAATCGCAATCTCAAACTCGTCGCGACTAACAGGACGAGATACTGTAGGTTTTGTCATGGTAGCGGTCTAGTAACTCAAACGCTATCTAGAGAACAGCGGTCATGATAAAGGCATTCGCAGAATAATATTTTGAAAGGTTAATGAAACTGCGTTTTCTTGTGCCGTAATAAGAATGGACGAGTGGGTGCCTCAAACACGTGCTTTTATTCGTTGCCTGGGCATTTGTTGGGCATTGCGCGCTGGTAGACCTGGGGCACTGAGAGTACATATAGCCAGATTCACAGGGCCCACAAAAAGAGACATAAGAATTTCGGAGCCTAAAGGATCAAGGAATACAATGAATATTGGACAAGGTTCTCTTCCTCCCAGGTGGTGGTGGTCTGCACTCGTATAGGCCAAGCCCGGCAGGCGGCGGTACCCACATGTACATGTAGCAGAGCCAACAGCATTTACAAGACAACATTTTATATTAAAAATTCTTTAGTGGCTATTTCCAACAAAAGATTTTATTTATACCCTTCGATGTTATTTATATTTCTCTGAATTACAGTAAAATGCATGTTCCAGGGTAATCACAGCCCCTCCATCAGATAAGCCGGATTATCCATTCTTCCCACCTGTTATCGGGCAATAACCAGCCGGGGTCTGTGCACTCCCGCATCTTAGCGCACAAGGCCAGGTACAAGCGATGCCAGACTGGTCCAAGCCAGCAGAAACGCGTGGGATGAGGTCAGGGATGTACCTGTACATCCATCTCGCTATCAACGCTCCAACAAGCTCCTCCGATCTTCAGCGCTCCAGCACCTGGACCTCACATCGCATTGCATCATCAGCTCCAGCATCGTCTTACCAGCATCTACTCTGCAGAATTGACCCGCCTCTCCCTCGTTTTTGCGCCGCTTCCATCATCACATGTCTCTCGCTGGCCGCCCATTCCGCATCCGCCCCCTCGACCCCCTCGACCCCCTCGATCTGTCCACCCGCAGCTACAGCCTCTCAGCCTCGCGCCAGAGCATCGACAAGGCTCGACTCCGGCCTCCCATCAAGCCGAGTGAATGCAACCACTAAACCCCTTTCTGTCCGCCTTCTTCAAGAGCCAGGTCGCCGCACAGTGCACCCCCGTCCACCACCACATCCTGCTGGTGCCGCTGACCGATGTGCTTCTCACCCATCGCGAGACGGAGAGCGGCGCCCCGGCCCACGAGGTCGTCGCCTCGGACGAGTTCCTAGCCAGCCATGTGCTGCGCATCCCCGGCCCCGACGGTCCTGTAGCTGGCAAGGACAGCTCGCAGAACCTGCGCGAGGCGCGAGGCAAGGCTCGCCAGTTCAACACACTGAACGGGAGGAGCGTCATCGTCAAGGACTCTTTCATCTACAGCAACAAAGGTATGCCGAGCAGGAGAAGCTTGAGCAAGGCACCTCCGGTAGCTAATTCTATCATGTTCCCAGGATTCAAGAATCTTGCGCAAGCCCAGATCCTCAATGACACCATATGGTACCCGGATGTCTTCGAACAGCGACAATGGCTGGTATACTACATCTCGAAGCCTCTGATCGGAGCCTGGGAGGAGGTTAGGCTTGAGCCTGCGGTGCTCATTTCGGGAGTCAGAAGCCGCGCCGCCGCAGAGCAACAGCAAAAACGGCAAGCCAATGGTGACTCAGCCGACGCCTTGCCGCGCAAAAAGGACATTAGGAGCTTTCACGATCTTCTCAACCACTTCCCCATGATTGCCCGGCAGATGCAGCCCGGGCTAGAAAAGCTCTTTGTCGAATTTACGACAGTCTTCCAGAAACCCCTACCACCTCCGCCATCAGCTTCATACATTCCCGACCCCAAACCCGATGGTCCTGTTACTTCTGCTGCTAGAAGAGCAAGGGCAGATAGCTTGACGGCTAGAAATGGGAAAGCTCATTTACATAATAACTTGCCTGTGGAAGAAGATTTTTATGCGGAAGACGATGAGGATATCATGCGTGCCTCGCTCGAGAGTGCCGTCACAGCTGCCATTGATATCTTTCAAGGGGTGGATAAACAACAGCTGTCTCTGCTAGGTGCCACAACAGACTTGACAGGTCCACTAGTGGAAAAGCTGATCGAGCGCTATATTGCTGAAAATGTCCATGGCCTGTTATTCGGCAAGCTTAGTGCTATTAAGAGACGAGATGACCTGGAACTGGAAGCTAAGATACGCAAAATGGAGTTCATCGACATCTCCCAGCTTGGCATCGCCATCGATGGAGGCCTCAAGGCCAAGAATGATCTTGTTACCCAACTCAACCCTGCTGTCGATGAATTCAGGAGGATATCCAACGCCATGAGTCCACCGGAAATGCTGGACCTATTACTGTCAACAATGAAGATTGCTTCACAGCTAACCGACACTTCACGGCCTCTAGCCGGCGCCTCAGCTGAGGCATCAACTTCTGAAAAGGCCATCATGACTGTCAACGCAGACACCCTAGTCTCGCTACTGTTATACGTCATAATTCGGTCTCAAGTGAAGAATCTACAGGCTCGACTCACCTATATAAGAAATTTCAACTTTGTCGAAGATGTAGATAGCGGAGAGATGGGCTATGCTTTGAGCACTTTCGAGGCCGTTTTAGCATATCTCTTCACAGACTCGGCAGGACTGCGCCGCGCCAGCAAGAAGAACAGAGCCTTGTGGGATGCCGCCAAGGGGGCGGATATGAAGGCACTGAGAGACATTATGGAACCAAGGCCTGGTGCAGTTGATGACGACGACATCGAAGACAGCGACAGCGATGCAAACGATCGAATACCAGCTAGTGTCGGATTCAACCCGCCGCGCAGTTCGTCGAGGCGAAATTCGCTTGTCTTGAGCCCCTCGGAGCGATTTTCTCATGGCACCGGACTTGGTCACGTTTTCCCCTTTCAACTCTCCAACGGCGATGGCGCAAGCGATTCGATCCTTGATCTGCCGTTGAAGAAGATTAAGCGCGTAGCCATGGATACGCGCAGTCTATCTAGCGCATCGGAATTCTCATACCACTCCATGACAGCAAGTGTTGGCTCTCTGAGCAGTGCGCTAGAGGGTGACATATCTGTGGAGAGGCTTGCGCATACCAGCAGTGCCTTGGGAGAGTCTGTCTTGATGATGGCTGTGCAGGGCGGAAGTGTGGAAATTCTAGGATATCTCTTGTCCCTGTCCGGCTATTACCCCTTTGACATTGTGCTGACTGACGTGAACAACGAAAACACGACGCTTTTGAGCGCTGCCGTTCAGCTAGGCAACCGAGACCTCATCAGCTCGCTTCTCGACTATCTCCTCGGCAAAGCCAACCCGATACAGCTGGCGCAATATTTTTCAGTACAGGACGTTTGGGGCCGAAGTGTTGGGCACTATCTGTTTAACGCGCCGTGGATGATTGGTTCTATCGGGTCTCTTATCCAATGGCGCCAAAGAGACAAAAATGGACAGACGCCGCTTTTTGCGCTGTGTCGCTGTTACGACCACGTAGATTACTACGCCATGGTGGAGGACGGCATCCGGGCTGCGCAGCAATCACAGCTTGATGGGCAGCCGCTGCATGTCGACGAACACATTGACGGCAAAGGCAACACCCTCTTGCATATTATGAATGATCCTAGATTGGCATTACGAATCTTACAATTCTGCGATGTGGATGTAAACGCTACGAACGAGAAGAAGTTTACGGCATTGATGGTTGCCAGCAAGTATGGCCGATACGACATGGTCAGGGCTCTTTTTGCCGACCCTCGAGTAGATCTTGGAGCTAAAGAATTACGAGGCCTCACCGCGGTAGAGCTGGCTAAGGACGACGAGGTGAGAAATAGGATCGATGACCTCGGGCTTTTCAGCATGCCACCAGCACGCGATGGGCGGATCACGGGCGTGGTCAGGGCCTTTTTCGTAGAAGATAGTACTGTACGGTTGGTTCTCAAGTCGGCAGCTCCAACGGACCATGATAGTTATACTGTAACTACGAGCCGCCGATCCCTGACCGATTTTGAGCAGTTGGCCCGCCTCCTGGCCGAGGAGAATCCAGCATCATGGATCCCGTCCATGGCAGACACGCGATGGCCATTTCAGCTGCCGTCTAGGCCGTCTCGAGCAGCGCTGAGAGATATTCAGACACGAACCGACTGGTTTCTGAAGATTATGCTGAGCCATCCCACTCTTTCTACCCACGAGATGCTATGGGAGTTTTTCTTGGTACCGGAGCTACAGCTAGAGGCCATGGAGCAGAGAACAAAGCTCAAAGCAGAAACAAGACTAGAAAAGGTTCGAGAGGAGTACGAGCCGATGGATGACATACGAGTAGTGGAACAATTTGTTGACCACGCTCGAGACATGGTTCGAAGTGTCAGCTCTGCGACCAAGAGTGTGACGAGGCGTGCCAATGCCGCCACACAAGTTGCTGCTGGTAAGTACCAAATTCCCTTGTTTTCGGCTTGCTTTTAGATGGACTAGAACACGGCTGATGAGACACCCTTGCGCTAGATTATTATGATGCAGCGGCATTGCTCTACCGGGCTGTCTTCACCATTCAATTTCTTCCACCGCAGCACATTGTCGGCATGGAGGTGTTTGTCAGAGCCATGGCGCCGGCACAGCACAACCCTCAGATTATATTCCATACCACGCTAATGGCGATTCAATCCACGGTACAGGCAATGCTTTTATCACTATCCAAGCCCACAAACCTCATTGTACAGATAACGGCAGCGAAGCGAGAGGCGGACAGAAACGACAGCGCTGCAACACGACCTTCGCGATGGGGATTGGGCTTGCTTGATGACTCTAGACAGCGAAACCAGGAGGAGAAGGGGAAGCGGGCGCGCGAATCACGAGAGCAAGCAGCATTTCTCTCCAAAGAACTCCGATACACACAACAAACGGTGGCAGCCGAACTGGCTGGGTGGAAGGAGTCACACGATCAGGTGGCTATCCGGGCCATTCGCGACTATGCCCGGGGCATGGCGGTGCAAGAGAGAATAAGGCTCGAAGGCATGATGCGAGCGTTGAGAATAGTGCGCATGGGCAACTATCAGCAAGGCATGATGAACACCA